AGTAGTTTTTATACTATATAAGGACTAGGTCTTATACTAGCTTCTACTTCTCTATATAGATATTAGCCTAGGTATAGATTACCTCCTTATTAATCTTTTATTAGATTAATTCTTAGTATACTCTATATTAGATAGTACCTATTACCTAGTAAGTTCTAGTTATAGAGTCCTCTAGTACCTAGGTATACTTAAATACTATATCTATATCTTTAACCTACTAATTTACTTATTAGAAGGTAAGAATATAGAATTCTATACCTAATTTAAGCTTAGAGTTTATTATATTAAGTACTCTAATTAGCTTTTCTACTGTATTAAATACTAACTAAAAAGGCTCTACTAAGGTAGTAAAGTATCCTAGGCCTAAGTACTATAAAGTAACTTAGAGGTATTTTTCTAGAATTATAATATATTCTAGGCTAGCACTTTAAAGTTATTCTTCTAGAAGCCTATTTAAGATTAATTAAATATACTACTTACTACTTAGTAAGGCTACTTATATATAGACTCTTAAAGGTAATTTCTAAGAAGGTTATAAAATGCTAAACTAGTAGATTACTTCTAGAACTCTATTAATACTACTTTCTAGCTATATTCTAGAAGAAAGTACGTAGCTTATTTCCTTAATTAAGAGTTATTTTAAGAAGCTCTTATATATTTTCTTAAGTAGCTAGTTCTTTATTAGGAAGTAAGTTACTTTCTACTTAAAAATTTCTTCTTCTTTATCTAGGCTCTCTATGTCTTTAACGTAGGTAGCTAGGCTTTACTCTAAAGCTAAGTTACTTTTAGTCCTAGATAAGAATACTATTAGGCTCTTCTTAGGCGTAATATTTTATTCTCTTTAAGGAGGTATTATTTTTCTATTAAAGAAAATAGCTCTTATTTATCTTAAATTAACTACTCTTTTAAAGGAAGAGTATAAAGAATTTAAATTATAAGGGCACTATAAATAGGTAATTAAGATATAGAATAAATAGGTATTTATTAAGAGATTAAATAAATCCTTAGAGTATAAGCTCTAGGGATTTATAAGTACTATATACTAGAGCTCTAAGAGCCTTACGCCCTTAGCCTAGAAGTTTACTAAAGGTAGGCTAATAGAAGCTTAGATAGAAATACCTATAATAAGTACTATCTTAAGAGTTTAGAGTTATATCTTTTCTTATAGCTACCTTAAGTTAGAGAGGTAGCTATTTATTTAGGCTTTATAGAGTCTAATAGTTTTAACTCTATCTTTATACCTATAGTAGTTTCTATATTATAAAGAGCTTACTTAAACTCTAACTATTTAGTAATAGTTTCTAATACTCTATTATACTAAATTTCTTATTAGTAAGCCTTAGGGGCCTTTACCTATACTAAGAAGATCTTTAACTTATTATTTATACTACTATCTATAAGCTTAAAGAAGCTTTAATAGAGTAAGAATTCCCTATAGTTTAAGTATAATAAGAATATATTAACTAAGTTATTAATATACTACTTAAAGTTCTAAAACTTTAAGTAGTTTTTATACTATATAAGAACTAAGTTTTACACTAGCTTCTACTTCTTTATACAGATATTAGCCTAGGTATAAATTACCTCCTTATTAATCTTTTATTAGATTAATTCTTAATATACTTTATATTAGATAGTACCTATTACCTAGTAGGTTCTAGTTATAGAGTCCTCTAGTACCTAGGTATACTTAAATACTATATCTATATTCTTAACCTACTAATCTACTTATTAAGAGGTAGAAATATAGAATTTTATACCTAATTTAGGCTTAAGGTTTACTATATTAAGTACTCTAATTAGCCTTTCTACTATATTAGATACTAACTAGAAAGGCTCTACTAAGGTAGTAAAGTGTCCTAGGCCTAAGTACTATAAAGTAACTTAGAGGTATCTTTCTAGAATTATAATATATTCTAGGCTAGTGCCTTAAAGTTATTCTTTTAAGAGCCTATTTAAGATTAATTAAATATACTACTTACTACTTAGTAGGGCTACTTATATATAGACTTTTAGAAGTAATTCTTAAGAAAGTTATAAAATACTAAACTAGTAGATTACCTCTAGAACTCTATTAATACTACTTTTTAGCTATATTCTAAGAAGAAGTGTATAGCTTATTTCCTTAATTAAGAGTTATTTTAAGAGGCTTTTATATATTTCTTTAAGTAGCTAGTTCTTTATTAAAAAGTAAATTACTTTTTACTTAAAGATTTCTTCTTCTTTATCTAAGCTTTCTACGTCTTTAATATAGGTAGCTAGGCCTTACTCTAAGGCTAGGTTACTTTTAGTCTTAGATAAAGATACTATTAGGCCCTTTTTAGGTATAATATTTTATTCTCTTTAAGAAGGTATTATTTTTCTATTAAAGAAAATAGCTTCTATTTATCTTAAATTAACTACTCTTTCTAAGAAAGAGTATAAAGGATTTAAATTATAAGGGCACTATAAATAGGTAATTAAGATATAGAATAAATAGGTATTTATTAAAAGATTAAATAAATCCTTAGGGTATAAGCCTTAGAGATTTAAAAGTACTATATACTAGAGCTTTAAGAGCCTTATACCCTTAGCCTAGAGGTTTACTAAAGGTAGGCTAATAGGAGCTTAGATAGAAATACCTATAATATCTTAAGAATTACATCCTAGGCTTTCTGTATAATACTACGTAATTAATTATAAGTATACTACTTTCCTATAGGTAGATCTAGGTAATAGGAGGCTATCTAATCCTTTATCTTATTCTATACTGCTTTAATAGAGTTAAGATTAGGAAAGAAGGTAGGCTAGTAAATAGGGTATATCTTTCTTTCTTTTAGCTCCTCTTATATATAAGTAGCTACGTAGCTAGGAGCTCTATCTTATATAAAAGTAAGGGATAGGTATATATATAGCTATCTATAAACTAGAGGAACTATCCTCTTATAGTAGCTCTCTTTATTAATAGACTCCTACTTCTTCTTCTAAAATAGAAATAGTTCTTTTAATATACTAAAGAAGTAGCCTTAGAATATCTACCTACGCTTCTTATATACCTTATTAACTAGATATGTATTATTAAGCTTCTTTTCTACCTAACGTATAACCTACGTCCTTTTATGCCTTTCTTCTGTTACCTAAGTCTTATTACTCTACAGTATCTTTTACTACTAATCTAGTACTTAATTTACGTAGGCTAGAGCTTACTCTAGGTAAATCTTCTTATTAGTATTAGAGAGAGGAGGTTTAGTAAGGGCTATCTTACGTATAAATCCTCTCCTATAGAGGGCGTAGTATATAGGATATTTAGATATACCCTAGTAACTAAAGGGTCCTTAAGTAAGGGTAAGATAGCTTATCTATTGTATCCCATAGTCCGCCGTGTAATGCCCTGGAGGCACGGGCCGACTGTCGACTAATTACAGCTTGGATTAGCGTCGGTAGGTCGGTATATAGCGAACGCCACGAACTTTAAACCAGGAATTACTATTGCGACACCAACTTGCTGACGTAATAGTGCAATCTAATTGGCCAGTAGGTAGTCCGTACTCCAGGGCATTACACGGCGGACTATGGGATAGCCTAGCTCTAGTATACGTAGTATACTAGCTTATTAATCTAATCCTTAGATAACTGTAGTAGCTAGCTAGATCTTTGTTATAGAGTACTCTATTTACTGTTAACTACGTAGCTAACTTACCTCCTTATATAACCTAAAAAATCTGTAATCTATTAGTGCTTATACCTAGCGTAAGTAAGAGTTTAGTAATTGTGCCTTTAATTATAAGTAAGATAGCAGTAGCGTAGTATAGATAGGGTACCCAGTAGTATAATAATAGAGATAATAGAATAATAGATAATAGTAGGAGGGTTAGTTAGAGAGATATAGTAGTAAGAGAAATACTAGATTTAATACAAATTACTATAGTTTAGAATGTAATATTAGCTGGTACCCCTATTTAGAAACTCCGGCGCGCCCCCTAACTCACCCCCTGGTCATGTACACTACTTTTGCCTGACACCACAGTAGATTTGACACGAACCCCAGACCCGACAGACAAGCTCGTTTATCTTTGCGGATACACGCAGGCGCTCTCCGGGTCATCCTCGGCTATATCCGACGTCTTGGAACCAATGATAGCCGTCGCAACCCTCGTCATTCAGCGTCTATCACCATGAAAGGGGAGCTTACTTGACAAGGCACGCAACTTGGTTCCCTTGGTCATAGTCACGACCAAACTATGTTTCAGACGCGACAGGCGACGTCAAGGCGGATGAAATGCTCTTGACGCGTGTCGACGTGCATTTGTTGTGTCGGGTAATATGCATTGTGCAGGAGAGATTACTCGTATTCCATGCACAACAACTTGCATCACTTGTACGTACTAGGACACTTGAGGGCAAAGAATGCGATACCACATCTAGCTTGAGTCGAGCATACATCGATCGGCATTGATAAGGTTACTTCCGTCGTACTCCAGATCCGTTACATCGAGGGTTCGTAAATTCAGGACATATGGCGAATGTTTTGCCACGACGTTTTTCTTTTCTTTTTCAACGTGTTACGGAATAATCCGGGGAAGATTGTGTTGGGCCTGCGACAGGGCGTACGTCAGCTGTAGGATTTCACTGCGCGTTCGCATTCGGAACAAAAACGTGCCAATCGATTCGCAGTAGCGAGGCAGGGTTCCCGGAGTATTGGTCAGGATAACCAGCAGGGTTGTGCGAGAGAGTCAAGATCAGCCCTATAATACAAGGTATCCGCCCTATCATGGAGGGTCAGATGCATCGAGATTCCGGGATGATTGGCCCGGATGCGATTCGTTCGGCATCGGGTCGAAGGGAGGGCTAGAGCTAAGATACAGGGATCGGCACTGGGAATAAAGCAGGAACGTGGAGGACTGCGTATATCCTTGAAATCTGCCGTACGGAACTACTTTACAGGATGGCATACCTATCTACTGCTGCGCGTGGTGTTTACCACTAAGACTTCTTTGCCGATTTGGCGTTTTGTTTCGCAAATGCATCCTGTTTTACCCAAAAAGCTGGCTGGGACTTGCGCGACGCTTTGCGCTTTGGGCATCTTGACTACGGCGTTGCGCTGCTATGTGCGCCTCCGGATTATCAAGGCGTGGGGTCCGGATGATACCTTTATGGTGATTGCTTGTGTGAGTTCGTCTATCAACATGACTACTTCCAAGTCCAAGACTGATGGGGCTACAGACATGTCTCACGTGGTACTCAGCGACGATATTAACAGGAATTCACTACGGCACTGGTCGACGGACAGCGGATATATCACTCAGTGACTCTGTGGACGCTATGCGTGTGAGTAGTCAACACCGATCCGCACGGCAACTTGAACGAAGAAACTGATGGAAGTGGTCAGTGTTGGTATCTTTGCTTCCTCAGCTACGCGGCAACCATCACTTTCGCGAAAATTTCCGCCGGCTTCTTCTTCCTACGCATCTCTGGCGTCATGACGCTCCACCGTGTTGCAACCTGGATCGTAACCATTCTCGCAGCATTAGTAGGATTCGTCTACTTCTTCCTTACCGCCTTTCAGTGCCGTCCAGTAACGTACTTCTGGACCAGGATGGAAGGAACGAGTGGGAGCTGTATATCTATAGACGTCATTATTGGGATGACCTATCTATATGGGAGTGTTAGTTTGCTCACGGATGTTGCGTATGGGGCGTTGCTGTGTGTTCTCATCTGGAACCTCAGAGTCGACCGCCGGACCAAGATGCTCATCTCGCCATTGCTGGCAATGGCTTGCATGTGAGTACACTCCCCGCATATGTTTGAGCCGCAACTAATCGAGTTTGCGACAGAGCAAGTTACGCTGCTGCCATCCGCATGCCCTATATCAAGAACTTCAAGGACCCAGACTTTCTATGTAAGTCTCTCCCAGTACACTGTGCCCAAACATCTAGTTCCCGTAGCTAATGTATCCCCACCTAGACGCGACCGTCTACCTCTCCCTCTGGTCTACCGTCGAATGCGGCCTCTCAGTCATCGCTACAAACCTCGCCACTCTACGACCGTTGATCGGCCACATCGCGCACACATCTCGAAGCCTGTACACACGATCTTCCCAACGAACAGACGAGCGGCAGTTCCATGCTATCTGCGCTCAAGAGCCGATCATGGTCCTAGAGGGTGTGCACGGCAAGCCCCATATCACTAGCGAGCTATGCATTATCGGCGTAAAGGATATCGAGCAGAACGCGAAGGGCACTGAGAGTATGGCTTGGTCATGGAGGCGGAACATTTGACAGAGATATCACGATGAGGGACAGCTGAAGTTTGCATAGCATAGCATGATACTTTTTTCTTGTTATTTTGCGGTGGAGTTTAGGTCGGAGGGCGGTTTTTTGTACAATATTTTCTTGTTTTTATACCCGGGACGCGAACAGGAAATTTCAATAACTCACAGCTATCATGGAGTTCGTACTTGCTGAGTCGCTGGTCCATGTATGCCCTTGACTACAAAGATAGCACTTGAAACCGTGTAATCTCTTCGAAGACAATTGTAAGATAACGTGAGTATATTGCGGTCGATCGCACAGGATGTGTAATTTGATCATTTACATAGAAACCAAACGCACCCCCATACCCGACAGCCTCACCAACCACACCACCATACCAACTGGATATTCCCTCAACCCAATCACAAGAGCATTACATAGTCATGAATAACAACTCGAACCGCTCCCAGCCTCTCATGAACTCGCTGGTAAGTACGATCACATCTCCAAGCTCGTTTGTGAGATTGATATAGCAATTGAACGCACAAAGACTGGGCTCCAGGACTTACGACCTACTGAGGCGGGATTCGTCGGAGACGCGGACAGGAGGGGATATATGCCGAGAGGGGAAAATGGCGTGCCTTATGTTGTGCCAGGTCCGAGAGTATGACATGAAGTAAACCAGTGTGTTGTAGGAAATTTCACTTGTTGATTGTCTACTCCCACGCCTACTTTGCCTTTTCCCATTCGACAAATTCCCGTTATGACACCCACTTCACGTTTGATACATCACCCCTGTAACCCCACCTACAAGAACCAATCCGTACCCCCATCCCATCCCTCCCCACCCCTCGTACCACTCCTGTCTCTCACAGTCCGCGCAGCTTCCCGCAGCGTCGGCCACTCCCCCGCACTCTTCTCATCACACACACAATCCACTTCCACAACAGGCCACTCCTCCTCCGCCCACGAAGGTGGCGATGGCGTAGACAACGTCTGCACAGAAGTCAAAGCCCACGGACTATGCGCATCATCAGGTGCTACATGCGGCGGGGTAAGGGGCGGCGTGAGTAAGCCGCCGACGGGGGAAATCGGATACTCGTATCTGGCGACGGGACTTGACGTGACGAGTTGGCTGGATATAAGGTACTGTGGGCTGGGAGAGACGATGGCCCAGTCTTCGTCTCCGGGTGAGGAGGGGGAGGAGGGCGTGGTGGGGTGTGGGATGTTGCTTAGGTCTTCGAAGTCGGAGGTTGAGGATAACGCCGAGAGGGATGGGGATGGAGATGGAGGGTCTGTGTCTGATTCCGCATCAGAGTCCCAGAAGTTGGTGTCGGATTCTGATCCCGGGCTTGCTGTAGTTTCGTCGCTGTGTAGGGTTGTCTGCAAGTCGGTTTCAGGAGTGGCGAGCGGGATTCCGATTACAACATCGACGTCTATGGGAGAGGACGGGTGTGAGATCTCAAGAGTCTTGCTCGAGGAACAAGATAGAGTGTGTACTTGAGAATGATTGCTGCACCAGCATGGGCCTGCATGTCCCATTGCCAAGAAGTCGTCCAACTCCTTCTGTACTTCTGGACTTGGGAAATGAATCGGAGGTTTGGGTCTCGCAAGAAAAGATGTTACAGGTGATTGCTTGAAAGGGTCCAGTGGCACCACTGGTGTTAGACGGGGCTTCGGGGCATTAGTGGAAGGGTATAGGGGTACGGCTGGAGTTGTGCTTGGGGATCGAAGAGATGGCTTGAAAACGGTGATGCCTTCGGACACGTCTGTCCACATCCGCGGTGAACATGTTGGTAGCAATGGACGCGGACAAGGAGATTGTAGTGATTGGGGCCCTTGAACAGAGGGGGTTGGTGGTACGGAAACAATAGGTACTAACGTAGAGATGGGAAGTGGAACTGAAATCACTGACGGCGATGGCATTGTAGGTATGTGGTTGGGTATTGTGGGAGTACCTGCGAGCGTTGACGAAGCGATGTAAGTCGGGATGTTTGCAGTTGATGGCGACGAGGACTGTAAGTCTGCCTGGTGCTTCACTGGCTCATCGTTTAAGGGAGACGGTGCAAGTCCAGATTTTCTCGTCGCAAGAACGCGACATGCCGCTAATACCGCTGATTGCTGTGACTGTGTCGGGGGTAAAGTACAAATAGAAGGCTGCTTATTGGCAAACTCTACTTGCGCAAGCGCTAGTCGCGAGATCTGAGGTAAGGGGTTGTCACGACTTGTTAGATCTGCGGAAGCAGGAAACGCGGAAAAAGGGAAAGATCGAGCTTCTTTGCGCTTGTAATCCCAGACTTCAGAAGGTGATCGAGAGAATCTGTGATGAGCATGGCGGCGCTCAGACTGCTTTGGGAGGTCGGTTTGCTTCATGTTCGTTGGCTTGGGTGTTGTGATCGCGGGCGTACGTAGCTCATTTGGTTTGAACTGCGGAGCCCAGTGGGTTTTGGCGCTCTCTGCCGAATTTATGGAACTATTCTTCACAGCGCTGTGCTGATCGTCGCCGGTTTGTAGTCGTGGTGTTGGTATCGGCTTTTCGTTGTTCAGGCGCAATGCAGCCATTCTGTTGCACAATTCGTCCAGGTTCAACGCACGAGTTCCTCTTTCATCTTTTTTCTTTGGTGCATCACCCTTGCTCTTGGTATGTTTCCCACCACGTTTGCCTCGCCGTCTTGTACCTTCAACTGTGGTAGGAACAAAGTCAAATTCCCACTTGGGTTTGGTAGGCGAGTGTTTGAGCTCGGCTAGGAGACTGAAGCGGTTCGCTGTGGGATGTGAGTACATAGTCCAGCTCTCAAGACCCGAAACGGGTGACTTACGTGTAGGAGCGAAATCTCGCTGCTCAGGACATGTTTGCTGATAGGAGTTTGTAGGGTACGATGTAGGAAGCTCCCTCAGTTGGCAACCTCGCCGGCGATCGCTTCTGAACAGTGTCGTGATGGAAGGCTGTCGAGCAGGAAGTCTGTCATGTGAGGGGGTCTTGGTGTGCCCAATGACCATTGTTGGTTTATCTTTCGTAGAGAATGTCCGGTAAGGTCACTAAGGAACAGAGGATGATAACGTAGATCTAGGGTGATGTATATGGCGAGGGCTGTGAGGGATAATGAGGAGACATCCAGCGAGAGGATCAATATCGTGTTATCTTCGACCACGTGGGTAATAATGGGGTAGATACTAGGGTTTAGAAGGAGGAGACATGATAAGATTGATGAATATGGAAGGAGCAACGGACAGGCGAGCTGACAATCGAAGAGGAAAACTGTGTGACAGGAACCGTTGTCAGTTCTTGAAGGAGATGGAGAATTTGTAAAGCTTAACCAAATCTGCATAACCTTGGGTAGTGCCAGTTGCGTGTTCTCTTCGACTGAATCTGACCATGTCGCGACTGTCCGGCTTTTACCCTGCTTCCTACCCAAGCACATTTGAACAATACAGTCGGATATTCAATGACGTTTATATGCTCGCGATAGACAAGAAGTGTCTATCAAATCCAAGTTGTGCAAATATCGATATGACTTCTCCACTGTTGAAGATGGTTCAGCGACGCGTTCGCCAGTCAATGCCAGACGCGTTGAGTGGTTTGCATGAACAGCTGCTGACATAAGACACCCGACTACGCCATGACGCATCCAGACAAACCAAAACTTTCCCCACCACTTGCGCTCCACCGCCCAAACATCTTCCCCTCGTCGCCACTCGCCGTAGAAAGCGCTCCAGGATATCCAATCGGCAAGAAGGCGGAAACACCTGCTGATATTCTGGAGTCGCTCTTGCCCCCGCACCCCGCTGCACCTCCACTCGATTCAACATGGCCCTCACTTCTGCCGATCAGAAGCCCGCGCGCCGCCCTGTCCCGCGCATTGTGCCCGCTATTCCCCACCGTCTCTCGCGTACTATCCCCTCTGCGAGGCCCATCACGCCCGAGGAATCCAACAAGGGCGTGGCCGCCGCGCCGCCGGAGCAGCAAGCACCGGAGCCGCAGGCCGTGGTGGAGAAGCAGGTCGAAGCGCCTTCAGCCGCTGTGCAGATTCCGCTCACGCCCGACTCCAGGACATCTGCCGCAGACAAGAGCGAAGAGGAGGCGCCCGTGCTGGCCAGCTCTCCGCCAAACTCGCAAGACGACCATGTGGAAACGCGGGATGATACCCAAGGTTGGCTTCCCCACAACACATCCTTTGGCTCTGTTAGTACGCGTTCGCTGACTCGCAGTGCTGCAGCCTCCAGCGCAAATGGTCAGACGAATGTGACAAAAGATGCGCCCTCTCCCCCCACCTCACGCGCCCAAGCCAAACCAGTCACGAACGGGGTGCATAGCAAGCCGGCCATCCCGACCCAACTGCCACCGCCCTTCTACCCTTCCACCACACCGACTGTTGAGGACAATGATGCAGCTCATACCCAGTACCATGACCAGCCAAACAAAGACGGTATTATGTTTGGCGCTGTCCAGGGAACACCAACTGCGTCTGCGACCCCGCATGAGATGGAGTCTGGCGCACAGCAGTCTATGCCTCGCCCTCCTCCCGGTTTTGCTCCCCCGCAATTTACTCCCACATTCTTCCCTGGTCATTCTCATCACCCGTCAGAGGCTGCATCTTCCTGGCTCCATCCGCCGTACCCGATGGCCCCTCCAGACCCTGCCTATGGCAACGGCCACGGAGGGGACTTCCAATCGCCTTCTTTCTCAGCTGGCCCGAATGCATTCCCGCATCTGCATCAAGACCACTTCCCGCTTGAAGGTACCCCCTTTGCCATCAACGGAAACACCGCACACTCTCAGTCGCCTAGCAAGTCGCAATTCGGAGAGGCAAGGATTTCTTCAGAATACGAAGAGCACCATGCGGTGCCCTACCAGAACGGCGTTTCTGCTCGCACTGAACGACTCGAAGAGTCGCCATTCGAACTCGCCTCTTATCTGTCAACGCAGTTTGGCAACCCTGAATTTGCCGACTTCATCCTACAGATTCGATCGCCCGAGTCCATGCTAATCTCCATACCTGTTCATGGTATCGTAGTAGCGCGCAGTCCAGTCATCTCCGAAGCTATTCGTCGTAGTGTTCCTCCCTCTCATCGCTCGAGGGATACGCGCCGGTTGCTTGACGTGTCCACCTCGGACCCTCTTATCACCCGCGAATCCTTGGAAGAGGCCATCAGAGTGCTGTATGGTGCACCGTTCCTTTCCGATCAAACTTTCTTGTATGGACTGGGGCCATATATACCTGAGGGCGACTACGCGTCCTCTTCTGATGATGCCCGGAGGCGCATGGGTCAGCTTCTGAGTTACATCGCAGCCGGGCACGTGCTGCAAATGCTCAGCATGCAGGCAAGGGGTGTCGAGATTGCAAAATCGCTCTTGCGATGGGACACTCTCGATCAAGTGTTACACTTCGGTCTGCAGCGAGCTAGGCCGACTGTTCGATCAGGCGCTGTTGGACCAGAAGTCAGGGACCCCTTCGCAACCATTCTGCTCAACCATGCCATTGATTTCATGGCGTACAACTTCCCGGTTGACTTCAACTTGTACACAATCGCACCAGAGCTACGCGACGACCCACGTCTGCCAAGTCTTCTTGACGCGCGAACGCCTTCACACAACCCGCGCTTGAGCAAGATCCAATTTGGCGACGCCCCTCCTGAGCTTGACGCAACGCCAGCCCATGCTTCCCAAATGCTCTCTACGGTCCTTTTGTCACTACCTCTTCCTCTTCTCGAGCGCATCTTCAACCACCGTGCGACCGCCAACCAGATCGGCTGGACTGGAACTGCAAAGGTCATGCGAGATGTCATTGATGAGCGTGAAGGCCGTCGCCAGAAAGCACTACGAGGTCAGCTGCAGCCGTCACAAGATGGCACAATTCCGGGTGCCCTGTTGGACAACTTGTATCTCGAGGAACATGTCGAGCGTGTTGAAGCATCTCCTCTTTATCCTTCTGGTTACAGACTTTCAGCTATGCGTCCAGTTGGACAGGTTTAGGCTACCTTTCTTGGAACGGAGAATTTTCGAAGGTATGTGTTGCCCCGGATCTATGGCGTGTTGGATTGGTCTTTGACAAAAGGTTTCGGCGGTTTCGAATCGCATAAAATTCTGGTTGGATGCTCTTCAGGGTGTACAGCATAGCGAGCATCATGGCGTTGCTTACAGGCGTTCTCTCACGACTTTCCTCTTCATATGGCTACCCTCTCGGTTCCTAAAAGTACGAAACGATGCTATGATGCATGTTTCCCACAAAATCACGACGGCATGAGGTGGACTCGTTCTGCTTTGTATATCACCCACGACATGTTTTTCTTTCGTTTTTTTCCCTTCCTCTGTCTACAAAAAGGTGATACCCGAGTCTGGCTCGCCTGTAACTACCCTTGTCTCTCAATCTTCTTCTTTGCTTGGAGTTGCATATAGGTAGATCATGCTGAAAGGCGGAAAATTGACATTCCATCAAGTCCGGAGTTGGGCGCACCTGCACCTTGTGAGTCATGGAGCTCTTCAGGAAGCACGCGTTGGAAGCTAAATGATTTTTGTTGCTTACAAAGCTATGTTGAACTCTTCCTCGGCTTCGCAAAACGAGGTGGAACATGCCAAGGAGCGGTTATTAGCCGGCTTTAAACATTTTTTCGGCAGCTGTGAAGACTGCGGTCTTTCGCATGACCGAGCACGACGGCGTCATGTCGCGCTACGGCGTAGCAACCGTATCAGGGCTCGTCTTATCATTAATAACCGCTCGCCCCTGTACGTATTGTGGGGTAGGAGCGGCTGCTATTGATCTACAAGGGCAACCCCATGGATCGACTTTTTCGGACCTTCTTTCTTGCCTTGCCATCCTCTTAAGCTTTGCTTGTGTCCCCACCGATTTGCTTGTTGGTCCTGACAAGCATCTCGCAATACACCGAGATACTTCTGGGTTGTGCAAAGTGTAACATCCGGTTTCGCGTTTCTTTGTTCTTGTTTATTGTTTAGCCGTCTGCGTCACCATTCGCGGAAATGGACCGCACAGGACGGAATATGGACAGCGATGCAATCTCAGTACCAGACACGCGGTCGGATGTGTTCGACGAGAAATCCAGCGAGCCGACTTCAATGTCTTCGAAAATCTCGATAGAAAGCCATCGCAATCAGAATGCGGCGAATCGGGAACAGGATAAAGAGCTGCACGTGACGAATAAGGAACAGGTTGCGACAAGCAGAGAAGAGGAGGGTACAACATTAGAGTCTGCGAAATCGACAACACCGGCCGCGACAGTTGCGTCGCCCGCTCCGGATGGAGGGCTTCGCGCTTGGTTGCAGGTTATGGGTTCATTCTTCCTCATGTTCAATTCGTGGTATGCATTTGCGTTTCTCCTTTACTACCGTCTTTGTCCCATGTAGACAATATACTAACATCAATAGGGGAATTTTGAACACTTTCGGCTCTTACCAAGCATACTATGAAACCGACATGCTCGCCTCTACCTCACCATCCGCAATTTCGTGGGTCGGTTCTATCCAGGCCTTTCTCCTGCTTGTTGTCGGCGCTCTCACCGGACCCCTCTTCGACCGGGGATATCTTCGCGCACTCATCTTTGGTGGCACCGTTCTACTTCTCATTGGCCAAATGATGCTTTCCCTCTGCCACGAATACTGGCAAGTCCTCCTCGCCCAGGCGTTCTGCATCGGCATAGGAGCCGGCGCGCTATTCACGCCCGCCGTCGCCATCCTCTCGCAATACTTCTCCACGCGCGTCGGAATGGCAATCGGCATCGCAGCCTCCGGGTCCAGCGTAGGAGGCGTCATCTACCCCATCGTATTCAAAGAGCTCCTCCCACGCATCGGCTTCGCATGGACAACCCGCGTCCTCGGCTTCCTCATCCTAGGCACAATGATCGTCCCCAACGCCGTAATGCGCACGCGTGTCCTCCCCGCAAAATCCCGCTCCCTACTCGACCTCCCCGCCTTCACGATCCCCGCCTACGCCTTCCAAGCCATGGGCTTCTTCCTCGGCTTCATCGGCCTGTACATGCCGTTCTTCTACGCCCAAGTCTACGCCCTGCAGGAGCGCATCACGAACGAAAACCTCGCCTTCTACCTCATCGCCATCATGAACAGCACGTCGGCATTCGGTCGCATTCTGCCCAACATCCTCGCCGACAAGCTCGGCCCCTTTAACGTCGTCATCCCGTGTTGTCTCATCTCCGGCGTCCTGTGCATATGCTTTATCTCCGTCACGTCAACCGCGGGCATCGTCGTGCTGATGGCGTTCTACGGCTTCTTCAGCGGCAGCTTCGTTAGCATTCCGCCCACGCTTGTTGTTAGTTTGAGTCTCAATGCGAGGGAGAAGATTGGAGCGAGGTTGGGCCAGGGCTTTGCGTGTACGGCTGTCGGCGTGCTGATTGGTACGCCGATTGGAGGCGCGATTCAGGAGCATAGCGGGTTTGCTGCGCTGTGGACGTTTGGTGGGGTTATGCTGTTTGGTAGTGCGGTGTTTTTGGCGGCGGGGAGGGTCGCGCATAAGGGGTGGGGGGTGGGGATAAAAGCTTAGTGTTTTGATGAGGCGGGTGGGTTGTAGAGTGAATCAAAAGCGTTTTTTGTGTGGTTTGATTGTCGGCTGCTGTGTTTTGAACGTGGTGTTCCCACAACATATTCTCCTTTCGAGATCCCTACAAATCCTGCTACCCCATAGGAACATCTGTTTGTCCAGCGAGTCGCAAAGTGCCAATGAGGTGCAATTCATCGACAATGAGACACGTCTCTATACAAACACAGCATCTGAACCACGATACCTCTCTACATTCCATATCACATATGAACCACTTACGAAGCAAGACCAAATGACAAAACCTCTGTTTTTCTACAGTGTGTCTGACAGTTCTACAGGGAGCTAAAGCTTGAGCAAAACCGACGACAAAAGCACGCATATCTCCATAAGTCTGATATGTTTGATATGTGCTGAAACGAGGAATATCAATGGCAATAAACAAGTTTTTTGTGTTGAGGTGATGATGTAGGGGTTTGAACATGGATTCAACTTAACACGTCTGTTCCGCGTACCTTCGATCTACCAACTTACGAGTGTAGTTCAACAATCATTGTTGTGCGTTCGTGTTGATGGGAACTCGTTCCCCTTCGGGACTAGACTGTATGGATGGTCTGGGCTTTCTATCTCACAGACACTGAGGTACCGCGGCGTGGTAATTTACACCGGCATCGGGTAATATACACCGCAGAATTGGGTAAATTTACACTTTACACCGCGTATAGGTAAATTTACACCGCGTATATATGTACTTAGTAATTTTCTTAGATTTTCTTATTACCGGCACTACTATTAATCGCAACAACGTTGCTCCGGCCTACCCCACATAAGCTGAAAACTCAACTATTAACACTATCTCATCTACACGCTGACGATGGAGCCCACCTACGAGCCCACCTACGAGCCCACCCACAATAGAGCTCACGATTGAGCCTACCCACGAGCCTACCCACGATGGAGCCTACCCACGAGCCTACCCACGATGGAGCCCACCCACGAGCCTACCTACGAGCCCACTCACAATCGAGCTTGGATTTGAGCTCACAATTGAGCTTAGATTTGAGCTCACAATTAAGCTGGATTTGAGCTTACAATCGAGCTGGATTTTAACTCACAATTGAGCTAGGATTTGAGCTCACAATTAAGCTAGGATTTAAGCTCACAATTGAGCTGGATTTGAGCTCACATGCAAGCTGGTAAGGAACTTATATAGAAATATATAGAAAGAATTAATTATATATATAAATTATCTGTAAAACTGAAAAAAACTGTGTAATATGTATACTATTATATGTAAATTTACCTTACGTTTTACACTGCATTGTGGTGTAAAACGCAGTCTTTCTTCTGTGTTTTTTACCCGATAAAGCTGCGGGGTAAATTACCCGATTTTGTACCTCAGTGAGACGTAACGGACGTGACAGTTATTCTTACATGCATGGCTTAGGAATCACTCCGGTTCCCATTCCTCGAAAAGTCTGATCGCAACGCCGCAACGCCATAACTGTTTGTAACTGATCCACTCCGCCTATCCCAGCGAGTTTCTCTGCCGCGACGATACTCAACTAAGAGCTGGAGATTACACGAAGGTGCCTACTTTGCATTCGCGATTTGTGATTGATCGGGAAGTAGCACTGTATGATAACTATTGTGGAAGAGGTGAAAGGAAGTCGAGCGTGTCGAATTGAAGAGGCTCGCGCGCATTTCCGTGGATTTGACGTCGCTGAACTGGCCTTCAAGACGCCTTATACATGTCAAAGCTTACCAGCGTAGATACGAGCGGGTTATAGGTTGTTTAGTGTCCGTCTTAGGATTGGCTGCAGTATTACCAATTCTCAGTCGCGATTTGAGATATTCCACAGCGGATTCTGAATTCCTAATCCTTTTTCAATTTCTACTTAGGTATACTGTTTTTCATCAGTACCGTCAAGCAGTCCTGACTGCCATGTTTGGTTTCCATTACGCCCAAGATAAAAGAGTTGGGTGTCATTTTGCTAGTATGATCAAATCAAGCACCGCGAACGACCATCGAAAACATCCTCAGCTCGTCAAAAGCGACTAATGCAGGTCCGATCACCATACACCCACGGATCGTGCAGGGCACACCATAGTAGATCTGCTCTGGCTCCCGCTCCGTTAAAGCTTGTGTCGCCCACACTGAGGTACCGCGTTAGTGTAAAATACACCAGGTTAGGTAAAATTACACTGCGTATAAGGGTAAATTTACACTTTTACACTATATCTAGCTAAATTTACCTAATATTCTAGGTAATTTATACTAATATTAAAAGATTTATATACTTTATTACTTTTAAATTACTACTACATAAGAAATCTTTATAAGGGAAAGAGAGTAGAATAAGCAAAAATAAACTTTTATTTATAATTATTATATAATTACTACCTCCTCCTTCTAAGCCTTAACTAAATTATATATTCTAGTATAGTACCTAATAGATTAAACGCTATATTAAGGCTATATTACTATAAGTAAACTATTTATAGGTAGCTTAAAATATAACTTTGTACTAGTTAATAATAAAGAAGCCCTTACCTAACCTAAATACGCTAGGCTAGAAAATAATACTATTAGAGTTATACTTAGTAGTAAAGAGTATAATAATTAGGTTCCTACTATAGTTAAGTAAGTACTAAGTAGTAGTATTATTACTTAAGTAACCTACTATACTAGTATAACATAAAAGGAATATTATAAAGACTATATAGCTATACTTAGCGCTAGTCTAGAGATCTATAATAATATAATATTAATTATTTATAGCTAGGACGCTGTTTAGACTACATAGAATACCTAAAGTAGAGATATTATAGTAGTATATATTAGATAGAAAGAAGTAAGTTCTAACTAGAACAGCCTAAAGTTACTATTAAAAGTAGGCTATAGTTCTAAGAGTACTAGGTATTAGTAGTATAGCTATATCTAAGCTTACTTTATTTAGAGCTATAAAAGGACCTACTCTATTATTATTATATATAAATATATAGTTAGAAGAAACTTATTAGTAGCTATTAACATAGTTATTCTATAAACTATAATTAGTATTATTAATACTAAAAGCAGAAGGTTAGATTAAGGTTAGCTTATAGAGTAAGGTAGGTAAGATATATAGTAAATACTATTATATAAGAGGCAGTAGCAGAGGTCTCTATACCTATTACTATAAGTAGAGAGGTAATTAGAACTAGCGTAAGTATAAAGGTAGGTAGTAACTAATTAATTACTATTTAGACAGAATATAGAGACTATAGATAATAAAGAATATAATTAAGAATAGCTATTTCTAAGTTAAAGAGATTAAAAGGTTAGAGTTAATAAATAACTATAGATAAGTTAAAGTAGGTAAAAGTGTATAAGAGCAAGGTTATATATATATAGGCTAAGCTGTAGTAATATTTAGTTATAGTAAGAATACCTATAATTCTAGAGATATTAGCTACTTAAACCTACCTATTTAAATAGTATTTATTAAGGTTATAAGAAGAAAAACCTTATATAATAGTAGTTAGTAAGTAGCATTTACTTAAGCTATTATATAAGTTATACCTATTATTATAGCTTCTACTTTAATGTAAGAAACGCTAATAAACTTAACTATTTATAAACGCCTAGAGGTTTATAATAGTAAATAACGTGCCTAGAGATAATTTAATAATTAATACTTTATATTAAATAAGATCTACTTTGTTAGCCTTATACTGTAATTCTAGATACTAAGCACTAATAACAGTAATATCTTACGTAATTTCTAGAAGAGGTAAAGACTCTATGCACTAACTATAGTAGGAGTTAGTACAGTTATATATAATTATCTTATATAGAGTATTTAGTAGACTGCTATATTAACTCTATAATACTAGTTACTAAGTTTAAGCCTAATAAAGAGTTTAGAAGAGAGTAAGCTATAAAGTAGTTAAACTGCTTAGAAAACACTAGATCTAAATAAAAATAATTATACCTATAGCCCTATTATAGATAATATAGATTACTTACTATTAATAGAAAAGTATATAGTAAAAAATTAAATATCTACGCTGCTTAACTTATTACTATTATAGGCTTCTTTATTATAGAACTTTGTAAATAATACTTTACGTAAGTAAAGTGTATTATCCTAAGTAATTAGATATATTTATAATATCTTAGTTCTAAGTAGCGTTAATATACGTTAGCTGCTAGTGCTGTATTATATTAGTATAGATACAGATAAGTATACTAGGCTTAAGGCTATTACTATAGCTGTAGTAAACGTAGTAGTAGTACTGCTTATACTTATAGCTATATATACGCCTACTACTACAGTTACTAGCTTATTACTCTAATAACCTAAAACTATTAAGTCTATACTACCTAGTTTACCTATAATAGTTACTGTAATTGCTGCTATAGTAGCTGTAGTTATAAAGCTAGCGCTATATTCTACTAAGTATAGTATAGATTTGCGTATAGTATTATATAAGGCTATATAGTGCACCTTTTCCTAAGAAGCTACTTTTAACCTTTAAAGTAAAGTTCTGTAGTATTCTAGCTGCCTTTTTAGATAGTAATATATAGAGAATATCTTTAGTATATACGCTAACAAATCTTATAAAGTCTATAGTGCCTAGCTAACATTCTAGTAGCTATAAAAAATACGTAATTAACAAAGCTACTACTATACTTATTACTACTTTCTACTATAGCCTTCTTAATAGTAGTAGGCTAAAGTCCTATAACTTTATATAAGATAAGATTTACTATTCTGCTACCTATATTATAAATAATAAATCTATTATTAATTATAAACTAAGTATCTTGTACTATACTACGTAAAGTCTTAAAGTATATAATACAGTAAACTCTAGTTCTGTTATAATAATAATATTCTTAAGTTAAGGAAATTCTAATAGGTTAAAGCTAGCCTTTTTAATAGCTTAGAGTATATAGTCTTTTGTAATATTAGACTAGACTGCTAGTATAGTTACTACTAAAGTAATAGGCAAGAATTTCTAAAGCACTTTTCTATACTTTTTATTAAGATTCTTAATTAAATAAGCCTTTACCTGTATAAGGAAATCTGCGTACTAGTATAAAAGTAATTAATAAAGTTCTCTAAAGCGCTTTTCTGTACTTTAAGTTAAAGTACTTAATTAAGAGAGCCTTTAGCTAAACTAGAAGATCTGTAATAATATTAACTAGTTACTTACGTATACTTTAAGTAAATATAGAGAAAATCTTAAATATATATTCTGTCTATTAGCTGTTAAGCTAAAGCTCTATTCTCTAAGACACTATATTAAGCCTATAAAGACCTAGTTTATTTATTATATATATCTAAATTGTCTGTACTAGTTTTAAATATATTACTATTATCTTAGTTATCTTTATTACCTATAGTATTCTTTCTTATATTACCTAGGTTAGTAGGTATAAGGCAATTGTTTTAAGACAATATAGCTTTTAATAATATTATATATTTTTTACTGCTAGATCTAATATTAAATAGCTTAGAGATCTCTTTTATATTATTACTACTAAAGTCTTTACGTATATTAAACTAACTATTAGCCTAGCTGTATATATTATGCGTATTACGTAAGGTCTATTATAACTTTATATTTAGTTATAATTACCTTTTCTAAACTAATAATTTAAATTTCTCTAAGATTACTATACGTTGCGTAGTTATTAAGAAATCTATTATTAAGAAGTAGAACGTCTCTAATACTAATATATTTTATAAGGTTCTAACCTTTAGCTATATATCTTGTAGAAAGACGTCTTTTATATTAGAGATCTACTAAGCTTTATATATATTACTAATATACTTACTAGCGTTTACTAATATATAGTTAGGTACTTTATATAGTAGTTAAGAACCTAGTTAGGCATTTGCTTTATTTATAGGGCAGTTATCTTTAAGTACCTATAGTAATTTAGCGTCCCTACTAGGCTAGCTATTCTAGGCTAAATATTAATAATTTATAACTCTTGTAATTCTGTACTAGAAAGGTACGTAAGTTAAGATTTAATATTATTTAACTTATCTATACTAGACTAAGTAGTAGATATAGTAGTTCTATAAGAAACTCTCTACTCTACTAGGAGATAACTAGTAATAGTATTTAACTACTGCCTCTTTAATTAGGATAGGTATTTCTGTATTAGCTACCTATTTAGATTGTATAAGCTATAACTACTAAGATATATACTTTTATTAGAGTATAAGGTTATACTGTATAGAAGTACTAAGTTCTTAAACCTATTATAAGGTTTAGCTCTAGGCTTATTCTTATATACTAAAAGAGTTAGAGATAGCTCTATATATCTAGAAGTAAAGCTTAATATTAAGAAGTATACTTTCTTAGTTTACTTGCGTATAAGTAGCGCTATTAGTTAACTTAAGTTTAGTAGGTTACTCTACCCTCTAACTATAGCTATCTTGTCTTATGTCTCTGCCTTAATATATTCTTTATACCTCTCTTAGTAAACTTTAGTAAAATATTAGATATAAAGTAACCTCTTATATAGACTAATATAATATAATAATTTGCTAGCCCTAGACGCTCTTAGTTAATAATTAATTAGAGAACCTAGAACTTCTTTATATAGGTTAGGTAACCTGTGTATAATTTAGTTTTCTTTTTTTTCTACTAGTTTTCTGTATTAGTATAATAAATCTTATATAGGTTCTAGTAAACCTACTTCTTTCTACTTAAGTAGTAGCTTTCTTGTAGTTTGTCTATATTATCTATAACGCCTATTTAATTAGCTACCTACTGTTAAAATACTTAGATATAAATAGCTAGTACTATAATATAGTATTTTATATTATTATAAACTGCTCTGCTATAAGGTTGTTAAATTTATAAGTGTCCCCTATATACTATTATAAGTTATATACTAAATAAACCTGCTGCTTTTAATCCTTTTTTCTTTAAGCTATAATAAATTTAAGATAGTTATACTCTAGAATAAGAGGTCCTGTATATATAGTAATATAAGCTACTAGAAGTTTAAAGTTACTTAATTTAGGTTAAGTACGCTTCCTGTATAGTTCTAAAATTATATATTACTTATATTTCTTACTATATATTAGAGGTATAATTTTGTCTAGTAAGAGTCTAGAATTTATAGTTTTAGATTAATTATACTCTTTATTAGAATATTCTGCTATTGTTATAGTATTTAGATATTAAGCTAGGTAAGAACGTTATAATAATAATATAAATACTTAAGTTGTAAATACTTAAAGCTTTTTAATATAAAGGCTCTCTGTCTAGTCTAAGTATATAAGAAATCCTATATATCTATATTGCTATAAGCCTTTAAATCTTCTTAATTCTACTTCTTATATATTATTACGTATAATTGTGTTAGTATTAGATAAGCATAGGGACTAGATATTATACCTACTTCTAATTAGTATAATTGCGTAAAATAACTTAGTAGTAGATCTATAGAGTTAATATTATCTTCTCCTTATCTAGCAGAAGGTTAACTATTACTATATAGGCCTAGTATATAAATGCCCTTTAATACCTTATAATCTAGTTTATTTTTATTTAGTTATACCTTAAGGTAGTATTCTACTTATAGTTAAATCTTATTTACTACTCTTATCCTTACTACTCTCTTATAATATTACTAGTCTATAGTATAATTATCTTAGTAGAAGCGCTCTTATTATTATCCTTGTTATTTCTTAAAGTAACATTTACTAGCGTCTAGTAACTATACCTAGTTATTATATAGTTAACGCGTTTTATTATTCTCTATACTAGGCTCTGCTACTATCTATATTTAGGTAATATAGGGCAAGAGTACTAGTGTTTTTAACCTCTTAAAGTAGTTAAGACTTCTATAGACTATAAATATATTCTGTATATATTAGTAGTGTAATTTTATAGAACTTGTCTAGTACTTTTATAGTAGGCTTATCTATTCTACTAATTAGCTAATTATAGTAAGTATATAAACCTATCTACTTTTTTTTAAGTTCTAATTTAAATTAGCTTAGCCTTTAGGACAGTAATACTCTATATATCTATGCTATAGACAAAGATTTGTCTTTTAATAATAAAGATTAACTATTTACTTTTATAGAGGCTACTAAGGAGAAGATTAACTACCTATAGTCTAGAGTTAAATATAAGAAGGTAGAGCTAAAGGCTACTTTTAGTAAAAATAAATATATAGCAGCTTAAATTTTAGCCTTTTAATCTAGTATTTAATGCCTTAAGAGGAGCCTGTAATAGAGATTACTATAGTTTAATAATATATAGAGTAAATACTTAGTATTTAATAGGTTAAACTTAGAGTTAGGTAGCGTCTAGCTAATAATACTAAGAGAAGGGTATAGTAATATACGTAGTATATACAGTACTAGTATTTATAGATAAGCGTATTATTTATTATTTTAGAGATTAGTCCTAGTTCTTACGTAAGTTTAGAGTTGTGTTTTGGTATCTTATAAGCAAGTACTCTTATACGTTCTAGTATAATATTAGTATAAGAATAACTACTATTATTAAGTTATTTTGTACACTTGTACGCGTTTAGTACTTTATTATAGGTATATTTTATAGTACTATAGCTTAAAAAGCAAGGCCTATATAAGATAAGATAGTTATAATCTTTACTTAATATAGCTAGCTTATAACTGTATACGCTACGTTACTTTTATAAACTTAAAAAACACAACCTAAGCCTAGTAGTGTAGGTATATAACGCTAAGTTAATTTACCTTACTTATAATATTTACTACGCCTCTACTAATACTCCCTACTTACTTAATACGCTTACTATACTCCTAAATACGCCTCTATTAGTTAAGCCTTCTAGGTATATTATAATGCGTTAGTAATATACCTAAACGTATCTTTATAGATTATCTAATATGTTTCTAAACTTACTCTTAAAATTACCTGTTTTACTCTATACGCTACTAATTATACCTAAAAAACGTGCCTATTATATCTCTAAAGTACCTATAAAGTAGTATAGAGTACTAGAGTTACTATATAACCTTTTCTATTATAAGAGGCTTTATAATACGCGTATTCTCTAACGCTATAGGCATTCTACAGCTATAACTATAAAAGAGTTCCTTAATTTACTACCTATAAGATAATAAGTTTAATAGACTCTACCTTTAAGGCTATTAATAAATCTTAATAGCTAACAGAATAGACTATAGTTATTATTAAATTCTAGACTAAGTAAACTTAGTACTTTAAAGATTAATCTTGCTATAAGCATAGAGTATTATATAGAAAGTCTTTATTATTAAAGTAGTATTACCTTCCTCTTTTAGTATAATAGACTTTAGTAGTTAGATATAAAACTTTATTTTTAATAGGTAGTAGTAGTCTAGTCTTTCTTTATATTATATATATAGGCTTTGTAATTCCTAAGTAAGTATACTTAGAGCCTATACTTAGGTTTTGTATAGAGAAAGCTATCTTTAAGGGAGTAAACCCTAGTAATTAAGATAAAATTATAGTATACTAGCCTAAAGGCTAACTACCCTTAGAACTAACTATTTTTAAAAGTGTACTAGCCTAAAGGCTAACTACCTCTAGAACTAACTATTTTAAATGCCTAGTATACTCTCTATTAAGCTAATATATAAGCTACTAAAGTTCTTTATATACCTTCTAAAATATTAGGTAATCTATTTTACTAAATAAGGATACCTAAAAGGATTCTATATTATTAGTAATCTAAAATATAAGACTATATAAAACTAATAAATAAGTATAGTAAGTTACTCTGTTAGGTTCTTTTTTCTTAAGTAAGCTTAAACTACTATATTATACCCTTATAGAAGTAAGGCCCTAATATTACCTACTCTATTACTAATAACTAATAATTGTACTAGAGGTAGTTATAATATAGTATTCTAGATTATAAGATTTCTGTAAAAAAACTCTAAAACCTTATAGATATATATATAGGTACTATAATAGGTACACTAGCCTAGCTTTATTAAATCTATTAACTAATAATATACTGCTTTATGTTTATATATACTATAGTATATATAGTAGAGTAGATATATCTAAAGACCTATCTTTAAGAGATATAACTATTAAGAGATATAAGTACACTATAGTGCACTTTACCTATAGGTAGGCTTTTTATAAGAAAAGGACTAAAGGTTAAGTTTAATAATATACCTGTTATACTGCACTACTAAGGTTATATTAATTAGTAGGCCCTCTAATTAAATAAACTGTTAAGTAGTACTAATATATAGTAAGTAATAATAGAGTTCTTGCCTAGATATCTAATAAATAGAACCTCTATTATTAAGTACCCTTGTTAATAAAGGCCTAAACTCTGCTAATAAAGATTACGTACAGTAGTATTAGCTTAAGAAATATATACCTTAGTGCCTTACTAGCTGTATAATTAGTAATAATTATTATAGTTTCTAAAATATTAAGTAGGTTTTAACTTAAAACCTTATTATACCCCTACTATATAGTATATAGAGTGCAGTTTAAGTAATACGTTTAACTTAAGTATACTACTAGGTTATAAGTATTACTACCTGCTAAAGTAAGTAGCTTATAAGGTTACTAATAAGGCTATTATATCTAGCGTAAGCACTAGATAAGCTAGAGCTTAAGTAATATAGGTATAGAAGGGATCTAGTGTAGAGCTATAACTATAAAGGTATAAAAAGTTCTTAGTATAAGTATCTATTATAGGCGCTATACTACTAGGTAACCTTAACCTCTCTATAATTAAATACTAAAGAGTAACTTACTTCTATATAGATATATCTTTAGCTAGAGTTAATATAACTAACTACTATATAGAAGAAGAAACTACTAGTATAGAACTATAATTATACTAAAGCGTAAGACAGTTTAAAGTAAATTAATATAAAGCTTATTAGACTACTTAGCTATAACAGAGGATAAAGTTAGACTATATTAGTAGTGTATTAGATATCTAGTAAGCTTATAGAAGATAATTTAAATAGTTAACTCTAACGTTTAACTAGGTAGCTCTAGGCTTTAATACCTAGTATACTCTAGAGGTTTACTAGGTATTCCTAGGGCTTTAGTACCTAGTATACTCTAGATATTAACTAGGTATCTCTAGGCTTTAATACCTAGTATACTTTAGGGTTGTACTAAGTATATAGGCGCTACCTGCTTTATATTAGTTAAGTCTTATATAGTAGAAATAGAAAGAGAAGGTAGCTTTAATAACCTAGTTATATTCTAGAGCTTTAATAACCTAGTTTATACTCTAGGGCTTTAGTAACCTAGTTTATCCTTTAGAAGTTATAGTTTATTTAGAACTACTTAAGTATTAGCGTAATTAATTATTAAGATAAGTAAGTACTTTTTAACGTTAATAGCCTTATTACTAAGCCTTAAAGAGTATACGCTAAACCTGTATATATATTAGCACAATTAACTGTTTATAAATAATAAGGTATACTTTCTAGTGTTAGCAGCCTAATAGTTATTAGAATAAAGAGTTTTGCTAGACCTACTTAAGTATTAGCATAATTAAGTATTAGTAATAGAGAGTACTTTCTAGTAGTCTATTACTATACCTCTACTATTACTAGCACTTCTTTCTATTCTACCTACCTACCTAGCTTACTCTATAATACGCTAGCCTTTAGTAACTTACAAATATTTACTACCTTAGGCATAGGTATTATAGTTAATAAGCGCTAGTAGTTAGGTATATAGGTATAAGGTATTATAGTAATAGAGGTTAACAGCTTACAGCGTTAAGTATAAACTCTAGTAGCTAGGCCTTAGCGTTTTATAGAAGTTTATAGCTTTTACTGTAAGTAGTAAAATTAAAAGTAACTAATTAGTAATTAGTATTTTGGCGTAACTACAGCCTTTTAGAAACTTTAAGCTTTTTATAATATTTTAACTAAGTTATAGTAGCGTAACGCAGGCTAAAATTTATATATAGAATAGATAGTAAAATTTATAAAAATAGTAACTAAGAAATAAATATATAAGATAGGTAATACTAGCCTACTATAAATATATAGTATTATTATTATCCTAGCTAATTAAATTATAAAATTATTTTCTAGTTAATAGTAACCCTAGAAAGCTTATTGTATAAAACTTCTACTATCTATAAAATATAGCTCTTTATATTTCTATTTAGTACTATCTTAATCTTTTATATAATTTAAGTCTCTTGTGCAAAGTATAAACCTCTTAAGGTAGATAGACTATACTATAAATACTTATATACGCCTATATTATATATCTTAGTATCTAAGTTAAGACAGTCTTACTAAGTAAATAATATAAGAAAGTACTAGTTATATATAATACTATCTACTAAGGCAGAGGTATAGATACGCTTAATACTATAAGTATTATTCCTTATAAGCTATTTTAGACGTAAACTAGTATCTTTTTTTTATACTACTTTAATTTACGTAGTACTAGTATTTAGTTAAACTAATTAACTAATATAATTATCTACGTTATAGTCTATATATTAGGTAGTATAAATTCTACTTAGATAAAAGAGTATAAGGGTGTAGATTACAGTACTGCGTTTAACTTGCCTATACTTGTTATAGTCTATAGTGTAACTAGAAATACTCTGCTTATATACTGTAATATCTCTCTTTAGTAAGTAATTTATAACCTTTATCTCCTCTATAAGTTATATAGAGATATTAGTGTAGTCTAAGTTAATGTAGTAGAAGGTATAGGCTAGTATAGTAGACAGCTTAATAGATTACTTAAATATAAGTCTATTATTAAGGTAGTTATCTCTAGTTTAGTTATACTTATACGTAATATTATTAAACGCAGACCTACTAGACTTAAATAAAGTAGCAAGAGGCGTATATAGCGCGTTATAGGCTCCTATATTAGTAGCTAATATTATGTTAGGTTGTGTAGGTTTAGTAGATAGTATATTTAGCGTCTCTCTATACAGTATCTTATAGATAAGTGTAATAGGTTAGAAGAAAATAGTAGAATTATAAGAGTAGCTTAGTAGAAAATCTATACTCCTAAGGGTCTTAATATATATAGTATATAAAACTTATACTAACTTACGTTATTTAGATGTACTGTATTAATACTAGAAATAATAATAAGTAGGTATATTACTAGTTTTCTATATAATTTAAGCTAACTAAGATATAATCTTCTTTTAGTTAGGCTTATATAATAACTCTAATAGTCTAGTTAGTAACTATAATAAGATAATTAATAAAATATTTACTACTACTTAATAGAGAGTATTCTATTTCCCTTAGTACTCTAATACGTGTTCTATAACTACTTAGTATACTTATAGAAATAGATACTGCTATATTTAATATACCCTACAGCAGCTTATAACTTGTAGGTTAATAGTAACTAGACTGTATTAATAATACTATAAAGGTTTAGTATAAGTGCTAACTACTACTATACTAAGGCACTTGCTATACTATTAATTATTAATAGTACTATTAATACAGAGAAGAGTACTTTAATAAAGAGTTTCTATTTATATTAGGAAAAGTAGATACGCTTAAAGTTAACTTTTAAAACTAACTCTAACTAGATATACTAGATTTTAATAGCCTAAATAATAATAATAGCTTAACTAATACTAATGTAAAGTTACTTAAGTATATTATTCTACTCTATAATAATACCCTATAGGAAGTAGATAACAATAATAGACTAGAAATAGCAGACTAGGTATATAAGGTAATAGAGGCTGTAGACTATATAGGTTATAAAGAAGACTACTTTTCTACTAATAGTATCTATAGATAAGCGCTTAAAATCTTTAATACTTTTATTAGTACTCTAAGATAGAAAGTAAAGAAGATATATAAGGTAATCTAGAAATACTATAATATTAATATAGGAGACCCTATTTAGATTAGACGTAGGGTATTAGATAACACTATTAGAAATATAATTAAACCTTAATATATTAACTACTATATAGACAGGTATATAGTATTTATTAGTAGGCTTCTAGTAGTATCTACTTACCTCTTATATAATAAGATATAGTATAACAATTGCAGTTAGCTAAGATATATATTCTAATATATTTCTCTTCTACTACGCCTCTATCTCTAGTATAGTTATGTATTAAGGTTATAGTAGCTCTTATTATACAGAGCTACTTTTAATCTATCTACGCCTAATTATAGATTAAGGAATAATATATTTAATAGGAGTTAGTTCTGTAAATGCTGTAGTAATAAATATTTCTAAAATATATATAACCTTACGCTATAGCTTACCTTAGATATAATTAGTACTATTAAGTACCTAAGAAAATACTAAAGTATTATACTAGTTATACTTTATATATTAAATCTATACCTTAGAATAAGAGATAACGCCTCTAACGCTTTTACTACCTATATTATACTAGGTAGGTTTAATAAGATATATACTAATACGTAGCTTACTCTTCTTATAACTAAGCTATATAAGTTATATTACAAAGTAGTAGTATATAATAGAGCTATTAAATAAGATTTCTAGCTAAAAGCTTATATTATATTAGTTACTAAAGATAGTTCTGCTATTATAGATGTAATAGGTATAAAGAGTCTAAAAAAGTTAAAATAAAGTTACTAGATATATATATTCTCTAGGACGTAAAAAAGAGAAGGTAACTATTTCTTCCTAAATAGCCTAAATCTAGAAGTAGAAGTTAACTATAACCTTAAAGCTTATATTAATAAAATTAAGCGTTCTTAAGGCGTAATAAGAGATAAGGAGTTTAATAACTTAAAGAGAAATAGAGAAGTTAACTACTAATCTATACTTCTTAACCTACCTACTATACACTTTCTAAGAAGCTTTCTTATTAATACTATATACTCTATAAACTATAATATCTTAAAATTAATATTTTGTTTATAGAAAGGAAAGAAATACTAGGGTAAAGGTTATAAACTAAAGAAGTATCTATAGGTTATTCTACAGTATAACTAGAATTTAATAAACTAGAGTATAACCTCTTCTTATACTTTTATTCTAGCCTGTATTAGTACTTTTCTATACGTAACTAGTAGCTATATTAACTAGACTATATATAAATAGTAGACGTTTTTCTTATTATATAGCGTACCTGTAATACAATAGTTTCTGCTAAAAATATACTCTAATAACTTCTTATAATACTACTAACTTCTTTAATACACTAGCTAATGCAAATTTATAAAATATAATATTAATAAGGTTAAGAGATAGGTATAGGCATTTATACGTAAGTATAAGGATCTATATTATTAAGGAGATTTAGACCTACTACTATTATATACTGTCTAGTATTATTACCTACTTTACCTTAGGTAGAATATATAAGATTTTAGTCCTCTATCTTACTACGCTTAATAGTTACTTAAGTAATTTCTTTATATAGTAAAGAGGTTTACTACGTCTACTAGTTATAAGTATAGAAGTGCAGAAATTAATATACTTATTTAGGAATAATATATTTATATAAGGTAAAGTAGAGATAAGCGTATAGACCTTATTAGAGATAATAATATAGTATATTAAGATAATAATAATCCCTAAGATAATGCGTACAACCTTATAGATAGAATAAGTATACCTATAGATCCTTAATAGTAATAGGAGCTAGATAAGATAAAAGACGTTAACACTACTTAGTACACTAGAACCTTGCTATAAGATATAGTAATATTTTAAAATTATATCCTTTTAAATAGATTAAAACTTAGTACAATCTCTTCTTATAGCTAAGGTAATAACTTACGCAGTATAGTATTTATTATATACTATACAAACCTGTTACTAAATATCTATAAGTAATTAATATAGTTATTATTTAGTATAGTTATTACATTGTTTAAAGACCTATATAATAGTTCTAAGTAGGTAGGTATAGTTAGATACTAGAAGGTATAGCTACTAGAGTTAGTTAATAGCTAGCTGCTATATCTCTGTAAAATAGACAAAGAGGATAATACTATATAATAGATAACTATTAATAAGATTATAGATCTTATTAGCGTAGCCTATATTTATTATTAAGTTAGGAACGTAATACGTACGTCTTATTTTATTATTAATAAATACACTCTTTCTAAGCAGGATAGGCTGTAGAATATACAGTTACTTAGTAAATACCTTATAATAAGATATTAATAAGGTAAGCTGTGCTCTGTATACTACTACTATATTATAGTATAATATAGTAGGAAATAAGCTTCTTTATAAACTTACTATATATATTCTAAACCTACGCAACGTAGATAAGTAATATAGGCTGTATTCTCTCTATATTTACTAAACGCGCTTTAATAATATATAGGTTATTATAACCTCTCTAGAATTACTATCTAAGTATGTATTTTATATATTTAACCTTAGATATAAGGTTTAGTACTTTCTCTTCTAAGTACGTCTCTAATACCTTAGATAAAGATTAGAAGTTTATAGAAACGCTATATATAACTATAAGCGTTTTAGAGAGTAACTAGCTCTTTAATTACAAGAATAACTAGCCCTTTAATTACAAAAATAACTAGCTCTTTAATTATAAGAATAACTAGCTCTTTAATTATAAGAATAATAAGTAGGCTAAGTAGTACTATAACCTATAAGTTACTATTAACTTTCTTAAACAGTATTTTAATAAGTTTAAAGTTAAGGACTAGTATAAAGTTAATATAGATATCTACTTTACTATTAGAGTAGAATTCTATTACTAACTTACTTTTAAAGTAGGCTGTAATTAATACAGCCTACTAGCTAGGTTAACTAAGGAGAAATAATATATTATACTTTAGCTCTTTTTTAATACTTAATAAATTAGCAGCTGTAAAGTTTACTATAGAGGGCTTAAGTTCTATTATTAAACTACCTTTAAAGTAGGCTGTAATTAATATAGCCTGCTAGCTAGTTTAATTAAGAAGAAATAATATATTATACTCTAACTCTTTTCTTAACCTTAATAGTCTAGTCTTCTAAGATAAGTAAGAGAAGGTTAAGTTAATCTAGATAAAATATAAAGCTAGGATAGTATAACGCTTTAAAGTAATAATATTAGAATTTAATATATAAATAATACTTATTAATTAGAAGTAAGCCTTTAATTAGTATCTTTACTATAAATACTTAGTTATTAAGAAACACAAGAGGACTAGAAACCTAATAGCTGCTAATATTATTATATTTAATAATTAATATATAAGAATATGCGTTAATTTTATACTTAAGTTAATATATTATAATTACAGTACGTAGGACCTTATGCCTACTAAGTTATAAAACTACCTTAACAGCAGCAAAAGTTAGACCTTATACCTACTAAGTTATAGGACTACCTTAATAGCAGTAAGAGTTAGACCTTATACCTACTAAGTTATAGAACTACCTTAATAGTAATAAGAGTTAGATCTTATACCTACTAAGTTATAGGACTACCTTAACAGCAGTAAAAGTTAGATCTTATAAGACTAGATTAATAAGGTTAGGTAGTTAAATATAATTAGTACCTTATATCTATATAATATTTAGTATATATACCTTTAGTACTAATTATATTTAACTACTTAACCTTATTAATCTATAGCTATAGTACTAATTGTGTTTAACTACCTAACCTTATTAATCTATAGCTATTTATATTCTAAGGGTTTTATAAATAAGATAGTTTAAATATACTATTTAGTATTACTTTCCTTATAAGTAGCTTTCTAAAGGTCTAATTTCCTACACTTTTAATAATCTAAATAGATAGAGGGCCTAAAGTTATTCCTACTACAGAAATAGTTTTACTAGAGCCTTATTACTAGAAAGTTAACTTCTGCTAAGCGTAGGCGTCTTAGTAGTTTTAATTATACTAAGATAGAAGATCTAGTTAGGGAATATTATACTATAGAATATAGTAGTCTTTATAGTAGACTTAGCAGTAATCTTTATAGCACTAATATAAAAGCTATACCTAGGGGTAGTAGGTTTAACTAGGACTAAATATCTATAATATAGAGCTATTACTAGAATAATAACTTAGAGAGCTAGTTACTTCTAGGGGTAGTAGGTTTAACTAGAACTAGATATCTATAATATAGAACTATTATTAAAATAATAACCTAAAGAGCTAGTTACTCCTAGCAGTAGCAGGTTTAACTAGGACTAGATATCTATAATACAGAACTATTACTAGAATAATAACCTAGCTATAGTAGTCTTTAAGGTAGACTTAGTAGTAATCTTTATAGTATTAATATAGGAGCTATACCTAAGAGTAGTAGGTTCTACTGCTGTATTAGCGTATAAGCTAGTTACTCCTAGGGGTAGTAGGTTTAACTAGAACTAGATATTTATAATACAGAGCTATTACTAAAATAATAACCTAGCTATAGTAGTCTTTAAAGTAGGCTTAGTAGTAATCTTTATAACATTAATATAGGAGCTATACCTAGGGGTAGCAGGTTCTACTACTATATTAGCGTATAATTTAGTTATACTAGAAACTAACTTCTACTAAGTATACTAGAACTAGATATTTATAATACAGAGCTATTACTAGAATAATAACCTAGCTATAGTAGTATTTTAATAGAGAAGCTTATAGCATACTTTTATTAACCTAGCTATAGTAGTACTTTAGAAATAGTAATTACTAGCTTTAGCTTAACTATATTCTTAGAAACTACTAGTGTATTAAGGCTAAAGACTATTATATTTTACCTTTCTAAGATTCTCTTCCTTATATTTAGTCTGTTAAATCTTAGTTAATACCTACTTTTTATATTTTACTTTCTTCTTAGCTTTTTATCTTATAGCTTAACACCTTTAGAAATCTATTATATATAGAACTTATATAGAAGTTAAGATATAAGACTAAGTTATTCTTTAGTAATACTACTAAATCTATTATTAATATACTAACTATTTATAAGTAACTAAGGTATAGGATACTCTTTAGTAATACTGCTAAATCTATTATTAATATACTAACTATCTATAAGTAACTAAGGTATAAGATACTCTTTAGTAATACTGCTAAATCTATTATTAATATACTAACTATTTATAAGTAACTAAGGTAGGAGATCCTCTGTAGGTAAGCTTTAGAAGAAGTAGATTACTATAAGTAGATAGGGTAGAGCTTAGTATATAACTTAAGAGATATTTTCTATTAAAGTATCTTTCTATTTAATAGCTAAGAGTATATCTACTATAATATAAGTATAGTATTTAACTAAAATATAATCTGTAGATAAAGAAGGTACTTATATATATTCTAATAGCTTCTTCTTATATATTTAATTAATAAAGATATTAAATACGTTAGTATTAACCTAGTAGATAGAGATAATACTATTAGCTATTTCTTTAAACTTACTAAATAGTACGTCTTAAAAGAAGCCTAAATAGTACTAAAAAAGCTTTTTTTATTAAAGTATCTTTCTATCTAGTTAATAAAGATATTAAATACGTTAGTATTAACCTAGTAGATAGAGATAATACTATTAGCTGTTTCTTTAAACTTACTAGATAGTATACCTTAAAAGAAGCCTAAATAGTACTTAAGAAGCTTTTTTTATTAAAGTATCTTTCTATCTAGAAGCTAGGAGTATATCTACTGCAAGGTAGGACTAATATTTAACAGAGATATAATATACTAAAAAGAAAGGTATTAGTATATTCTTTAATAGCTTCTTCTTATATATCTATCTAATAAAGAGGTTAAATGTGTTAGTATTAACTTTACTAATAGAGAGAATACTCTTTATTACTACTTTACACTTTCTAGAAAGTACACTATAATAAAGTTCTAAATAGTAATAGAAAAGTTTCTTATAAAGAGTATATCTCTTCTTTTAGCTCTAGCTATAATAAGGATAGTACTTAACTTAGTAATTATACTTATTCTACTTTAGCTTTAACTATAATAAGGATAGTACTTAACTTAGTAGTTATAATTACTCTACTAGTAATAAACTCTAAAGGTAATAAGTTAAAAAAAAAGTTTAAATAATATTAGAAAAGCTTTTTATAAAGGGTATATCTCTTTCCTATTAGATAGAAGCACGTTTGTTTATATAGTAAGTTAAATAACTTATTATTAAAATACTAATAGTAATAAATATAGGCTTTAACTAGATCTTTAGTATTTCTTAACTACCTAGTAAAGTATTTTAGAATATTAATAGTAGTATTAAGAGTTACTACCTAATTAAGCTTAAAATAGTAGCAGTACTTAGAGTCTTACCTAATAATAAAGACTTTACGTAGTATAAAGATACCTCTACTAATATACTTACTAGGCTGTAATAGTTAAGAAATGTACTATTTATAGTATAATTTAATATATAATAGTTATAAACGTCTTTATATACTTATTATAAAATAAGGTATAAATTTACCTACCTATTTAATAATAAACTATAGTTATTTTATACTAAGTTTATATAAATTTACTTTATATTTTATACTGTATTGCGGTGTAAAATGCGGTCTTTCTTCTGTGTTTTTTACCCAATAAAGCTGCGGGGTAAATTACCCGATTTTGTACCTCAGTGCCACCACGCGTCCTCGCGGCGACACCGAACCGCCCTTTCCCGGCAGAGTCCTCTGAGACATTAACAGCTCCCAGCTGGTTAACAAAACGCCATTGGTTTCTTATTTTCAAGCCAGCCGCGAGCACGAGCTTGGAGAATGTGTAGCGCTGCCGCGTCATCGCCGTTCGTTGACAGAAGAAGAAAAGTACCGAACAGGCCTTTACCAAGGTAGTGTATCTTGACAAGACGAAATCCCGCTAATGGTTTGAGAGAATTACTTAGCCCTAAGCAATACTGAGGACTACATTTGCGCTAACAGGGAGTCGAGATGGGATTTTCAAGTGCTCATAATTCTGCGGCATGAACGCTCAAACCCAATCCCGACTCACGCCTTATCAAGCTGAGCACGCGCTAGATTTGTATTCATTTCCTGTAGTATTCTCCTGAAGTTCCAGCCGCACGCCATGTCCAAACGGTTTTGGACTCCTTTTTCGACGATTGGTTGACGTGCTTGTTTTGATGCTTTCTATTGGCCAGCAAGGCATAAAGTGGGACTATACACCAAGTGGCGCACAACTAAACTCTTAGGCGGATACCATAGTACAACACGGACCTCATGTCGAGATTCATCGCGGCGGACTTTCAGCTGATGGGTGTCGATGAGGCGTTCATGAGCGGATATAACATGAGGGCTTCCAACCTTCTGCGTCTTTTGCAGAAAAGCGCTTTCCAACATCGCATCGAGAATTCGATTGTCACTCTTGTTTCGTTTTTTTTGAGTGTGTCTCATAGTCATTCTTTTTCCACACTCGTTTCAGGATCAATCGATCATACAGTCTCTACATTAATCTCAAAGTCATCCTTTTTTTACAATAGTATTCTGTCTAATATCAATCCGTCACTGTGAGTATATTCCCCCTACTGGCGAGACCGAATCTTGAAGTATACTAACACAATCAAGATCAAGATGTTTTCCAAGACTCTCGCTTTCCTATCCACGGGACTAGCTCTTGTCTCTGCAGCTCCCCCAGCCATCACCGGCTACTCCCTGACCTGGAGCGACGACTTCACTGGCGCTGCAGGCAGTCTCCCCGACTCCTCAAACTGGATCGTCGACACCGGAACATCCTACCCCGGCGGCCCCGCCAACTGGGGCACAGGCGAAGTGCAAACCTACACCAACCGCGCGGCAAACATCAAGCAAAACGGCAGTGGCGTGCTCCAAATCACCGCCGTGCGCAACACGGCCGGCGCCTGGACCTCGGGCCGCATCGAGACAAAGCGCACCGACTTCCAGGCCGTGGCCGGCAAGAAGATGCGCATCTCAGCCCGCCTCAGCATGCCCAATGTTTCCGGCGACGCGGCCGCCGGGTACTGGCCTGCGTTCTGGACGCTCGGCGCAGAATTCCGCGGTAACTACAAGAACTGGCCATCGATCGGCGAGTACGACATCATGGAGAACGTCAATGGATTGGACAAAGCGTGGGGTGTTCTGCACTGCGGTACCAATCCCGGCGGAGCGTGCAATGAGCCAAACGGAATTGGATCGACGAGCTCGTGCTCTGGATCGAGCTGCAAGGGCTACTGTGAGTATCCATATTTGCTACTGTAGGAATTTCCTTTTTCTGACCGTGTTCCGTGTACAGACCACACATACTCGATTGACGTCGACCGCTCGTCCAGCCCGGAGAAACTGACCTGGAGCGTCGACGGCGTGGCCTATCAAACTGTGACTAAGACGCAGCTCGGCGCGACGGCGTGGGCGGCGACGGTCCAGCATGGCCATTTCTTGCTCTTGAATTTGGCGATGGGCGGTGCGTTCCCCAATGCGGTTCAGGGTAGTGCTACGCCGACGTCGAAGACGGTTTCGGGGTACTCGCTTTGGGTTGATTGGGTTGCTGTTTACAACTCGAAATAGAGTGGTTACTTGTTTGGGCGGCGTAGTGTTGAGATACTTACGAAAACTGGGGACATATGCTGGCTTAGATGAGTGTTGAGTTCGCGTTGAAAGAATTTTGTATTGTGTGTTGGTTCAGAGAAGACTTGAAATACTCTTACTGACCGAACTTTGTTGCTGCATGTGGCTGTGTCGTTGCAAAGCTGAAATTTTGTGTTGACTAAATGTGAATCCACGTACTATGATAACCTGGATGATGATAATATACATCTGACTTGGTATGTACACACAAACAGATACGCATAAAAGTATATCATTTATCACCTTCCATGCCCAACCAAGGAAATTCCCTTCTTAATCTAATGAACATCCTCGTTCCCATCACATACTCCGCTTCGTTCTTCAATCCCATAAATCAATATCTTTTTCTACATCCATGCCTTCGCACGTTGGGTACAACCTTTTCCTCCTTGATATTTTGGAACCCAAATCTGAAAGACCCCGACAACTTACTACACACCCCCTTTTTCGGATCCCACAGGTGAAAATATACTGGCCAACTACTGTAGAGAACAATAGAGCTGGAAATAGTAGTTTCAGGTAATCTATTATGTAGATTACTACTCTGGAAAGAATTAATTAAAAATTAACCATATATACCACGTAAAGAGTAGAAAACAGTTACCCTAAGCTCTAGGCTTGGCGTGCGTCCGGGAGCGTAGTGTGGTTGCGATAACTACTAATCAGTATAACAATGCCTTCCTTTCTCTCTGTCCCCAAATTAATTCAAAATCGACTAACCGACGCTATCAGATCGAGTGCGAACTTCACTTTAAACTTTAGTATGGTATGAAAGACTTACACGAAAGTTATGTGCATAATTCTTGGATCTGTGTATATAGAAAAGTAAAGCAGTATTCCCCTACATTATCATATTGATTTCTATCTACCAGTGCTGTCATCCTCACTCTTTCCTCACTCCAGGCAGATTGGTATTGACATTCAATATACGCTGACTTGAGTTCAACTTCTATCTCAGATTAGATGCCCAGATGTACATCCCACTGAGTGAAAGGTGGAATATGTACTTCTTCTTATCGAGGAATAGATGTGAAAACGATGATACGAAGAGAAGTAGTGTGGATGCATGTGTACGGGCGAGGAGAGATATGTAAAATGGGTTGTTGAGTTTTACAACAAAATCTAATCAACAAATCTTTCTGGAAACAAATGTCAGGACTTTTAAGAGTAAACATGTTGAAAGTTTTAAGATCCAGCCTAGTTAAACAACCTAAACGGACCCGTGCTATAAATATCAGTTCATGAAAGCGCCAAGAAGCACTACTGAGTAACTTTCATGCAAGTGTAGGTCATGTACGACTCTATTTCACCGGACGACCAACGACAACAACTGACCACATCCCCAGCCACAAACTCACTTTCCCCTACGTCTTCTGCTCCGCCACCCCATAACAGACGACAAGTTCCACGAAAAACGGGTTCCCAAAATCACGCAAGGCTGAATGGACAAGTCATGCGGCTGTGTCGAAAGTTTCTTCTCCAACCGTTACCGATTGGATGCCATCTATGACCCAGAACGCCACGATCGATATGTGGCTGCATTCCAAGCAACCATGACGGAACGTTACTCGCACCCCTCTTTGCAAGTTGCACAGCAGGCAAGCCATCAAAAAGGATGTATGACGCCGGACCCCCACTCAGCCCTGTCACACCGACGACCTCTCTCCTCAGCTTCCACCACACCCAAGTAGAAGAAAAGACACAAGCGTAATGTCGAAGACCTCAATCAAAAGTCTCCTCACACAGCTATCCTGGCTCTTACTCACTACGCACACCATGGCACAAACCGCCTGCCAAGGTGCCACGTCCACCTACAACCAAAGCGGATTGGTCGTTCCGTTCAAGAACCTCTGCGGCAAGGACATCCAAGCCAGGGTCGACTACCTCAGCCCGACCGACGAGCTTAGCTGGTCAGCCTGCCTAGCGCGCTGCGTCGAGTCGGCGCCGCTATGCTACGGCTTCGACTACACGCCGCACGGCCTGTCAACGTCGAACTGCTGGCTCATGGGTGCGGCGTTCCTGGAGAGCTCGGCGCTGGCGCAGACGTATACTGTGGATGCGGCGATGTTGGGGGATGATGTTCTGGATGGCTTGTCGGGTGATTGTCTGAGGTTGGGGCTGCTGGGGTGCTATCAGAAGGGGGTTAGAATCGGGTTGGGTACATCGACGTCGACGCCGACGTCGGCAACAAGTGCTACGACTACCGGATTGTCTCGGGACAGTACGATTTGAAAGTACAGTTCGGATGGGCTTCTATTTTGAGTACTAGCGCGACATCCACGTAATCTTAAGAATTCACGTGATAGGAATGGTTTGTATGGGCTATTACTACTAAATCTTCCTTCACTCATTTAAAAATCAACTCAACGCTATGTTTTCAACATGAACTTGTGAAAATTAACAAAAATAGATAAATTGCTCCTACCTGGGTTTGAACTTCCGAGCGGCAAAAAAAGAATCGTGATCTTTTTCCTAAAACAACTACACCATACACCATAGAAGTTTCGATGAAGTAGTTTCCAATAACATAGTAAATATACAGATTCATTTTGATGAGTTATGTAGCAAATCATCTAATCAAGCTGTGTACGACGCGCGTGGGCGGCTAATTGAGCTCGAGATCGGGTGGATTGACGGGACTGCTGGGGATGACGATAGGCGACGATTTCGACATTTTAGTAAGAGAATAACAACAACACGAATTTGTAATGATTGGGATAACTTAAACAGTCAAGTAGTAAACGATTTGTATAGGTTGAGTAGTACTAAATGTTCCAATTGAAACTGTTGTTGATGGAAAAAACGGCTAATCTACATCTAGTATTCCATCCGATCTCCAACCGTACTTTTCAATCGTACTGTCCGGAGACTATCCGCTACGACTACTGCTGGGGGCGTTGTAAGTGCACTCGTCACAGGCACGGGCACGAGCATAAGCACTGCATCTGCCTCTGCCTCTCCATCCCCATCACCCGAGGGAAGTAGCGGCCCCTCAACAGGCACCAAAGCCGGCATCGGCGCAGGAGTCGGCGGAGCGGTGATACTTGCATGTATTGTCCTGGGCTTCGTCATCTCCAAGTGTCGGAAATCGAAAGCAGCAGTGCGGGAGAAACATCCAGCTCCGTACTCGGACTTGATTGTAGACCAGGATGCGCGTCGGCGGGAACTCGCCGAACTTCCTGCCTAGACTGTGCAGTGGAGATGGAGGGGAATAGACGGACAAATGAATGGATGGTAACACCAGCTTGCTCTTCCAGGAGACGATGGGTATGTGTATGTGAAAAGACGTCCCTCGAGGATGTATATTGCGTGTTCCCACGATCTGCAAAGCTATGTGACGGCGGATAATATAGATAGATAATGTTTCAGCTTGGGTTCTTATTTTGTCTCAGTTCATTAGTCTCATATACACACTGTTCCCTGATTCCAATGGTTTCTTGTTCATCGCGGAATACATGTATATACACATACCAGATACACAAAATATCATAACAACGAGTTAGTTTTCGTTAAGTAGCAAAAGACTTGGTCGTGATAACACAATGATCCCGACGAAAAATATGGTAGTTATCTCCTAATGAAAGACGGGTCTAAAACTTGTTTTCGAGATAAGCTCCATATAGATACATAGACACACGTATAACACTGGCACATTGTCTCACTATACTAGTACTTCTGGCGATGGCGTTCTACTCGATCTATTTATAAACAATCTACCCAGTGTATAACTATATGTTTGGATCTCGCAAACTACCCACCTGTGTCTTGGAAGGTGGAAGGCTAACTTTCTTATCGCCGACTTCATGGAGGACTATGAAATAAGAAACAGATGATTTTATAAGAGGTGTTATGACTCTAGCTCTTCTTCTAATCGCTTACTTGTTGTTGATTATTATAACATGCAGTGTAACGGTTGCAATTTTAGTACTTAGCTGTTCGCAAACACGCTCCCTACATGTTTCTTGCTTCAGTACAGACAGGATTTCCCGCATGGTTTATGCTAGCAGTATGCTTTTGTATCCATGCACCGCGGTATATCTGTCAACGTAGGGGACTATTCAAGTATGTTGAGACGCATCGCGTTGGGAAACTCTACTCAGGTGTAATCCGAGTCGAACAGTGTCTTGCTACGTGCACGGTGTCTATTATTGCAGGCTTGATTCGTAGGAGCCTGCGATGTAGAAAAAGTTCTGCGTAGTTGTGGGATACTACTATTGTGTAAAAACGAAATGTAGCTGTATCTAGTGTGCTTCGCAATGTTCCTTCCTGCTACATTTCTGCCTAATTCAAGCGTAGCTTGTTTATAGCTACTTCTCTTGCGCTTTGGTGTTCTAAATATTCAATACATATCTACTCAGCTCTGCCGCTCTACATGCCAAGACTTGTGTTAAACGTTGCTGACTGCCTCTTTCTTCAAGTACACGACATCCTTAACATTGGAGTTCGCTCTGTTCTTGTATCCCCATGTCAACTGCCAGGTAAGTCCCATCAACGGGAGAACTAACAACAACAACCAGATAATTCCTGACAGCAACAATACGATGATTGAAAACAACCACAGTGCTTGCTTCATCGGTACCAGCGAAGCTGCATTCAAGCTATGCAAGCTCAGGTCCTCAGCTGGCACTGAAAGTAGCACTTGCATGGACGACAGTACTAATGAAAGGCTGGCGAAGCCGAAAAGCAGCGGCGTAGTCACTTGCTGTACGTACCCACCTGTCGACCAGTGAGGGATCTCGTAAAACCACGCCGTCGTTGTCGTTTCACGCGAGGGACGGAACAAACGGACTGCCCAGTTCAGCCGTGAGAGGCGGAGCTGGCCGTAGTGATATCGTTTCGCTACGTCTTCGTCTTTGATGAGTCGAAAGTGACGAATGAACTCGGACCATTTCGCCCACTCGAGCTCGGCAGGAAGAAGGTGGGAGTCGCGCGCGAGGAAGAAGTCCACACGATGGCGTACTAGCAGCGCATAGGAGCGCATGAACCCAAGTGCGATCTTTCGGTCAAAGGCTGAGGTTGAACTTTCTTTTTGTGATGCAATGACTTCCTGACTGGAGAGTGTCTCATCGGTTGGCGACGGGAGGTAGGTCGCCCAGAAGTCGTGGTTGAGTAGACACAACGGCATGGGCTTGATGTATATTCTATTGTGATGCCACACAAGGTGCAGGCGAGCATCTTCCGTCGCGATGATCTCTCTCGCCTTCACTCTCTGTCTGTTCAGCGGGTCGATGCTGTTACCCTGTCTTCGTGCAACGAGCCAAAGATGATTGTAGAGCTCGTCTAAGAGTGGAGTACCGAGTTCAGATGTGAGGAAGTCACGGACAGTTTCCTGCGAGTGAATTACACCAGGCGCATCAGGAATGTGGTTGATTGGTTTGTCAGAAATACTGTCATGCGGAGATGTTGAGCCTTGCTTTGGAACAGTCTGTCCAGAACTTGCTACTGGGACCAAGCGTTGTGTGAATAGTGCACTCGACTCAAGAAAAGGCGTTGGGGGGAACGGTAAAACAGCCATAGTTATTGTAACGCTGATATATGAATGAATCTTTTCAACACTTTGCTGCTGATATGGAAAGGTGAAGAGGCCAGGACAGTGTTATATAGTCGCAGCAGACGCAGCCGCCGCCTGCCTTAAACATGGAGCTAATCCCGCAGCTTCTCTCGAAGTCTGCCTTGCAGCTTGCAGCGGCCAGCCTTGTGCATACGTGCATGTCCAAGGCGCCGTTCCACTGCTGCCTCACGTCTACTTTACTCCTACCTCTACATTTGTCTCCCCCTACATCTGTTTCCCCCTCTGTCTACTTCGCATCTCCGCATCCTGGTTTGTCGCGTCTACCTAAGAACCGCGGTCGATCGACGCCCCGTCCCGCCCCGCCTTCCTGCAGAGCCGCTGCAAGCGCCAGGCACAACAATGGAGCCAACGCTAGTCGAGACGCTGTGCCTCTGCGTCTTCATCTTCATCACATCGGCGGCGATAGTGTACGATCAGCTGACGAAGAGGATCCCGTCGCGATTGCAGCATGGACAAGCGCCTCGGAGTGGTTTCGGCCTCGTCAGAGCCGACAAACTCAGCGCACACAACAAACCCGCGCGCGCTCATGGGGTCGAGCAAGTCTATGAACGTTGTAGATCGTGACACGCATACTGACCAGCCTCAGCATCATTTTCGTGCACGGCCTCGGCTCGAACCCCGACACGACGTGGGGCCCGGAGGACGGCAACTGGGTCAACGTCTTCCTCCCACAAGACATCCCCGAGCCACTTCACAAAGACGTGCGCATCTTCTTCTTCAACTACGACTCGTACTGGAAGCGGGATGCTGTGCAGTCGCGGCTCCAAAGCTTCGCCGAGAGGCTGCTCGAAGACACCATCTCCGCAATTCGGGGGAGTGAAGACGTAGGTGTGGTCAATGTACGAGACGAGGCCTGGATGCTGATGCACAAATCTAGGAACGGACACGTGACCTAGTGTTTGTCGGACACAGTTATGGAGGTCTCGTTGTCAAGCAAGTAGGACAACACCCTTTCTTCGTATACAGTACCTACGTCTTTCTTTGCCTGGCTGCACTGATCGCCGAACAAAGCCAGAGCTAACTTGTTTAGGCGCTTACCCTGGCTCAAGACGACCAAAGGCTTGCCAATATATTCGAGCACACAAAAGGCATTCTCTTCCTAGGTACTCCTCACCGGGGTTCATGCTTCAGCATATGGGGCAGCGTGGCGGCGCGGTGGTTGCAGCCGCTTGGATCAAACCCATTACTTCTTGAGGAAGTGCACTTCGACGCCCTTCCCCTCCACGATCTGCATAGGCAGTTTGTCAACAAAACTCGCCATAGGGACAATCTAAGGGTGATCAACTTCTACGAGGAGCGCCCGACGCAGCTCCTCAAGCTGTGGTTCTATCAATGGAGCGAGATTGTAGGCCAATCTCTATCAGGTGCGCACGTCTATATAAGTACATGCTGACTAAATTGTAGTGTGTCCCTATGCAGTCAGCGACGTACGACAGAGCAGAGAGCGTGCCTCTTACTGTGGACCATTCCGGCCTCAATAAGTACGGGTCCAAGGACGCGAACTACAGGCTAGTCGTTACGAAGCTGCTCGAGACGATCAAGCCCCTGGCTTTGCAGAAGCAGCGGCTGTACTCTGTCCCTCTCGACGCAGTGGAGAGCTACACGGAGCGGCAGGCGCTATCTGCTGCGGTCGCTGACAAGCTGCGTGTGCACCATCCCAAAGCTGGCGTCCCGCATGCGCTCGCCATCCACGGGCTCGGCGGATCGGGCAAGACGCAGCTAGCGCTGAAGTACGTCGAGGACCACAAGCACGAGTACAGCCCCGTCTTGTGGATTGATGCCAAGGACGATGAGGCTGTGCGGTCAAGCTTCGAGCGGTGCGCGAGCGAGCTGCAGCTGCAGGTCAATCCGAGCCAGGCACGAAACACTAACTTTGCAGACTCGCCGTCTGTGCAGGCTGTGCTGCGGTGGCTCCGCAGCCGAAGAAACATTGACGATAGGTGGCTGGTAGTCGTGGACAACGCCGATGACATGACGTGGGGAATCAAAAAGGTGATACCGAAAGGAGATCAGGGGAGCATTATCATCACCAGCCAAGATAGCAAGTCGTGGACACTGGTAAATGGAGGGTGTGAAGAGCTGTCGGTGGGCACAATGGAGCCAGAAGAAGCAAGAGCACTTCTCCTTCGGCATCTTAGGCTATGCCTCGACCCTGTTCCAGATGACGTGCTGCGAGACTGCGATGAGATTGCGGAGCGGCTCGGCTGCCTGGCACTGGCGGTCGACCTTGCCGGAGCTTACATCGGCGACGACGACACAGACCCGAGACAGGCCCTGCGACAGTACCTAACGAACTACGCCAGACATCAGGACCATCGACTACAGAGCGAGTACTACCGCGGCTTGTCGGCAAGCGACAAGACGGTGTGGACGGTGTGGGACACGACGCTGGGCAAGATCGAGGCACGATATCCAGACCTGCGGCCAGGGATGGTGCTCGCCTTCCTTGCACGCTTCAGAGGTGCCGCCGTGCAGGACGAGCTGCTGCGGTTGGCAAGCGTTAGGATGTCGCAGGTGCGCGAAGAATTGTACGACGAAGCGGTAGAGCTTCCGGGCTGGCTGGACAAGGTGCTCGCAGTGGACAAGGATGGGAAGTGGGACGACTATTGCTACCGAGAGAGTCGAAAGGCGCTGGTCAGGTACAGCCTACTGCAGCGGGTGGGGGGAGAGTGGTCAGGCGTCTCGATGCATGGGTTGGTGCAGTGGCGGGCAAAGAAGTACGAGGAGGAGCAGGAGTGGGACAAGTGGCATTTCATGGCGGTGGTGGCGGGATGCGCACAGATGCGCAAGGAAGAGGCCAGGCCGCAGTTTCGACGAGAACTGGTGGCGCACGTGCCGGTGATGGATGAGGAATATCTGGACAAAGTGAAAGTCGAGGACGAGGGGAAGAGGTTCGTGTGGGACACTGTAGGCAGGGTGCTGTCTGACGAAGGCTGGTGGAAAGAGGCGGAAGAGCTTCGTGCAAAAGGACTGGAGATATGTTTAAGAGTGCTTGGACCTGAGCATCCTGACACGTTAACTAGTATGCACAACCTAGCATTAACGTACCAGAGCCAGGGCCGGTGGAAGGAGGCAGAGGAGTTAGATGTACAGGTAGTAGAGATAAGAACAAGAGTGCTTGGGTCTAAGCATCCTAAAACGCTAGGTAGCATAAACAACCTAGCATCAACGTACAGGAACCAGGGCCGGTGGAAGGAGGCAGAGGAGTTAGGTGTGCAGGTAGTAGAGATAAGGACAAGGGTGCTTGGGTCTGAGCATCCTAAAACGCTAGGTAGCATAAACAACCTAGCATCAACGTACTGGAGGCAGGGCCAGTGGACGAAGGCAGAAGAGTTAGAGCTGCAGGTATTAGAGACAAAGAGAAGAGTGCTTGGACCTGAGCATCCTAATACGTTGACTAGCATAAACAACCTGGCATCAACGTACAGTAACCAGGGCCGTTGGAAGGAGGCGGAGGAGTTAGAAGTGCAGGTAGTAGAGATAAGCATAAGAGTGCTTGGACCTGAGCATCCTGGTACGCTGATCAGCGTAAACAACCTGGCGTACACGCTGAAGGATCAAGATAGGGACGATGAAGCTGTTCTCCTTATGGAACGAACCGTTACGCTCAGAAGTCAGGTGCTTGGTCCACAACATCCTGACACGTTGGACTCGCAAGAAGCATTGAGGGAGTGGAGACTAGAGAGTAGCAGTGGAGCTGAAGACTAGACCGAATCAACTTCCATCTTCCACTCTTTACTACATGTATCGAACGCTCTATCTCGAGAAGTGCAAGAAACGCCAGGTTGGCTAATCCTCCGCGTATATGCCGCAATGTCTACCATCAGCTCGTGGGTATGAATTGCAGGGAACAAGTCAAGTCTAGCTATCTATCTATTCACCCATCCCCTATCACCACAGCATGTACTACACACACGCCGCACATCCAGCCATCACACAATCTGGACTCGACTGATTGAGCCAGACCACACCAGTACCCGCCAATATCGAACGACAGCGAGCTGTTGGTTGAATTGAATGAAGGTGAACTGGGGGCTTGATATCTTGATGTAATGAACTATGCATCCAAACATCCATCTAAACGATTACTTCTCCTTCTCCTTCAGTCCACTTCAATCCACCCCACCTGTCCAGAGACCCAGTACACCACACAACAAACCCTTCAATTCACTTTACTCCGACATACCCTCGTCTCCACGCCTCGCAGTCAAAACATGGTACATACATGCATACCACCACCCCAACCCCCAACAAAACAACATCACACTCCACCACAGAAATTGTAAAGTGCAACGAAAAAGACTGGATTAAATCACCCCATCTCATTTCCCCCCTATAAGAAAAAATGAACAAACAACCAACACCCAACACCCATCCCATCCCACCCCCAAAACGCCAAGTATACTCCCTCCCCGCAACCCCACGAACCGCAAGATCAAACACATCCCATTCTGAGCCCCTAAAACCTGAAAAGAAGGATAAACTACATCTCCATCCTCTCCGTCACATGCGCCTTCCCCTCCAACCCAACCCCACTTTCATCCGTGCACGCAGTAGACGACGCTGTCGGCGTGGGCGTAGAACGGTGAGGTTTAACCGGCGGATCATCGCCATCAAGACAGCCGCCGAACCAGCCTGGGTACATGCACGACGACGTGGTAGTCGGGGAGGAGGAGGTAGTAGTTAGAGTTGGGGCTGGAGCGGCGGAAGAAGTCGTCGTTGTAGTGACGTCGTCTTTGCAGCCGAACCAGCCTGGAGTTTTGCACGTAGATGTTGAAGTCGTGGATGTCGTGGTGGATGCAGTTTTCGAATGCGCGGTTGTAGTTGTCTCGTCCAGACATCCCCACCAGCCGGGCGTCTTGCACGTCTCAGTGCGGGTGCGTACGGAGGAAGAAGTGGACGTGTGTTTCGCAGACGAGGTAGTGCGATCCGTGCCATTACTTTCAAAGTACTCCCACATGAAGCAGTCAGTGCAGTCATAATACGGCTCGCACTTCGCGACATCGTCGTATTTTTCGATGACGTCGCGGATGACTTCGACGATTTTATGCGTGCCGATGCCGACGCGCCAGCCGAGGTCTTTGACCGTGTCGTAGACGCATTTCATGCCTGTGTGGCAAACGCTCTGCATGGCGTAGCCGCCGATTGTGCAGACGCTCGTTGCTTGGTTGCAGGACCCCATGTAGACGGGGTCGGCGGTGTGGCCGAAGTGGAAGCCGCCTGTCATTTTACGTTGTTGGAGGGAGCCGATTTGGTGGCCTGGCGGGACGGGGAGGCCGAGTCGGGCGGCGGGCATGGCTTCGGGGACGGCTTCGAAGGTTACGGTTGGGTGGCCGTAGGTCAGGGAGATGAAGGAGGAGACTGAGCCGCCGAGGGAGTGGCCTGCCATCCAGATCTCGGCGTCAGGATACAGTGCTGTTGCGTTGTGGTAGAGGTCTTGGGCGGCGTAGTAGTAGCGGTTCTTCTCCCTCATGGCGGTGACGAGACAGGTCGAGTTGCACGTGTAGGCCGAGGTCTGGCAGTCGCAGACTTGTCGCCAGAGGAACTGGCCGCCCTGGCCGCAGCAGCAACTAAAGAAGAGGTTGTCGTTGATCTTGTCGTTTGTGGTTGTGTCGGAGCCGTCGAACATGGCGGGCGAGGTGCCCTTGAGGCCAATAACGACGGTGCGGTTCTCCGTGTCGGCGAAGATGTGCCCCCGCAGACCATCTAACTCCCAGCCAAAGTCCTCGGTGTAGTTGAAGCCACCTCCGACGTCATACCAGTCCTCTGTTCCCGGCTCCAAGATGTAGGCGTTCGAGGCCATGCGGGCGAAGCTCAGCACCGTCTCCCTGTCCGTCACGTTGGGCCCGGCGATGTCGTCGATGGTCCAGTCCTCTGCAGCGAGCTGGACTGCCTTGCCATGTGTTCTCCCCCAGTCCAGGATGCCGTTGATCGTGTCCTTGCTCCGGTCGGCGAGGCGCTGGATGCTCATGGTTTCTGCCTTGACGCGCAGACGGGGCACGGGCTGGCGCTGGGCAGAGTGCTCGTCCTCGGCCATCCACACTGCTGCCTTTTCGGGGACATCGAGCCGTCGGTGCAGGTCGGGGTGCTTGTGTGTGCCGTGGTGGAAGATGTGCCGCAGGGAAAAGTCCCTCTCGGTGTCGTGGACATGGGGCGTTGTGGGTGGCGGGAGAACAGGCAGCTCCATCGCGGTACTCACGGCGAGGAACGACAGCAGCAGCGACGCCGTGACGCGCGACGCCGAGGTACAGAGAGGTTGTCGTCGCATAGTGTAAGTCTCGGAGAAGATGTGCAGAGAAGAGTGTGGGGAAATGCGGAGAAGGGTTGGAGTCGAGTTGTTATGGCGCCGTGCTGCACGTCAGTTCGATGCGGTCATGCATCGTTCACGCGACCAGGGTGGCGCTAGCTTAAGTGAAGCTAGCCTTGAGAGCTACCTAAACTAATTCGCTGTGGAAGACGTTGTAACTTGATGAGAATTCCCATTTCTATTTTTTCCAAATAGAATCTGAAATACAATATCCTGGTGGTTGGCATTGAGCACGGCGAGGGGGATACTTGCAACGTGTTGGGAGCAGATATCTGTGGGATATTGGGAGTAGTTGTGGTTGTTATAAACACAGCGAAAAGAATACGTGCACAGTGTTGGGGGCAGATATCCGTGAGATATCCATGGGATATTAGGAGTAGTTTCGACTGTTATTAAGCATAGTGATGGGAGCATAATCGGTGGGATGTCGGGAAGGCTAGATATCCGCGGGATATCAGTGGACGTGTCACGGAGCGGTTCGCGCACGCGGTCCACCTTGCTCGACGCGGTTAGCAGTGCATACTCGACGTGGTTAGCAATGCATACCCGCCGTCCATTTCGAGATTCACCATGTCTATGAATGTATTGGCCGGGTAGTGACAAGCGACTTGAAGCTACATGTCGAGAGACGACTTGTACAAAGAAAGATGCCCCGCTGCGACGCGGTGTTAGATTACGCCAGCTCCGCCGCTCCGCCGCTATCCACCGCATGACGTTGACGGCACGAGCTCGACATTTGGTCCCAGCACCATTGCGAACTTGATGCCGGCACACGACACTCGTCACGTTCACTCCCCCATGCACGCTCACCCACCCATGCACATGCACATGCACATGCACTCCCTGTAGCCATCATCACCACCATGTCCAAGCCAAGACCGGGGAACCTGCATACCTCCCGCTCCTTTACCCGCCTCGACTCGACCCCCAAGACCTCCCTGGCCCCACGGAACAGAGCCAACACGCTGCAGGGCCCCAATGCACCCAACATGCTGGACCCTCTCAAGACGGATGTCGTGCATGAGGAGGATGAGAGTGTAGATGTCTTCTCCAAGAAGGAGGACGAGGAGCAGCAGCCTGCAGTGCCCGATGCTTTCGAGGAGCTGCCCATTGAGATTCGAAGCTTGACAGAGAGGTACTGCATACCATTTCATCTTCTATACATTGCGTATATTACATACTGACGCCAACAGATTCCTCGAATCTCTCTCCGCCAAAGTCCATCCCAGCCCGCTCTCCGCCGATGCCCTCTCCGATCTCTTCCAAGACTTCTACATCCGCGCCTCGTCCAAGATCAACACGCACATAGCCACCCTGTCCGCGCGACTGACCAGCGAGGCCTTCGTTTCCAACAAGGGATCCGCCCCCTCGAGCAAACCGGGCTCCATACGCGCGGGCGTCGATCATTCAGCAGAACAGCAGATGCTCAGTGCGACCGAAATGTCGGATCGCAAGAAGGCGAGAAAGTCACTGGAAGCGAAGCGGTTCGCACTGGAGGAAGCAGTGGAAAGAGCGGTATGTGAGAAGGTCTACCAGAGGATATGGCGCCATCGCAGCACCGACGACGAAGAGAGGGACCACAAGCTCAGATCACGGACGGCAGCCTTGTCGCTTGTTGGCATAGGCCTCAAAGAGCTCTTGATGACTGGGGAGGAGTTGACGGAGGAGGAGCGTCGCAAGGCAAAGGAGAAGGAGCCTGAGATACGAGAGTGGCTGTCCACTGCTCGCCAGGATATTCTGAAAATGAACGACGAGAAACACCCCCTTGGAAAGGTCCAGCACCTCACCGCCGCACACAAGTCCATCGTCGAGGCCCTGTCCAAGATCTTCCCCGCCACTTCCTCAGCAGACGAAATTCTGCCCACTTTGATCTACGCCCTCATCACGATGCCTCCTATATACCTGAACGTTATCAGCGATCTGCAGTTTATCCAGAGGTTCCGTGGCTCAAGTCGGATGGACGGAGAGACTGCCTATTGTCTAGTCAACCTCGAAGCAGCCATCTCGTTCTTGGAGACGGTCGACCTCTCATCACTCCGAGCTGAAGAGCCGACTACACGTGATAGGTCAAACTCACGGCCATCGACGCCCAAAACAGAAATCACCCCTATGGCGTTGGGTCTGGCACAGGCACCAGATTTGGTCCAGATACCAGCCACCCCAACCTCACCAACTGTCGCGAGAGAGCCGTCGAGTCCTACCACTACCAAAGCTCAGCGCCGCTTGAGTAACCTCATCCAAACACATACAAACAGAATCGAAGCGGCATCTGATGCTGTCCGCGACTCCATACTCGATTCAGCCGATCAAGCACTGGGCAGGATCAATACCACACTGGATACCAGCTTCAAATTCTTCTTTGGGGGACCGCGCGAAAGAAATCCCAACGGACCCATACCAGAACGGCCCGAGTTGCCAAAAACACTCGAGGACGCCATGAAGCTGGTCGGCTCTCCCACCCGCTTAACCCACGATGACGACATGCTCAGCATCAGCGCTGCAAGCTCAGTACAAGGTGATGACCGACCGGAGATGCCTGGCAACAAAGATCTCGGGGCGAAGATGACGGACCTTTTCGCTGGTAGGAGACAGATACGTGACCGAAGTGTGGATTCGACACGCTCCGGGACAAGCAACGCCGGGAGTGGGAGACGCGTTACCCTTCCACCTACCACAGTCGAAGAGAAAGCCCCATCACCAGTCCCTACCAAATTCGAGCCTCCAGCGCCTAGTCCGTCGGCGCTCGACTCTGTCCGCAACATGGGCAACAGCCTCAACCCCCTGAACCGATTTGCGAGCATCAACGTTCTTCCACGTTTCGGACGCGCATTGAGTAGCACCAGCACGCCTGTTCTCCCATCACCTACTGTCGAGAGCAAAGCATCATTCTTTCCAGAACCACTGAGTCGGACAGGGACGGGCGACGTGACGGCAGTAGATGACAAGGGAGCGAAAGCACTGGCTGCGCTAGAGCAGTTGAAGAAGACGACGCCACCTATGAAAAAGTTTATGGATACAAAGGACGCGCAGGAGTTGAAGTTGAAGGAGGTTGATGAGCTGCTGAAGGATTATCAGAGGCTGGCTGTGGCGATGAGAGGCGCTATTAACCACTGAATTTGGATTGTTTGCTTGTTTGATTACATAGAAGGCGTGATTGGGACGGGATCTGGATAGATGGTTGTGGGCTTGTTGGGTATTTGCATGCGTCTTGGGCATTAAATAGACGGAGCGTTGATATATATATATTAGATGTTGAGTGAGTCTGGTACAATTCAGTCCAATCACAAGTCAAACGGGTGAAACGGTCGGTCTGTGCGGGTTGCTAGCAACAACTTCCAAACACAACATCGCGTTTTCGCGTTTTCCCCTCGACAACACTGACCCCTCACAGCATTGCCATTTTTTGGGAATCTCAACCACAATGGCGGAACCCATGTCAGTAGTCTCTCCGGAGAAGCTCAACGCCAACCTGCAGTTCGACGACGACATCTACGCCGACGAGCCGCCTTCCTCGCCATTCGTGGCCCACTTTGACGACGACAACCAGGAGAATGTTGCGCCTACGCCTGTCAGACAGCTCGTTGATTTTGATGATGACGACGATATGCCGCAGTCTGCCTTCAGGGTCACGTCGGAGAAGAGGTTCGGGCTGAAGGAGCGCTCGAGTCCGATCAAGATGCCGACGAAGAACTTGATGGAGGACTTTGAGGAGGCGGCGATGAAAGAGGACCACTCGGCGAGGAACAGCCCCAGGAAAGCTTCGCCAACTAAGTCTGTCGCGAGAGATCGATCGGGGTCGGTGATGAGCGACCGGTCACGCATGAGCCAGTCGCCGTCCAAGTCGTCGCGACACCCTTCGGTTGATCTCCACCAGCGCACGCCGTCGGTCAGGAGTGTGACCCCGCAGGTGCTCCCCACGCCTTCGAAGCGCCCGTCTCCGTCATCGTCGTCGTCTTACAGGGAGTTGCGCGACAACGAGGGCTTGACAGTTGCCATGAAGTACACTGAGACGACGCACAGCGACAGCTTCGAGAGTTTGAAGAGACAGAAGATGCACGACGACGACTTCGACTTGGATCTGGACGTCGACGGCACCGAGTTTAACCCGGATGCCACGTCTGCAGACATCGACGACACGGGCTTCAGCATGTTCTCCGAGATGCCGGGCCTGGACATGACGAAGTTTGCTTTCCTGAAGCAGAGCCCCACCAAGAGCGAGCATCCAGACGTAAGGCCTACTTGATTGAACCCCGCTCTGACTGTGTTAACATGCTGTACAGGCTACTCCCCGCGCCCGCGCCCAGATGACACCCTCCACTGCCCGTCGGTCCGAGCGCTCCGAACGCACTCCTTCACCTACGCCCCGCCGCACGTACAAGGAGAACGACACCACCAACCTCCTCCTCGACTTCACCGCACAGATTGAGTCGTACGGGACAATAAGTCGCGGGTCGTCGTCGCGTGGACGTACCTCACCCACCAAGTCAATCACAGAGCCCAACCTCCGCTCCTACTATCAAAATCAACGGTCACCTGCTAAGGGTGGAAACTTCGTCCCTTCAACGCCTGGTCAGAGTCGTCAGCTGCTCAACCTTCTCGACTTCGAATTGCCTCCTCCACCAACACCACGATCGCTACCCACCGTGACTATCCGAGAGATGGAGTCGTTGAAATCGCAGTTCCAGTCCCAGATCTCTTCCCTCACTGCCAGTTTGTCAGGGAAAGAAGCTGAAGTAGTGTCCTTGGCCAAGGCTATCGGCGATGCTGAGCGTCGTGTTGGCGAGGCACAGGAGATTGTACGTGACGAGCGTTCAGCCCGCGAGTACGCCGAGGCGCAGATGGTAGACTGGAAGAAGAAGGGCGAGGAAGTGCAGGAGCTGCTGCAGAACGTACAATCTGAAATGGCGCACAACGACGCTGAGCGCGACCAGCTCCTCACACGGCTCGTCGAGGCAGAGAGGCGCGCAGAAGAGGCGGACAGCAGGACGGAGGAGCTGGAGACTCGACTCATCGACGCCGAGAGCAAGAACGTCGACATGACAACCTTCATCAACGACGACGAAGGTAACGAAAAGAAGAAAATCTACTCCGAGCTAGAGTGCCAGACCGCCATCGCAGAGAAAGTCAACGAGATCGCGCGAGACCTACACTCAGCCTACAAAGCCAAGCACGAGAAGAAGATTAAAGCCCTCAAGGACAACTACCAGAAGAAAGCAGACGAGCGCTGCAAGGACCTCCGCCTGCAGATCATCCGTCTAGAAGGCCAAATCGAAGACGCAGAGAAGAACCACAATAACGAAAATCACGCTTACAGCCCCGCTAAACACCGCGCCGCTGAATGCCCCTCCTGCACCGCAAACACAGAGCACCTCGAGTCCCTGCGCGCAGACCTCGAAAACGCAAAAGCCCGCCTCGCTGGCCAGGCTTCCGAACTATCCTCCCTACGCTCATCCCACGCAACAACGCTAGAGGAACTCGAAGCCGAGCGCGTGGAAAAGGGCGAGCTAGTCGCCGCCGCAGAACAAATGCTCAGCTTGTGTGGTGAGAAAATGGAGGAGCTGCAGCAGCAGGATCTGCGTCGCTCGACGGCCACAGCCCCGCCGGTTGTGCAGCAGCAAAGAGCGCCCACGGAACAGGTCATGCGCAACACGGGCTTTTTGGCCGGCGGGGCCCCGGCTAGACCCGTGTCTAGGGCTGCGGGCGAGAAGGCGCCGCAGAAACCGAGTGGGATGCGGACGCCCGGTGGATTTGGGTTTGCGAATGCGAATGGGGGGGGACAGGCGCCTGCGTTGGGGAGGAGTACGAGTGGGCATGGGAACTCGGGGGGGAGTAAGAGTAGGCTTTTGAGTAATATTGAGAGGATGGGTAAGGGGGGGGAGTAAGGGGTGATGTTGGATGGGATTGGGATTGGGATTATGATGGGATGATTGGGTTGGGATTGGGATCATGATGGTGGGATTGTGGATTTGGCGTTGGAGGTGCGGGTTGCATACGGTTGTGCATTCAGTATTTTTTTTTCTTTCTTCTTTCTTCTTCTTTCGTGCTGTGCTGTGCCGTCTGGAATGGAATGGACTGGCTACTTTTTTTATACATGCATACATCCATCTCACATACTTTCAAGCTTCCACACCTTTTCCCTCCACTCACTCACTCACCCACCGATATCAAACAGAGTTCACCGGATTGACGTAACAAACACTTCCTTCTCATCAACTCGTCCCTTCTCCCGGTAAACGATCGAGAGGTTTCTGCGCAGATACATCATCGTTTATGAGTAATAGTCCCCTCTCTTCTGTAAAAGTTCTTTGAGCAAGGAGGGGGGTGATTCCCGGTTAGTTGGTTGGCTAGTTGCTCGTTTCATCCTGTCGGTCGGTCGGTTTGTTTGTTTGTCTGTCTGTCTGCATTTGTAAAGCAGGGTAGGTAGACGGACTATGCTGTGCTGTCCTGTGCTGTGCTGTGCTGTGAGATGTGGAACTGGAAACCAGGGGATTAGTGTAGCTTTCTCACTTCCCAATCCATCTCCATTCCTGTTTGTGTTTGTGTTTCTTCACTTATACTTACACTTATGTATGTTTGCACAAGTACATATACATACACATATCTTTCTATTTATACACATACCCCATTCCCACGTTTCCATTCATGCACACAAACATGTCAGTGTTTCTGTCACTGTTTCACAAACCCCCGTGCCCCGTCATCCCACTCGTAGTACCCTTGTATATAGTAGACCTACTATTTATGGTATTTGTCATGTCAGGTCAGATCATGTCATGTTTGAAATATCTGAATGTCGGTGTATGACTATGTTTCTCAGAGGCATTGGTAAACAGTCAAGTTGATATATGGATATATGTGTAGATATGTATACAAACCCCCAATAAGCTACGCTACGCTATGATAAACCCCCATCCTAAACGCTGAGAAAAGTTCATAAATGCATAAAGCGTAACATAACATCAATAATACAATGCATTGCCGTCCCGTCCCGTCCCAACCCCCCAATCCGTATATGCCCTCATGTCCCCCCGCGCGAAAACAAAAACAAAAACGCCAACACACCCCTCCCACTACGCAGGCAAAAAATGCGAATAATGCCCCGGCACCCTCAACCTGCACTTCTCGCAGTCCTCGCGATACCCCATAACAAGACGGCCCGACCCCGTCAGCGCACCGCTTCGCTTCCTGCCACTGCGCGGCGTGGGCGGGGCAGCAGCAGCGGGTGGTGAGCACGTCTCGACAGCATCGGTAGCGGTGTCCATATCGTCGAACGACACACTAAGTCGTGAGAGTTGGGATTGCGTCAGTTCGATGGGGGAGCCTGCTAGGTCTTCGTCTTCGGAGATGGGGGACGGCATGCGGCGCGTGCGGTCGTCGTCTAGGTCGTGGCGGGCTGCTTGCCAGGCGGGTTGCGCGTGGGGGGGTGGGTGGGTGCTTGGTGGGCTGTTGTTGTTGTTGTTTGGGAAGCCTAGCCCGTTCATGCCGGCGCGGTGGAAGTTTGGGTAGATGGGCGTGGGGATGCGGCTGGTGTTGTGCATGGAGGGTGCTGAGAGCGAGGTGTTGAGCATGGGAGGGCGCATGAAAGAGTTGCCGCCAAAGGGTGAGTCTTCTGTGGGCTGACTGCGCGTATCCGCCTCGTCGTCGTCCATGTCCATATCCATGTCCGTGTCTGTTTGGGAGTACTGTCTGGTAGGGCCGTCGAGGAATCTTTCGGGAGAGTTTGCGCACTCGCTGGGTGCGGGCGTTATGGCTTGCAGGTCGGTCACGATTGTGGATGGAGAGGGCGTGTGAGAGGGCAGAAAGGGCTTGTTTGAAAATGACGACTGATCCACAGACCGGAACCTCTGCGTTGGTAATCAGCAACCCGAGGCTGGCAAGACTCGACGGAGATGCGCACCTTGAAGCTGAAGTCGTCGCCAAACTCGCCCTCCTCTTCCTCTCTGCGTCGTTTGGTGTTCATATTCATTGTGTGGGGGACCATGTGGACTGTAGAGGGCGGGGTTACGTCGTCGCAGGGCTCGTCACAGGTGCAAATCGTCGACGGATGGGTTGGCGGACAGAGGTGGGCTCGGGCTGGCGGTGGATGGACGTGCGGGTGGCATTTGTTTTGACGCAGGAGGACGAGAGGTCACCAGGGGAAGTTACAAGGGACTGATGGCACGTTTCAGCGTTGCATCAATTCACCCTGCCTGGGCCGGTGAGGTTGCGCGCCTGCGGATCGGCAAGCGATCCTGTGGGGGAGATGCTCTGCCCTGTCCAAGCCTGCCGTGTTGTGCATGCGGGCGAGACGGTGAGGTGAAGTGATGATGATGCACACAACCACCATGTCAGAGAAGTCGGCGCTTTCCGCACAACGTCCCGTGACATGGATGAATATTAAATGTCAACCACTGCCCATGATTTAGGCGGCGTCAAGTGCCACTCGGTGCGGGCGTCGGGCTGTGCATGCGGGCTGAGGTGTACGAGATGTCGGGCTGTAGATAAGTGCAAGTCCACGCAGAAGATTGGCGAGGTGAGTTGTCGGTGAGCAACATCTGCTTATTGCTTGCTTGTTGCTTAGCACAGGGCGTGATGCAATGCAGCAGCGCCCTGCAGGTGGATCCTTGGTCTAGCTCGGGATCGATGGCAAGTGGACGCGCCAATGGACCCCACCTCAAAAAGAATTACATATTTGGAAGCGTGACTCTATTCGATGCGAGGCGATTCCCATAACACTACACAATACATTTCTCGATTCTTTCTTCTAGCTTTCTGGTCCTAGACGCACAATTGCTTCAGAGATTTAGTTAATACCCCTCCTTCAACTATTCAGCCCTTGGCTTCTTGTGTGGCGCCATACTCAGCTCACCATCAGCTCTGTCTCGCGCAGGACCACAATCCAACCTCAGCTTCCAACACTGGTGAGTTGCTCGACCAAGATGCGATATTTTCTAGCCCGTGCGGGAAAGCTAATCACAGTATATAAAGACCCAGTCTATTCGAGACCAACATGCCAGCCTCCACAGCAGACATCACAAATAACATGCCTTCAGCCACAGAAAACGGAAGTGACGACGTACGCGGTAAGTCACACTCTCTCAACTTGCCTCCCCTCAAGCTCTCATACTAATACCATTATCCAGTCCTCGGATACGACCCATTGATTCCGCCCGCGCTCCTCTCCTCCGAGATCCCCATCCCAGCACACGCAGAACAGACAGTCATCCAGGGCCGCAAAGATGCCGTCCAAATCATCACACAGCAAGACGACCGTCTCCTCGTCATGGTCGGACCCTGCTCGCTGCACGACCCAGAACTGGCCCTCGAGTACTGCCAGCGTCTCAAGGCCCTCGCCGACAAGCTCAGCGACAACCTCCACATCATCATGCGTGCTTACCTCGAGAAGCCGCGCACAACAGTCGGCTGGAAGGGTCTGATCAACGACCCGGACATCGACGAGAGCTACCAGATCAACAAGGGTCTCCGTGTCTCCCGCAAGCTGTTCGTTGACCTCACATCCACAGGCATGCCCATTGCCTCGGAGATGCTCGATACCATCTCCCCCCAGTTCCTCGCAGACCTCATCTCGCTAGGTGCTATCGGTGCGCGAACTACCGAGTCTCAATTGCACCGTGAGCTTGCGTCTGGTCTCTCTTTCCCCATTGGTTTCAAGAACGGTACCGATGGCGGTCTGCAAGTAGCAGTTGATGCTATCGGGTCTGCTGCCGCGAAGCACCACTTCATGGGTGTGACCAAGCAGGGCCTGGCTGCCATTACGCGAACGGCTGGCAACGAGCACTGCTTCGTCATCCTCCGCGGCGGATCCAAGGGCACCAACTTCGACCGCGACAGCATCAAGACTGTCCGCGAAGCGTTAAGGAAAAAGAACCTTCCCGAGGTCATGATGGTTGACTGCTCGCACGGTGCGTTTTGCCATGATAAACTCTGATATACAGTTACTGATTTTAGCAGGCAACTCCAACAAGGACCACCGCAACCAGCCCAAGGTCGCCAAGGACATCTCCGACCAGATCCGCGACGGCGAGACTGGCATTGTCGGCGTCATGATCGAGTCCAACATCAACGAGGGCAACCAGAAGGTGCCTGCAGAGGGTCCCGCCGGACTGAAGAAGGGTGTCTCCATCACTGATGCCTGCATCGACTGGGAGAGCACTGTCACCGTGCTCGAGGACCTCTCCTCTGCTGTTGCGGAGCGGAGATCGAAGAAGAGCAAGGCCAATGGCGCGCACTGATTGCGTTGTCAGCCTCGAACTTGTGTATATATAGTGTTTGAATTGGGAGTTTGTGGGGGGTAAAAGCAAGCGACGAGATGGCGCTACGAGTTCGGTGTAGTTATGCCTCACCTCTTGGAGTAGTTATGAAACTTTGCTCCTTGTCTTTTGTATTGATTCTGCGTGAGCCACGGTTTGCGACGTTGCAGAACATTGATGTACAAGTCTTGACAACAACCAACTTGCATTCGTTTCTACTCTTCCTCGTCTTCTTCCCCTTCATCGTCGTCCTCTTCCTCGTCCTCTTCCTCTTCCTCTCTTCTACTCTGCGTACTCCTCCTCCCACTTGCCGTCCCCGCCCCGGTACTCCCACCCTTCGTCACAGCCCTCTCCCCAACAAACACCTTCCCCGAACACACCGTCCGACACTTCGGACACTTTCTATTCTCGACCGTCTTACCGCGGTAGAAGTTATTCGCACATTGATCATGCCACCGCACCCCACACTCCCTCTTGTCACACCGAATGCCATGCGTCATAAGCTCCCTGCACCCCTCACAGTCGCGTATGCGCATGACTTCCACGCCGTCCTCCGTGTCGTCCGCAGCCTCATTGTACGTCTCTTTGAGGTAGGCGCGGAGTTCCATCAGGGCGCGGGGGGCGAGTGAGTAGAAGCCGTGTTGTGATTTGCGCAGGAAACCCGCGTTGACGAGGTCCTCGAGGACCGTCTCTGCGTCCTGCATACTGATCCCCGGGTCTGCGGCCTCCTCGCCGTCCGCGCTGTGTACCTGGCTTTGTCTATTGCGGCGCGAGGCGCGCGCTAGCGCCGATGCTTCGTTCTGCTTCAGCGCCATTGTCTCGCGGGTGGGTGTGTTGTTTGTGTCGAACATGCAGTCGAGCAGGCGCCGGATGTAGGCTATTTCGGCGGGGGAGAATTTCGTCGCGAGTTGCGTCAGCGCGTCTGAGGCGTTGTTTACGAGCGCGTAGGTGAGCGCTTTGGAGTGTTGGTCGCGTGTGGACCGGATTTCTAGGTCGAAGGGGGTGATGCGCGCGTTGAGGGTTTGGATTGTGGAGGTTATTTGCGGTTGCGTTACGTCGCCTTCCATGTACGGGCGGTCTGGATCTGTGGGGGTGAGTAGGGTGGGTGGGAGTGATATTGGATGGGGGCTTACTAGATGCGGTGATTATGTGCGCGAGGACGGGCTTGATTTCGTCGACGGTCATTACATTGTGGGTGAGGAAGGATTGTAGGAAGGCGCGATGTACGGAGGTGTAGCCTGTCTCGGGAGAGGCATCGCGAACGAGTGGAGAGTCGTCTCGAGACATGTTGGATGAGAGAAAGTGGGATGGCAGAGAGTGGGATGGCGCTTGGGCATTGGAGACTTGACGACGCAAGGATACGAGTATGCGGGAGGATCCCGCTGGACGCGAGGATACGCGACGCGCATGTACGTGTGCACGTGAGCTAGATCTATTTCATATATGGTACAGGGGTACATACACAACGTTGTAGAGATCATGATTCGAAACAATTGACAGGGAAGGCATCGTGGCTATGTTGTGGGCATGTTCTTGGTAATCATATCGTCGCAGTTGAATATCATGCTTTGTAACCCATCTTGGCTGCAATGACCTACTTTGAAGTGAGAGTGAAACACCAATTAGCAGGCCTGACAGTATTTGTAAGTCTTTGCGTGTAGTCTACACAACACTGTTTGTCCCAGTAGAATGGAAGATGTCACGACTCTTTCACTATCACAATACGCAGCGCTCTGGGTCACAATTTTAGATCATGAATCATCTTTGACCCCGTGACCTGTCCACCAGGTGTCTGCTGTGTATCTGGAAATCATCTTATTGGATGGCTGTCGATAACCGTGGTGACAAGATTGCGGTCTGGACGCTGAACACTAGCAAGTGGACGAATCTTGAAGCCCGACACGGTCAGGACGGATGGGCGTTGAAGACGACAACGGACCGAGTGTCCACTCCCACTCGCTGGAACAGTGGAGCGATGCTCAGCTTCCCTGAAATGGCATGCCTCGTGTTTTAGTCTTTCATGGATGCTGTCGTGATTCAGGGTCCATCACGCAACAAAGGCGGTGGGTCGGGTTTCGGACTACCCGGATTATCACCGTCAACGGCAAAGTCTTAGCGAGTGTGACCTCGGGAAAATGCATGGCACTCGGTGACGTAGCCTCGAGAGCAAGTCCACCTCTATTCAGTGCTACGCTGAGTTGATGGTCGAAGAAGGGAGAAAGAGTTAGACAATCTGTCGTTGGACGCTAAATGTACATGTCAATTTCAAAGGGTAGGTGGCTGATGATAGCATTAGGCTGTGCAGTCAACATGGTAGTTCCTAGACGCTACGATAATCCAGACCAGACCATGTTCTGCCTTGGAAGCGGAGCTTTACGGCAGGTCTATCGTGCACGACGCCCGATCCCTCATATACAGCTCGATCCGCCCTCCCAACTTCTGCACCGTTGAACTCTCTCCGCTCTCGCCCCCGTGCTCTGCTGTATCCGCTGGCCTTTCCGCCTTCAGCAAGACTTCAGCCCTACGTCTCTAATTGCGAGCCAACCTTTTCAGGCACGCGAACCGTTCTGCTTAATCTCTTGAGGACCCTGCGTCGTTGTCGCCTACCTTCTTAGCGGCCCTCCCGTCCTGACGCCATATACACGTATCTGGCCGCGGCACAATAAACGCAGAGCGTGTTGGCAGTCACGTTGGCGGCAGTGTGTATTATTGGAACCACGCTTCGAATATTGCGCAGTGCATTCCTCGGGCTGTGACTTGCGCTTTGGCTGGTGTGTCGTAGTTCGCCTCACCCTATGATGTCATAAGCACACACAGCTGCTTTCGACATTCCAATCCCACCAACCACCCGCCAAACGCTACACCGTCTCCATAATTCAAGTCCTGTCCCCTCGTGCACGACTAAATCTACGCTACGACCCGGCCCCCGCCTCACCCGTGACGCGTCGGAGTGCCTTCCTTCCTTCACGATGTCTACACCTGCCGTTCCCTCTAGACTCAGAGGCTCCTCACATTCGACGCACGCCGCCACTTCCCGCCCCAGATCGACACAAATGACGAGGCCAAGTACCTCCATACATCCCACAGTTGCACCCTCCCCTTTCACGCCCCTCATGAATGCGATAGCGAAGACGCCGAGTCATATCGCGCAAAATAACAAGAGTCCGGGCAATGCAAGCCCGAACTACTTTGGACTGACTGTTAACGGGGACGGCGATCACTTCTCTTCCAGCGCTGCACAGCACATCCGTGGCAACTGGAGTCCACCGACGTCGAATGTGCGCTCCACAGCCGCCGCCTCTCCGCAGATGATGCCAGTTGAGCAAAACCCTGCTTTCGAGCTGTTCAGGCGACAATCCGAGAACAACAGAGGGTTCTCATTGGGCAGTTTCGAATTTGCATCAGGTCATTCCGCAACATCAAAGGGTTCATTCTTCCCTCCCGTACAGGCGTCGCCACAGTCGCCGCAATCGACAGCCATGCCTCCACCCCCCGCCAGTGCAAAGAACGAGACGAAAAATGAGAGTAGCCACCCGCCCAAGCCACGTTCGCCAAAGCGGATGCTGTCCACCGAGTCCACCATGTTTCCAGACCGTCCACGACGCAATTCTCCAGCAAGTTTCGAAGGTATCAAACGCACAAACGCCATAGCAGAGTTCGTGGAGAACCGAGACATTCGAGCTTCACTGCCTCCAAAAGATACCATTTCGCAATTGTCCCAGTCAAGTCGGTCTGAAACACTGCCTGCAAAGATCGCAAACGAACACAAAACGGACGGGCCAACCTTGGCGACCCCTCAGCACATTGTCAACATCTTGGAAAGTTCGTCGGATGAGATTCTTTTGCTTGATCTTCGAGTATCCACACAATATGCCAAGAGCTGCATAACAGGCGCGTTGAGTCTCTGTATTCCTACAACACTCCTCAAGCGAGCTTCATTCAACGTTGAAAAGCTAGCAGAAAATTTCAAGGACGAGGAGCAAAGGCAAAGGTTCGAACGATGGAGGAGTAGCAAGCACATCATAGTATACGACGCCAGCTCTTCGCAACTCAAGGATGCAACGACCTGTGTCAACACGCTCAAGAAGTTCACAGGCGAGGGTTGGTCAGGTGGATGCTACATCATCCGTGGCGGCTTCAACGAATTTGCACAGAAGTTCCCATCGCGGATTTCTCAGCAAGCCTCTGCCAGCCCGACGGCGTCTGCTCCGGGATCCCTCAAACTCAACTCCAATCTTCCTCTAGCCGCACCTGTCATTGGCGGCTGCCCTATGCCTGCTACTCAAAGCGCTGCAAATCCTTTCTTTGGCAACATCAGACAAAACATGGACCTTATCGGCGGTGTCGGCCAGATGTCCCTGAAACACCCGGAAGATATGACCGAGTCGGCTGAAGATGAACTGCCTCAATGGCTCCAGAAAGCGGCAGAGAACAAGGATAACGGAAAGAGTGTTTCGGACAAGTTCTTGAAGATCGAGAGACGTGAACAGAAGCGCATGCAAGAGGCTCTCTCGGGCACGGTCGTCTATGGAACTCCTACTGGACAGGCTGCCACGAAAAAAATTCAGATCGCAGGTATCGAGAAGGGTTCAAAGAACCGCTACAACAACATCTGGCCGTACGAACATTCACGCGTCAAGCTCCAGGGTGTTGGTGATGGAAGCTGCGATTATGTCAACGCCAATCACGTCCAAGCTACCTACTCCAACAAGCGTTACATTGCTACTCAGGCTCCGATCCCAACAACCTTCAACGTACGTCTGTACTACATAGTGTTAATGGACATCTGCTAATATTACATACAGGAATTCTGGAACGTTGTCTGGCAGCAGGACGTTCGAGTTATCGTGATGTTAACAGCCGAATCGGAAGGTGGTCAGCAGAAAGCTCACAACTACTGGTCAGAAAAGCGTTACGGCTCGCTGCATTTGAACACCCTAGGCGAACGAAGAGCATCCCTCGAGCCGTCCAAGATTCACCGACACCGAGATCAGTCACGACCATCACTGAACCAGCGAAAGTCAACCAACGCCAAACTCGCCAACTTCACCAAAGAAGCTACGACCGGCTCACCGACCGCCGAACAGCCCTATGTTATGGTCCGCAAATTCACCTTGTCAAATGACGCGGAGCCATTCGCAAGGATGCGAGAGATCACACAATTGCAGTACTCGCATTGGCCTGATTTTGGTGCTCCAGCCCACCCAACCCATCTCCTCGGTCTCATCGAGCAAACTGATGCTGTCTCTCGCCAGGTCAACGGTGTCAACTCACCTTCTAAACCTGAACCATCCAATACCCGCCCAATTATCGTACACTGCTCTGCCGGCTGTGGTCGTACAGGTACTTTCTGCACTGTCGACTCGGTTTTGGATATGCTCAAGCGTCAACGACAAGCACGTGCAACGAGGGAGAGCACGCCCATGGAAGTCGATGCCGGCAACACTGCCAAGAACGAGCACAAGAATGTTCGCGAACAAGGCAGCTGGGTCACAAAAGACGACATGGATCTCATCGAGAAGACGGTCGAAGACTTCAGGTTACAGCGACTAAGCATGGTGCAGACTCTGAGGCAGTTTGTCCTCTGCTACGAGAGTGTTATGGAATGGCTTGTCGACCAACATCCCGAGACGGCGTAGAGTGCTGCTGAGCGTTCCCGCAAGTTATGGATCATGTCGGGGCAAATGGGATGGACTGGGACAAGGGACTAGGGTGCTGTATGTTTGACAACAAACAAACACGAATGCACTTATGAGAATATGTGAATCATGACTAAAGGGTGAGGAAAGGAGGCGCGTCATCTTCTTTATCGCCGCCATCATTGAAGGAGCTCATCCATTGGGAGGCGTCTTGTGCATTGCTTTGCTTAGAGTATACCTGTGCGGGTGGGGCGGTGCATTGGAAACGGAATGGAAATGGGATGGGATGGCTTGGGAGGAATTGGGGTTCAGGCTGTCTGTTCTTGTGTGCGTGTTCTTTTGCAACCCCCTGTTTAGCATAATATCTGGAAATTGGAATCGGTTTTGTATTGAATGGAATTTTAATAGATGTTTTTTGAAGACTGGAGTGATGAAGTGGTGTCCATGTCGAAATGGGTCAGATTGATTGATCGCTTAGTCTTGACTGGAGTTATGTTGCATGTTCCTTACTTTCATCCAGTGTCTAAGATAGACTTTATCTGAGTAATACCTCCCCATTTCCAACAGAGATGTTTTCAGCATGAATAAGTGTGTCCTCGTCATCCTAGCCATCCTTTCCCTCGAAACGAACGTAGGAATACAAAGTTTATACTAGTGACAGTTTACATACATTTTATCATTACACCCTTACCTTCGAGAAACCTCGTATACTCGTTCGCGACGTTGAACACCGATCATCTTGCAACATGGTATGTACTAGTGGAGCGCTGCTCTTGGCTTTTACTCTCCTTTCTGCTACTTACTCTGTATGCGATGATTTCTGTATTTCGGCTTGTGATTGAATTCACGCTTTGAGTCTGGGGTAAATATCCTAGATGTAAGGGAGCATGAGAAGTTTTCAAGGGGCGGTGACACATTGACAACAAGAGCTAAAGTGAAGAGAAGACCATGAATCAAGCAGACGGTGTGTATTTCCCCTCCCACTATACGCCTCACTATCCCATCCCATAAACTCAAAAAAAGAACGCCTCAAAATCCACCATTCAATACAAAGCCGCATTCCCCAACCCATGCTCCTTGATATACTCCCCGCCCTTCTCGTGATACTCCGCCTTGGTGATGAAATTATGCCTCATCTCCTTCCTGCCGGCCCACTGCGCCGCGCCCCTCCACGCATCCAACGTGCAGTCCTTAGCCCTGCGGACGCGAATCTCCTGTTCGGCAGGCAACACGGCTCTCAGCTCGCGCGCAAGGCGCTCCTCGAAGCCCTGGAACAGCGTGTTACCGCCCGTGAGGAACACGTCCCTGAGCACGTCGTCGCGGTGGGGCGACTCGGCCAGACGCTCCGTCAGGATGTTTGCCGCAATCTCCACGATGCCGGCTTGGTCGAGGCCGGCGATGGAGGGCTGGAAAACGACTTCGGGGACCCGGATGCGCTCGACGTTGAGGTGGAGCTGGTGGGCTTCGCGCTGGGATTCTGGGTCGTAGGAGTATGGCCCGTGGAGGAAGGCGTGCAGGATGCTCTTTGTCCAGTCTGTTTGCGCTTCGCGCGTGGATTCTTCGGTGAAGTTGGGGTCGTGCTTGAGGAGCTGGGTTTCGATGTCTTTGAGGTTCTTGCTGAGGTCTTCTTCTTCCTCGTCGTCGGAGCCTTCGCCCGTAGCGATGGTGCGGTATACGCCCCAGTCTGCGTCGTCGGCGCCGAAGGTGTCGTCGTCTCCACCGCCGCGGCGTCGCTTCTTTGTGGGGTTGTCGGAGGCGAGGTTTGCGATGGACTTCATGCGCATTTGGTTGGCGAGGGATTTACGTGTTCCCAGCTCGGCTTTGAGGCGTTCGCGGTCCTTCATCTTCTGGATGATGGCTTGACGAGCTATCCGACGCTCGTCGATCCAGCTTTGTGGGTCTGTCTCTCTTTGCTGGTCATCAAGTCGCTGTTCCTCCGCAAGTCGTGCTTTTTCTTTTTCTTTCTCGATCTTCGCACGTTGACGGGCGTCATAATTGGACTTCATCAATCTCTGTTGTCGCTTTTGCTTGATGCCCTCTTCGTCCAGCTGATCGTCTGGTTGGTCTAGGAGTGGAAATGTGGGCTCTTCTTGCTGTTCCTCTTCAAAATCGCCAACGTCCTTATTACGAGCCTTCTTGATAGATTTCTCCAACTCCTTGATTCTCTTATCCAACTGACCCTCATCGTCGAAGTCGTTTGATTCCAGCACGCGGGCTTTTTCCTTTTTTGTGGTGATGTCTACAAGTTGCGCTTGTAGCTGTATGTAATACTCCAGTTCCTCCTCTTTCTTCTTCAGCTTCTCCAGTCGCATGCTCGCAGCTTTGGCCTGCAATCTCCGCCCACCTTCCTTTCGTTTCTCTGCTGCAGCTGCGAGCTCCTCCTCCGTCTTCTGGATTACGATCTGCTCCGTGTATGGAAATTGGACAGTGTGGTCTCGATCTTCGAGGCCTGACCAGTCCAGACAGCGGCTGAGGTCCTCCTCGTAGTTGTTTGACAGATGGCAGTGTTCTCGGACAAGGTCTTCCGCTTGGTTATCGCTGATCTTCCCAGGGAACGATGGGTATTTGAGCCTAAGCAGCTTGAGGAGGTATTGAGCAGATTGGAAGCGACCCCAATTGAGGCGCGAGCTCTGCGAGAGGAGAGCTTTTGAGTTGACGACCGGGATGAGATGGGTTGAGGTATACGAGGAATCAATGACTAGACCGCTACGGCCGCCATTGTAGGAATATGAGAAGAGCGAGTCGATGCCGTATGCGACAGAGGGTGCGCCATAGCACTCGAACAAGATCTCAGACATGGCTGTTGATACCAGAGTTAGCAGAGCTCTAGGGTTGGTATGCGATCAGACGTCACGTACTCTTTCTTGTATAACCCAAGTTCGCGATAGGCTCGGTCATGACAATGGGCCTGTCTATGGATCCTGACCGACCATCTATGCCCATTTTGATGAAGCAGTAGTCTAGCACGCCCTCCATCGAGTCCCAGTTGTTGATGATGTTACTCCCAGGCTCGTAGATGGGCTTCGACTGCCCTCGCGCCGTGCCGTCCGAGTAGACGTCTGCCCCGACAAAGGTGAAGGTTCGATTCAGCTTTCGGTCTCTATACCGTGCCATGTTTGGCAATACTGATATCCGCGGTTTCGAGTCAAAAGACCATCCCGCGCGCACTGCTGACGACCCTGCGATCTGTTAGTATGCGCGTAGAGATTCATGCTGAGGTGTGAGCAGCTACCATTGTCGATTACTATTGCGGTTTCGCGGTTACTACGCGCGTATCCTTCCGTGTCTATTGGCTTGTAGCCTTCGAAAGGTGGCTCGTTCACGCTCCAGATCCTTGCCGGCGGAGGTTTGGGAGAGTTGCGCCCTGAGGCCTCTTGCGCGTCGCTAGTTGCGGAGGGGGCCATGGTGGTGAGGTCCAGGGTGGAGATGAAGCTGGAGGTGGAGCGATCAGATCATGTCGTGGACTCCGGGGCGATGGATCTGATTTGTTGGCGCCGAGGTTGCTAAAGTTATGTTGCATGGCTGGTGTTGGTGATGCTGTTGCGCGGAATCCAGGGTCCATGCGCCATTGAACAATTCACATCATCAACAGTAAAAATAGTTGGCAAAGTGCTATAGTCTTGACTGATTGGATTTGTTGCTCTGGGGTATCGTAAAAGGGAGACATCAGACTTGTCGCCTTCCACCTAATATCATTCAAGGACCTTGCTTCGTCTAACTTGCAGCCAGCATTCTCCCAATCCTCTACCTATATATCACAACAAGACCGACCGTTATTATGCAGGATCCTTCAAACCGTTTGTGGCTACTGATGTTAGCACTCCTACTACATATGGCCACTTTGAACCTTGCACATACCTTCAAGATGGAAGAGGACGTTGGACTGATAGTTCTTGAACATCTGCGCTACAAGTTCCGTATCCATGTTGGCGATGTTGATCTCTTGCAGATTCTTGTTCAACATCATAACGGCCTCGTTCAACTTTTCCTATAAAGAGATCAGTTGTGGTACAAGGTGAGTGTAGTTCAACACTGCAACTGACAACATTGACGATGATACGGGAGAGCAAAAGGCTCTGCTGATGCTCGTGAGGACTCTCCTAGAACAAGTCAGATTCACGCGTCATCACATGCTCTTAGCCAGATTCATCGTACCATGCTTGCGATCGGGATGTTGTACTTTGGAAAGCACGCGTTCTTGTTGTTTGGCGGGGAGCATCAAAGCAGTTAGCGAGCCAAGATCTGGTGAACGTTAATCCCGACCAGAGCTCTACCTCCGCAAGCTCCCCAGCGCTCATCGAAAACGCGTTGCGTACTACTGTGTTACTTACAAACGCGTCCCACATCCCCATCATTTGCATCTCCCCGAAGTTTTCCAAGTTTGACTGCCAGCACAAGTTTCGCGATCTACAGCTTCAAGATGGCGCCCTTGACCACGGCTTCTGATGAGAAAACACACCAAGCACTCCTTGACAAGCTCGATGTCTACGCGGTTCACAAGCCCTTTCGAAACCCAAACTGGAAGACGGCACAACGGCGCAACAAGAACCTCAAGCAGATCATCGGCGAGGCCTCGCGCAAGGAAGCCTCAGTAATGGCTACGCAAAACAACAGCGGCATCTCCACACCCTCTGTTCCTCACACCGAGGGCGCCGGAACACCTATTGGCAACGGCGGCCCACCCAATATCGCACAAGCAGCCCAGAGCCTGAGCACGCTGGTCCTTGAGAAGAACGGCAGAGCTGCTGCGGGAGGGAACGCGACGGGACCTGCGCCTACATACATGAACATCGAGTCCGCACCGAGTTTCCACCCAAGCAGCCAGAAGAAGTACTGTGACATTACGGGTCTTCCTGCGCCCTACACAGATCCTAAGACGAGACTGCGATACCACAACAAGGAGATCTTTGGCACCATCAGGACAATGCCGCAGAATGTCTCCGAGGGCTACTTGGCGGCAAGAGGAGCGCACACCATTTTGAAATGAGTTACGTCTTCGGTCCGCGCGCCTTTGGTGTGTAGCTCGTAGAACGTGCATCAAAGGGTGTTGCGACGGTACAACGCCGTTAGGGTGTATCGCGGTCGTCGATGAACATGCCAAGAATCAACAACGAAACACAAAAAGCAGCATCTGACAATATTAGACGAGCTGGCTGGCCATCTGATCTGTCATTTCACAGCAAACACTAGTTGGGACGCAATCATGTATGACCATCAAAGTCAAGCACCTTCCACCCACCAAGCCCCTTTCGAAGCAAGGCTCAAGAAGGCGCTCCGGCTTAATCGTGATCCTGTATTGTTCTGCGCCCGTGAGACGGTATACCAGGGCCTCGAGGGAGGTATTCCTAGTTACAGCTGCATTGTAGCAAGCTGTTGTCGGGGCGGTCATGTAGTTACTTGTTGCTGCGACAGCAGCCATGTCTAGACGAAGAGAATGAATAACAACACATGAATTGCTTCATCCCATCCATTTGCCGTGCATGGTTGCTGGTTGTGAGCTTGACCTCGAGGGTTGCGAGTTGAGGTTTGAGAGAGCGAGAGCTCCAAAATCTGCGAACGCCAGCGGGACGCACGCGCTAGACAGGGATCATTCTCGGGCGCACGTCGGACCATTCTGCGCGTCGAAGAGCGGCAGCGAAGGGACACGACGCAAGTGAACCTTATGTCAGATTGCTGTTGAAATAGGCGGCAGCCAATACGTTCACTGGTTCTCTTGTTCCCTCGTTCTCTCATTCCTTTCTCATCATATACATTATCAACTTTGGAGGCGCGCCTTCAAACGCAATTCAAGATGCCGACCATGTGGCTCTCAGACACCCAGAGTACGCTCCCTCAACATACACAACCCGGTGTAGAAGGATGAATGCTGACCATGAATAGAGATTGGGGTCGCCTTCTGCTCAGGGGGTAGGTACGCAATGCCACTTCTTCCCCGCACAGCAACGACAGAATGGAGGATTGATTAAGCACAGGCGGACTGTTCCTCATGGGCGGAGTAATGATGTTTTTTGATCGCGCAATGTACGTCCATAAACCCCTCCCCTCTCTCCAACTATACTAACATTCACAGGCTGGCAATGGGCAACGTACATACCCCCTCCTTCAACCTCCCCCGATTCGCTCTCCTGACGCTCAGTAGATCCTCTTCATAATCGGCCTCACACTCATAATTGGCACAACAAAAACCCTCGCCTTCTTCGCGCGACGCCAAAAATGGAAAGGCACCGCCGCCTTCTCCCTCGGCATCCTACTCATACTCATGCGCTGGGCGTTCTTCGGCTTCGTCATCGAACTCTATGGGATCTTGGTGCTGTTTGGGGATTTCTTCGCACAGATTGCGGGGTTCGCGGGGGGCATTCCGGTTGTGGGACCGTATATCGCGAAGGCCTTGGCGGTTTTGGGCGCTGGGGCAAGGACGGAATCGAATGTTTGAGGGTGGGGTATTTGTGGATGTGGGAAGAGGGGCTGGGACGATGGAGGGGAAGGGCAGCGAAAGAAGAGAAGAAGACCAGGAAGAGGAAAGAGGAAGGTTCAAGAGGTGAGGTTGGGCCATACACAGACAGACACTGGAGTACTGGGGCACGGCTAGTCTCCAGATAATCAGGAGAAGAGAAGCATGAATGGAGTTTGGAGGTATGGCATGGCACCTACGAGCCTCGATTGGGCATGAGACATGTACGAATACGAATTCACGCTGGAATCATGCATCGCATCCCATGTCCTGTCTAACCGTTACGTGTGTTACCAGAACCTCATCCTACCAAATATCAGAGGATGGAAGCCCCGATCATGCGAACAATCTATAACATGACACCTTCACAGCTCCGCAGTCATCAGACTCAACAACACCATAATAGAGCACAGATGTTCGGGATTGAACATCTAACACCCATTTCTTGGTGAAGAAGAAAGAACAAAGAGTAGGCAATGAGTAACGGCTAGAGTAGCGGTCCAATTTACATACCACGCTGTATCATACTCTAATCTCCAGGCAGGCCATCTCCATCTTTCCACAGTGACGATGCAGTCGATCACTTCCACCACCTCGCCAACAAACAAACAACCACCTACCTAACCCTCGTTCAACACCTCGAACCCATCGCATCCCTCTCAAGCCACACGACAATCCGCCTAATATCTCTAATCTCATAGAAACACTCATAATGCTCCTTCGCATACCGAATAGCACGCGAGCGGTCATCCGTCGCTTCGGGTTTTGGGTCCGGCTGGTTGGCTAGCAGCTTCTCGTAGTATGGATTGCATTTCTCGCGCCGGCGCCGGGGGTACTGGTTCATGTATTCGGTGTATCGGTATGCTAGGGCGTAGGGGTCTTGGAGGAGGGGGGGAGGCGTGGACATTTTGGGATGGTAGGATTTGCGTTGGGGGTGGAGAAGTTGGGTGTTGGAAGGATTTGAGAGAGTTGTGGGATGTAGATGGTAGAGGGATAAGTGGTTGTCTGAGAGGATGGAAGATGGTGTTTCTCCTGGAGTGACACATTCTTTGAGGTTCTGTGTGCGTTTGTTTGTCTCTGTCAATGCAGTACGTGATTGAGGTAGTGTCGACTGTTTCTCTTTATGTGTCTCATGATATCAGAAGGAGATTAGCTCAACAAGTGCTTCTGGCTCCAAAGAAAGTTCCTGATTGCGGCACGGTGTTGCAGTGGTGTTATCATGTTTTTATCTTGATGTCGAACGGTTTTTGTCCTGGAAGAGATTGATAGGCAAAACTGAACCTGGGGGATATTATCTTAGAGAAGATAGTGTTAGCGATGGTGAGAACTGATAGGTTTACAAGCCAACTTTCTTCTAATTTAATACTACGAGAGAAAACCAGGTCATGGATAGACTGCATAACCTCCCATATATTGGTGACAGTAGAGAAAAAGGCATTGAAGACGGGTTGGAAGTATGGAGTTTACTTTACATGTGTTGTACATTATCGTTGCGATCTCGAGTCAGTGGAGAGAGGTAAAAGCTTGCAACAACAAACTTAACTTCAACAATCGAGACATCCGTCACAAAACAGACAAAGCCAAGACTGCAACATTCCTTGATGTTCTGGGTACATCAACGGCGCACTTGGGTGGAGTAGAAGCCCGGCCACGCTAATACGAAGTCAGCTAGTTAAGACGCTAACAATTCGGCAAAATCAGAACTTTCGAGCTTCTTCAACTTTGACCTGACGGACAACGCTGCACTCAATATGGCGTCCAAGTCGTAAGTCCGCCCATTGCGCGTCTGCGTCTCCCATTATCAATTGCTAACTATCCCCCCAGAAGTGTCCCGACGCAGAATGACATTCTCGTCCCCGAGACATTATTGAAGAAGCGCAAGTCGCAGGAGAAAGCTCGCGAGGACCGTGCGATTGCGACGAAGGAGAAGCGAGGTACGACATTCCAATGTGCTGTGAAGACTCGGACAGGGCGACTACGATGATTATAACTACCACACTATCGGCTAGACTACGGTCAATGTTGTCGAATTGTTAACCATCTTTCGGGAATGATGCAGTCGCCCTATTCGAGCTTCATGGTACTTTACACTACCACGGACAGAGCTGACATGCGGCAGAGAAGAACAAGAAGAAGCGAGAAGTCATCTTCACACGGGCTGAGAAGTACGTGAAGGAATACCGCGACGCCGAGAGGGAAACCATCCGATTGTCGCGTGAAGCCAAGAAGAGTGATAGCCTCTACGTTCCTGCGGAGCCTAAGCTTGTCTTCGTCGTTCGCATCAAGGGTATCAACAAGATTGACCCCAAGAAGCGCAAGACGCTGCAGCTTCTCCGTCTGCTCCAGATCAACAATGGCGTGTTCATCAGGCTTACCAAGGCGACTACAGAGATGTTGAAGAGTAAGTGATTTTAGTGATGAGCCAAAGTATCATAACTGACACATGTTATAGTTGTTGAACCTTTCATTGCCTACGGGTACCCCAACCAGAAGTCGGTCCGTGAACTCATCTACAGTAAGTGGGACCAAGTTTCATCATAAAGTTGATAAAGATTACTAACTTTTCGTCCAGAGCGTGGTTACGGCAAGATTGAGAAGCAACGCCTTCCTTTGACTGACAACGAGATCATCGAGCAGAACCTTGGGAAGTATGGCATGATCTGCATGGAGGATTTGATCCACGAGATCTACACCGTTGGTCCCAACTTCAAGCAGGCATCCAACTTCCTGTGGCCATTCAAGCTCAACAGCCCTACCGGCGGCTTCCGCAAGAGGAAGTTCAAGCACTTCATCGAAGGTGGTGATCTAGGCAACAGAGAAGACCTGATCAACGACTTGATCAGGCAGATGAACTAAGTGCAATATTTGTGAACGGGTCATTGTTTGGTGCCCGGAACGCTACACGGAATATACCACGGGAATGCATTGCAGCGGCGTTTGGGAAAAAGATCACGAAGAACGAGTTCACGTGTAGCATGAGAACCGAGATGTACGGCATGCCGGCACGGTCTGTCACCTGTAACACGACGCTGGGCTTGAGAGCCGTGTCCCCGACCTACCGCCGAAAGTGCGTAAAAGTCGAGCCAAGCCGAATATATGCGGTACGAAGGATATTACGTGGTCGTTTAGACATGTGCTGTGACCTTTGTCCGTCACCACCATAGAGTTATCACAATATGAATCAGCACGACGTAACCTTGAGAGCGAAATTTCTTGTCGCCTGCGTGAAGGTGTGGTAGTTGCTGGACGTGACTTGGACGTTGAGCCGCACCAATCACAACGACAAGGTATTGTTGGGTCAGGCTTCACCGTCCAAAGTCGTCACCAACAAACGATTTTCCTTTCACGTGGGCGCTTGATTACGGAGAGTGGCGGGCCAGATGCACGACATGCGCCGACGGCTGGGATTGCCACAACGATTTGACGATGTTTCTGCGTTTTGGTGGGATGCGCCAGCAGAAAGTGGAAGGCCGCGGGTATGCATGACGCTCACCAACGTGCTATGTTTGACGCAAGCGCTGCTGACCGGCCTCACCGCCGACGTCAACTCCGCTGCGACGACGTTTGGGGTTTGCCCGATTTGCAGAGGCTGGACTGATCCAAGCCGCTCACCCCTCATCATCACGCTGCACGATGTCGGAGCCAGTGGGACAAGGCCCCGCCTGGTGGACACCAGAGCATGGCGCAGGTGCCCGTCTGACAGAATTTTGCTGCCTTGGGCCAGATGCCGTGGGTTCCATATTTTCCTCGACCGCGGGCTACGGCAGGAAACGGGGTCTCGAGTGTCCATGCGGACAGACTGGAGAAGCGGACATATTGGCACACTGTCTTGCTCGGACAGATTCAGCAGCCAGCCGAGAGCAGACAATCAAAACAAAGAGCAATCTGTGTGCTGGGGGGACTGCAATCTTGCCTCTCGTGTCCCCGGTCCGGCTCTATATTTGCACGAGCTGGAGCACTAGGTATCATGGTGAACTGGGCCGAAGGGTCTGGTGGTGGTAGGCCAACCACCCTTGCGCTGCAGCGTGGCCAAACGGGCATGGCCATTTAATGAGGTTGGGGACGGCAGCCGGTTTCGACGGCGAACCAAGGCCACCAGAAAACCCACCCACGAGATACGTGGCTCGCTCTCGTGGAGGGTCAGAAGATGGTCCCTGACAGCGTTCATTGGTTTGCGGCATGGAAAGCAGTAGAGCGTGCAGCAATTTGTGCCTGACGACGCAGGAAATGCAGCGCACTGGGCACAGAGCAGAGTAGTGGCCGCGCTTCGCGATGTGTGCGAGTTATGACGGACTAGACTGGAAGGGGCAGAGATTTCATAGCATAGCAGAGATGAGTGGATAGACGGCCCCCTAAAGTCAACGATTATTACGCAGGCGCATGTGCGTCTGAAGGCTTGGGGTCTTCGCTTCGCGGCTTCACGCACGCCGGGCAATCAGCATCGATACTGCCACCCGCGCCTGTCCAGTTCCCTTTTCTTCACCTCTCCACCTCCACCTCTCCATCCTCTGCTCTCCTCTCTCCGCGTTCTGTCCCCGTTGTTGCCGGCGTTGTTCGTAGCGACTGTTGCCGTTGAGCCACCGACTGTCTCGTTACCGCGGGCTGATCCCCCATTGGCAACTGCTTGCGCGCTCGGACAATCCTCGTCCAGCCCCGGGAAATACGGCGGCTCGTCAGCTGCGCAACACCTTCACCTGGCGCTGGCTCCTCGCGGTTGTTGACGTCGGCCGTGCAAACTGATTGCGGCAGTGCTGCACTCGTCTGGTAGTCCAATTTTGTTTGGCCCGGAAACCACCGACGGAACTCTGGTTCGCTACCTGCCAACAAATCACGACCGCCTCGCCACCTCCTCCCTACTCACCGATTTGGTTCATCACTCGGCTCGGGCTTGGGTTTTCCATCCGTTTGTTTGGGTTCTGGCGCGTTGCTCCTTCCACTCCACGCCTCCCAGGTCACGACACCACCCAGGCTTCGGCCCTGCTCATCCGTGACACGCCATCGACCTCGCATCACAGGCGATCTATTCACTTAGACCTCGCCCTGGTCTTGCGTTTCAGTCATCGTCGCCTACGCCTCGACCGCTGCTGATCTCGAGGCACACCTCGCATCGCCTAACCGCCGTCTCAGCTGCGACACCAGTCTTGCCCCGACTCACCTGCGGCCTGCGCCTCACGTTGTCGTCGACGAGCACAGCACTGTCTGACTGAGACGCTGCTCTTGAGACCGCTCGCCGTTTCTCTCGATTGCTCCAAACACCAAACACTCCTTCTGAGCCACCGCCTTCTTTTGTGTATGAGCGCAACTTATTAGAGCGTCGGTAGACTCAACACAGAGCGTCCGCTCACCACCCCTTGCGGTTTAGAACGAAGAGACTGTACGTTGCACACCGTCCCACAAGCCTGCCATCGTGGTCCAATCATCTCCTGTACTTGCTGCACGTCAATGAGCCGCTGCTGACACTACCCACAGGTGCTGTGCCAGCCTCTTTTGTTCTTCTGCAGTAGTCCACCACCGTCACCATGCCGTCCTTCTACCCCCGTCATAATCTGCCGCGGCAGCTCCTCACGCCTCCAGAGTTCGTGCCAAGCTACCACTCTGCATGTGGAAACATGGCCTACCAGCAGAGTGCCTATGCTAGCCAACCTGCTGTTCGGCAACAGGACGATGACTACGGCTTCGCAGACCGCTACGGCCAGCTCGCCATGGCCATGCCGCCCATGTATCCGCAGGCTGGCACCTACCTTAGCAATGCGCCGCCCAGCCTGCCACCCCCAAGTTCCTTCTACGAATCCACAGGAGCCACCATGCTCCCGTCCATGCGCTTGACCGAACAAGAGCAGCGCGCTCAAGAGTACAATCAGCGCGCACATCAGCCTGCAAAGGAAGAAAAGCCTGTTGGAGGCGTGTCTGCCAAGCTGGACTATGACATGGACGTCATGACTGACTTCGTTTGCGAGACCGCTCTGCAAGTCATCACCCCAGGACGCATGGCGCCGCAGTCGTTCCGAAAGTGGGTGCACCAGGTCCTTTGCGCAACGCGCCTGCCTTCTGCGACCATCCTACTCAGCATGTTCTACCTGTCCACCCGGATGCCTATGCTGGCAGGCGAGCCGAAGATCGACCACCATTTGTTCCGTCTTCTTACCATTGCACTGGTGCTGGGCAGCAAGTTCCTTGATGACAACACTTTCATCAACCGCTCTTGGTCGGAAGTCAGCGGCATCCCTGTTGGAGAACTGAACCGTCTGGAAATGGAGTGGCTGAACGCCATCGACTACAAGCTCCACCGCGATCCTTCGGAACATCAAGGATGGCGGACTTGGTCCGAGCACTGGAAGGAGTACCAGGGCCTCGCCGTTGCCCGCGCTGGCCGAAGCAACAAGCTCAGCCCCATCAACACATCTGTGCACCGACGTAGCCTCAACCACAACAAGCCACTTCCTGCGCTGCCGATGCAGCAGGCATACAACCCGCCACAGTACGAGTACACCCCCAAGTCAGCGCAGTCATCGTACAATCTTCCTAGTTACTCCCAGTACGATCCCTGGAGGTCATCGAGCGATCACTCCCCTGCATCTGCACCGACCACAGGACCCACTACTCCAGAGTACTACGGTTCGACGGGCACTTGGGCTCCAAGCGAGGGGTACTCGCGTCGCACCATGTTCGGCTTCCCGCCACCCATGTCTCAGCCCACGCCACCTCAGACGCAACACCAGCAGCCGTCCAATTATGGCCCGCCCGCGTACACCCCACAGTACAACACCTCCGTCTGGAACCAGCACGGCGCTAACTGTGGCTGCGGTTACTGTTCACAGAGGCATCAGCCATACTACATGGCCCATGCCTATGGCCCCCAGGCTGTTGCTGTGTAATCGACAAGCCGCCTCCGGCATCCTGTGCCTCCGTTGAGGATGTAACAGACTGCCGAACCATTCCGGCCTCACTCGTAGGCTCAACGTAGCGCATCTCAATTTTTCTTTCACTTTTTACGGATACGCATTCGACTTCCGATTTCAACTCAGCGATTCATATGTCCAAAAGTTATTGTTCATTTTCTCAATCGTTCCACTGGATCCGTAGTTCATGCTTGAACTGTACGGTCACCGGATACCCTTTGGTCGATATTTGCTCCATGCAAACTTTGGACCAACTGATCCAAAACTCCCGAAGCGCAAAGTCGATCCATTCTTCTCGCTATCTGTACGCATATCCCCGCCACTCCGGATCTGACGAAAACGCATATTGCCTGCGATCATTTTGCATCATAGACTTCACGATCCTGTTTTGGGGTCTTCGTTTGTCAGTTTTTATTCCTTTCATCTTTAGATATTGGTCGGTCTTGGGGTTTTTTCTTTTTTTGGGTGAGTTGAGCGAAATTGTGGGAATTTGGCGTCTTGTCCCTTTGGCCTTGTGCCACCAAGCAATGGTTTCTGGTTCTAACAGGCTCGGTTTTGATTGTTTGGCTTTGTGCTTCCTTCTACGTTACGATTGTTTCTTTGTTCAGCGCTGCGCCTCAAGAATGGTTCTGAAGGTTACACTGCATCGGTTAATGGTTTCTTCATTGGAGTTGGTTAGTGGTATGCCACACCGCTCCCCGCTCCGGTCTTTCGACAAGTCTGCTTTGCTCACGACGCCTGCATATGCGATACCCGAGTCTTCGCGTCTAGCAGGAGAGCAGCACCGCTGGGCTTTTTCCCTCACGTTTTGGTCATGACTTGCTTACCGTTTGGATCTCTGCCTTTTCGCCCTAGTCGGTTGTAATTAATGGCACAAGATCAATGATGGGCGTCACTTTTTGTTTTCTCTCGAGGCGGAAAATACCTCTTTCTTTTATTCATGGGTCGCATACCTTCTCGGCATTGTTTTGGGGATAGGGTGGAAAAGAATCGTTCGGTATATTACTGCGATCAAGCAGAACTTTGTAACAACAAAAGCAAAAAAACACAATCATTTAGTTGGCGGCATGTCCGCTTTTGGAAATTTAGACCCAGCCTTTGCACAAGTGACGGAGTATGGATGTGGCTGAGTGTTGATGCAGCATCAACCAGTGAATGCCAGACATAGCCCCTCTTGATCGAGCTGGAGCTACGAAGTTGTCTGCCTAGATTGAAATCAACAACATGCAAGCCATGCAGGCAATAAACATACATTTCGGATAGAGAGATAGACCGGCTCCGCGCAGAGGTGTATCGTAGCCAATAGCCAGTCAGCTCCTGCCACCGATAGCTCGGCTTTTGCGACTACGTCAACGATATCTCCGCATCCGCCGGACACCATTTCTGAAGCGGAAAGATGGATTCTTTTTGTCCGTTGATAAAACGTCCGGACTTAGTAGTTCGTGCGGTACCTTTGCCAGGTGCATATCAGCTGCCATGTCGCCTCGTCAATCATTACCGGTACAATTCTTTCGACGTTTACTGACAAACTCGCAAAGATTGAATACTTATCGAGGATTGAAGTCTCACACAGGCTCAAGATCGACTTTCTGGCAGAATCCAAAGTTTAGCACTACAGTCAAGATGAGCTCGGTAGGTGGTGCAGGCATTGGTGCGGGTCTTTACGCTGCGGTGTCGAATCCAACGCAGATTGGTGCTCAGCCAAAGGAAGCAGAGGCCAAAGCGCACCATCTGAAGAACGGGAAAGGATTCACGAACCCATGGGATAGTTACACGGAACTCGCCGCCTACCAGATCTTCTGGGGCATGCTCTCGTGAGTTTCCCTTGCTTTTGAATATTCGACTCTCAAGACACGATACTGATGGTGAATTTTATAGACGCAGACTCACAGGCAAATCCAACAAGCCAGACACCACACCCCCCACCGTCCCTGTCCGCACCCCGACTTTCCTCCCCGACCGAAACACGCCTAAATTAAGAGCTACATGGCTCGGCCACGCATGCTACTACGTCGAGTTCCCTAACGGTCTGCGCGTCCTGTTCGACCCCGTATTTGAAGATTGCTGCGCGCCCGTCAATTTCAAAGCCTTCAAACGCTTTACGCCTCCTCCATGTGAAATCGAGGACCTTCCCATTGTCGATGTCGTCGTCATCAGTCACAGCCACTACGATCACCTGAGCCACCCGACGACTCTGCGCATACAGAAGAAGTTCCCGGACGCGCATTTCTTCGTGCCCCTGGGGAACAAGACTTGGTTCAACAAGTGCGGCGTAGACAAGTGCACAGAGTTGGACTGGTGGGAGAGCAGAGATGTGCGGTTGGACAGCCAGGAGAACGGGAAACTGGACACCGTGAGCGTGACGTCGACGGGCAGTGGAGGGAAGGGCATCACAGCGACGATCGGCGCACTGCCTTGCCAGCACGTCAGCGCGCGAACCCCGTTCGACAAGTGCAAGACGCTGTGGGCGAGTTGGAGCGTCGAGGCTGGCGGCGCGAAGGTGTATTTCGCTGGGTAACTAACCCCTCCCCACCCTAGAAATATCGTATCCTAACACACCCCCAGCGACACAGGCTACCGCACCGTCCCCGACATGCCCGCATCCGAAGACGACTATGGCCCCGCATACGCACACCTCCCCGTGTGCCCCGCCTTTGCGCAAATCGGCACACACCGCGGCCCCTTTGATCTAGGCCTCATTCCCATCGGCGCGTACGAGCCGCGCTGGTTATTCAGCGCTATGCACGCCAACCCCAAGGACTCGGTGAACATCTTCATCGATACAAAGTGCAAGAAGGCGCTGGGCATGCATTGGGGCACGTGGGTGCTTACGGAGGAGGATGTGCTTGAGCCGCCGAGGAAACTGAAGGAGGGACTGGAGTGGAAGGGGTTGGATCCTGGGGTGTTTGGCGTGGTGGATATTGGGGAGAGTAAGGAATTCGAGAGTGGGAAGTGATTGATATGGGGGATGATGTGATGAGGGTGGACTTGCATGATTGGCAAGTTGTTAACGTGTCTGGACTGGAAACTATGGTATCTTTAAATACGGATGAGTGTGTTTTGGGAGGTACCCATGTATACAGTTAGTTATACTATCAAATACGTGGATTTTATCAAGATCATTCCAATTACCTCGACCATAGTATGGATAACGTTACACTTGTGGAGATGTATTCACTCAACTTAGGCGTTGGGTGTCGTACGCGAAATCTAGACCAATAATCATATACACAAAAGTATATGCTCTTAACATGTCTGGCTTTGCAGCACGGCACTACCCTGTAATTCAGTATCCCCAATACAAATAACAATCTCCTGAATCATGCTTCTCTGTTCCAAGGTTTGCTCATGGGGTCGGTTACTGATTGCTAAGTTTGGGATTGTTTGCTTCGAGGGCTCCACATTTGGTTATATATATATGTACAGCTAGAGAAATTTCGAGGACGATGATGCTTCTGATGCGATTGGAGAAGGAGTATATGTTCAAGGCTGAGCAGGTTATCGATGCCTCTACTAGAAGCGCGACAATGTATAACTGTTGTGTCATTGTAGAAGGTTGACGAAGACAAAAAAGCTGCAAGACCTAAGTTGGGCATTCTCAAGAAATCAAAAACAATCTATCGGCGATCCCACAGAGTTCTGCAGCCGGCTAAAAGCAGAGTTCACAAGCGAATCCTCCCTATACCATCCACTGAAAAAGCCTCCCTAAGACTTGGTCTTCTCCAAGATGGTCTTGATCATCTCATTACCCACCTTGGAAGCCTCCGGGAACCGGGGCTCAAAGTACTTCTGAATCCCCTCAAATTTCTGTCGATAGCCATCGAAATTGCCCAGACTGACGCGCGAACTCCAGTCCCTGGCGGCGAAAGTAAACTCAAGGTCGTCGGCGCGGAACGTGTTGTCATTGATCGCCGTGTCGATAGCTTCTTCGAGCAGCGCAGGCTTACGAAACAGATACTCTGTAATGCCGAGCCACATGCGGGAGGGCTGTGCGTATGTTAGCTATTGAAGATGTGCAATACTGAGCATATGCTTACTGGAGTGGAGCAGATCATGTGATCATAGGGAACGATGCCGAGTTTCCACCAACAGTCCACCATCGCGAGTAGACTGAGGTGATTGTTCTTCAGCCTTTTCTCCGGGATCTGTCCTAGACTGAACTGATCGAGAAGTTCGTCCCGAAGAAGTAGTTCGTCATCGTCGCGGATACCTCCGAAGACAGCTTTACGTGCTGTATGCACTCTGGTAGCCAACTCCTCCCTGTTGCCCGCGAGCATCAACTTGAACAGTTCCGTGACTGACTCGGCGTACTGCTTGATTTGTTTCTGGGCGGCGGGGTTGAGGATTGCGAGACCGGCGTAGACGTGCCATTTGTTGGAGTAGATGCGGAGGGTGATGTTCATCTTGACGTTTTCGATGCCGCCGATATAGCGGGCTGTCTCCCATGGAAATTGGTTGTTTGCAGCCCACGCAGCGCCCATGCTGAGAAAGGCGGCATGAGTGACGGCTTGCGTATCTGCCGTAATACGATCATGTTGCTCGCTGGTGAGGTAGACATGTTTCGATCCCAAGCACGCGAAAACACTTTCTACAAATGCGAACTCGGCGTCTGAAGCACGGTGCTTGATCAAGACTAATGGCTGTCCTTTTGGATCAACGCCAGGTCCGTGAAGAGAATGACAGGAAATGATGCTGACGTCTTCAGGCAGGTGTGTCTCGAAGGCTTCGATCTCTGGGGTTTTGCACGAGGTCTGACCGCCGACAATGGCTCCAAGTTTGGTAGCTGCATGTACAGTCAGAGAAAGTCAGCTTAATTAGTAGCAGCAGATGTCGTACAAGGACCAAAAGCCTTCACGACAGCATCGATATTCTTTGCCTCGACGCTGTAAATAATGTAGTCGCTGCATCGAGAGACAGCATGACCGCTTCGCATGATTTCAACAGTGCGCTGGAGTGATCTCAGCATGCTTGCATTGATGATATGGTATATAGATGCTATCCTACACGTTCCCGGAACTCTTCTACTAACTTATCATACTTGTCCGGCATATCGCAGGCATTGACTCTAGCCAAGGCGTCAGCTTGGGAGAAAGCGAGTATGATCTGTGAGCCACTGATTAGCAAGGTCCAAAACTGATAGGTCTGAACAATGCGATGAAGTTTGGGTGTAGATCAGAGGTGTAATAATAAAGGTAGCGAGAATTCACATCATGGACAGCAACACAGCTAATAACTGCGACCAAGACGGTAACAGCGTAGCCATGCGCCATACTCGAGCCAAATGCACTCACGGTCATCATAGAAAGGGATGTGGTGGAGATATGAGGGGGCTTGACTTACCAGCTGTGAGGTCCAGGGACCCGTGAGCTCCTGCGCGAGAGCACTCACTTCCATCCAGCATCGCTCAGCCGCCGGGCGTACATCTTGCCCATGTCGCCCATGCCGATAATACCAACGCTCTTGCCCTCTTCCATTGTCGGTTGTGTTGCAACGCTGCAGAGCGTGTTTAGAGTGAGACTGTTCAGCCCATGTTGGAGAGGTGGAGAGGAACGAGCCGTGTCGGGCGCCGAAGAAAAGTTCGAGGCTCGGCACGCTAGGCGCCGGAGCAACTTGGCGCCGCGCACAAGCGAAAACTGCCCACCGAAAGTTCGCCGTTCACGATCGTCACCTTCACGAACCGCCAGTCAACCAACACATAGCCAACATGCCTCCCAAGAAGAAGGTCGAGCGCGGTGCGCAGGAGAACATCCAGGTGAGACAGACATGGTAGCCACGGCGCGACGGACGAGAGCTAACGGCTTGCAGCTTGGACCCCAGGTCCGCGAGGTCAGTCACGACAGCAGCGCTCACGCATGAGCTGCAATTGACAAGTTCCCAGGGCGAGCTCGTCTTCGGCGTTGCCCGCATTTTCGCCTCGTTCAACGACACATTCGTCCACATCACCGATCTGTCCGGCCGCGAAACCATCTCCCGTGTCACCGGTGGCATGAAGGTCAAGGCCGACCGTGACGAATCCTCTCCCTACGCCGCCATGTTGGCTGCCCAGGACGTCGGTGCGTACACTTGGTGATTTGGCAGGGTATCTGGCAGAATACTGATTGTGGAACAGCTGCCCGCTGCAAGGAGCTCGGCATCTCTGCCCTCCACGTCAAGATCAGGGCCACTGGTGGTAACGGCACCAAGACCCCCGGCCCCGGCGCCCAGTCTGCTCTCCGTGCTCTTGCCCGTGCCGGTATGCGCATTGGGCGTATCGAGGACGTCACCCCCACCCCGTCCGACTCCACCAGGAGGAAGGGTGGTCGCCGTGGTCGTCGTCTCTGAGCGCGTGCGCGTCTCTTTGGCTCGGTTGTGGAATACGGCATGGAATGGTCTGGCACGATTTATGGTTTTATGACCTTGATCAGCACAAAGTCGCGGGGAACGGCAATCGCCTGGTCTCCATGTTGCGCTTGGCTTATCCAATGAGATAGTCGGGGTAAATCAACAGAATCCTTTTTAGTTCAAAAAGGCTTCCGGACAATGAAGTGCTTGTGCTTGATGCAATTTTGCGTTCTTAGACATTACTATTACCTGTGGTGCGTTTGTGAAGATGTAAGTTGCTCCTATATGTCCACTACCTGGACGGCATTGCCCAGTTTCCCAGTATTTCCGTGCGTTTGGGCGGCGTTGACCATGATGGTGTATGCACTTTGCCCTCCCCATACACGGTCCCATATCACTTCTCGCATACCGCGGTATGCCACTCTGACGACACTCCACCATAGTCGTGGGTTGAGCACGCCGTGAGTCCACTTCGACTGCACTGATAAGCCCCTAGTGTATGCCTCATGAGTCCTGTCCCACCACACTACCGTCTGTCCTGCCCCCCAGTGTACATGGCCAAACACATGCAAACTTGGTTTCACGCGCTTGACTTCTGCCAGGAGGTGCTCACATCCGATGCCCTGCTGCGACACGGCAAGATCCAAATGATGCTTTGGAGGCGTGTGCGTGATCAGTATATCTGTGTCATCAGGCACTGTCTCTGACCAGGCATCCTGTCCTCGCGGATACTGAAAGGCGTGCACAGCCATCGGTCCACAAGCAGGAATTTGCGGCGCGCCATAGATGTGTATCCTTCTCTGTCGTCGTTCTGCCAGCAACGGTGTCCTAGAGCCGGAATCTCTCGGGTCGACGGTGATTGTCAGGCTCAGTCGCCGGTGCTGTAGATAGTGAACGCGCCCCCAATCCACGTTCCCACTTCTCTGCTCTTCTTGAAGCGATGGCCGTGTCCGTGGGTCTAGATACGTATCGTGATTTCCGCTAATCACCATGATTTCTTTATGTGGCAGGCTTGCAAGCCAGTCGACTTGGCGTTGTAGCTCGGCGACACTCCCAGTATTCGTCATATCCCCTGCGTGAATGAGGATGTCTCCTGGCGGTACGTTGTCTAGAATATGGTTGTGAGTGTCTGATATGCATACTACGCGTAGTGGTGGGTTTGAGGGCGTAGGCGCAGAGCGCAGCCATGTTGCTACGCGGTATGCTCGGAAAAGGAGCGATTTCACGGGAGCTTGGTAGACAAGTGCTGCGAGGGGTAGAGGTTCAAAATCCTTTGGCCTATGCCAGGGGTTCACGACTTCGAAAACCATGGCTTGGGTTGTTGGAGAGTGTTCGTGTTGAGAACCGTATTGGTGCTGCGGACGCGTCCGAAGTGGCTGAGCGGAAATGTGGCTTGCCCGAGGCGTTCTCCATCACCCAATTCCTCATTGAATATGTCATTGTCGGAACTGCAACACCAGGCTACAATCATGTGCAGCAGATAGCATCAGTGCAACCTGTTCCGTATCTTGCTCCCAGAGCCTGACCGGAAGTCTCCACCATGACACGTCTCATTGGCCTAAGGCATGCAGAAGGTCTTCAGCTCGAGGCCTTAGGGGGGGCTGAGCTTGACAAGGCTACGCGCTTGTATAGAGCATATGCTCAAGGTCAAAAGCTCAAGTATCAGCCTTCTTGCTGTCATTTTCGAGCCTGATCAATAGAGTCTTTCTCTTTTGTTGCGTCTTAAGGGAGGTTCTCCAAGTCAATCGTCTCCTAAACATCAGGACAACGAAAATAACCATGGCCGAACTTACTATCGGTTGCATATCGTTTCTGTTCCAGGTCTTCTCGGGATGTGTGACCGGTAAGCCCATTCCGTATGAGCGAACTACACAACTCAGGCTGACCGTGTTTAGGCATTGAAATCATCACAGATGCGTCGAATCTAGACAAAGACTTTCAGTACTTGCGAGTGCGGATGAAGTTTGAACAGTATCGTCTACTTGACTGGGCCGAGATTGTTGGCATTGATTACACAGACGAGAAGCTCATTCTCAACAAAACGACGAAGGCCCTGGTTTTGGACCTCCTAGAGCAACAAAACATACTGCTCGCTCAATTTGGTCGCCGGGATACTAAATACAAGAGGTTCAAGAGTCCCCTCCTTGTCGAGCTCGCGGAAGAGTTTGATGGCAGTCACTCCACGGTTTCCTCGGAGCACCTTCTGGAGAACGGTGCCAGGCTGCAGAAAAGGGACACCGACTTGACGCGGTTCCCTCAAGCTAAGGATTTGTTGAAGAAATCTCTCGACTTCTCGAAGAAATTCAAAGACGTTCCCAGACGGCTCAAGTGGGCTTCATGGGACAAGGCCAAGATGGAGACTCTGATTGAAAAGCTGAGCATGTTCAACGACCAGATCCGCCAGGAACTCAACACAGCTCAGCTGGGCAGCCTTGTCGACAAACAGAGGAGGACAGAGTACCAGGTTATGCAACTGAACAACAACCTTCAGAACTTGGTGCAGATCTTCCAGTCCCAAGTACTCACAGTACATTTGGGTCAGCCGCACTATACCAACGGCCGTTCCATCATGCCAGTCGAGGAGTCCGAGTATGGTGATTACAGTTCTGAGAATCGCCCTCGTCTTCCTGCATCTCAGGGTCTAGCTGCTCTAGCACAATTCAAAGCTATCAGCTATGCCATCGAACATCCCAATGACCTCACACAGAGTTTCACACAGGCCATCGAGTTATCTCAATCACCTAGGGAAATCTGCGATGCTGAACTCGCTCTTGAGGACATCCGTCCTCAAGACACTGATGAGTTTCCAGAAGAAGTTGAGGAAGGACAGCGTACGGAAGCCGTTTACAAGGATCGCTCTGTTTGGATCGAATGGAAGATGTCCGAGCCCGCAGCTGTTCAACCCGACGGATTGGACCCTCAAATCGAGGTGCGTGTAAAGAAGCTTGCAACCTTGCTCAAAGAAAACAACAGGACAGAGCAATTTCGCGCTCCGCGTTGCTTTGGGTATTTCAGGGAGAAAGACGTAGGTCGATTCGGCTTGGTGTTCGAGAAGCCTCAAACAGTACCGAACGCAGAGGCACCTCAATCTCTGTACTCCTTGTTGACCGATGCAAACGTTGAGATTCCTTCACTGACCGACCGCGTCACACTCATGCGCTTGCTCTCTGAAACCATCGAGCGTCTACATGCCGTCAATTGGCTACACAAGGGCCTCCGTTCGGCTAATATCCTCTTCTTCAAGGACCCCTCCACCCAGGAGATCAACTACTCTCAGCCCTACATTTCAGGCTTTGACTACTCTCGCCCCGCCATGAACGATGAAATGACGGAGAAGCCACCCGAGAACGCAGCTTCGGATATCTACCGCCACCCCATGGTACAAAGCAACGGGAATCGCGAAAGTACTGGAGATCGACCCAATTTCAAGAAGAGTCATGACTTATACTCTCTTGGCATACTGCTGATGGAGATCGCGTATTGGCAACCGGTCAACAAGATTCTGGACATCGTCATCACAAAGGATACTAAGCCGAGCATTACGTACAAAGTCAGGGAAAGATTACTGGAGGAGAAGATATGGCTGAACAAGGTGAAGAGCTATTTGGGAAACACGGTGGAGAGCGTAGTCCGGGCTTGTCTCGAAGGCCCCACTGCCTTTGGATTGGAGGAGGAATGCGACGAGAAGAGGGAAGAGGTAGGTGCGGAACTGCAGAGGATGTTTGCTGAGAACGTCGTTGAGAGGCTGGCTCAGATGAAGGGTTTGTGAGTGTTCTCAATTTTCCGTATGGTGCAATTTCTACCTTCGCGCCACAAGCATAGATCTTGCTTTTTTCAGTTGCTTCTCCCTCCTTCTACCATAGATCCAATTCAATACCCTGTATGCTTTACCTTTCCATGTCTCAGCGCTGCTCTCGGGTAATCAACCTATCCATGGACAGAGGGTTAGACACGCTAGAGCCACCACATACCACTAAGCATTCGTGAGGGAAGCTTAAACAAGGTAAACATGGCCGTGCTCGTCGGACCGCCCGATAACCAATCCTGACTACCAGTCCCTACCCATGCACCCCGCACTATCAAGCCACCGATCCCAGGCCCCCGCAAGGATGCTTCGGGCTAATGAGACCCACCTTGACCACGCGTCCTAAGGCCCCCATGTACAACAAATTCTCCTTCTTCGAATGCATGTCCCTCAAGTGGTGGAATTTCGCACAAGGATGTCCACAACTCGTCGGGCCTTCTCAATTCATGCGGCTGCTGCAAAGATGGCTAGGATCTAGACAGAAACCCCTGTTTGTGGACTAGGATCTGAGATGGCCATCCGTACGTCTGCTACCGGAATCTTCGAAGGAATCGCGTCAGCGGACTTGCATCTTCAATGCTTGGCGACGCGGAGGGAGAAAAAGTACTTGGCATTAATATGTGGAAATTGCTTGACACTGCCTTGCGAGAGAGACAGTAAGTCCTCCAATGGTCTTCTCATACATGGGCAACTACTCGAGCGAGACCGTTGTAGTACGGAGGAGGACGCTCCTGCAACGAAGGAGTATGGAGTATATAAAAGGGCTGGTGATACGGGCATTACTATTTACTTCAGTCAAAGACTCAAGTCTCATTCACGGTACAACATATCCTCCCCGAGACGTCTTCAGAACTTCCTATCAGCAACAAATTCAAGATGCTTTCCCCAACCAAGCTCGTTGCTCTTGTGGCTCTGCTTCCTTCAGTCCTCGCATGCAACGCCTACACCGGTGGTCTTCCAACACCCACTTCGACAAAGTCGAACAGCGCTGTCATTACTGTCGCAGCCGGCGCCACTTTTGACTGCGGATGGGCCAAATACGACAGAGGCTCAGGAGCCTGCAACGGTCAAACTGAAGGCGGTAAGTACCATTTCCAACCATCGCCTCTGATTGTGGCTGTTCAATGACCCTAGTTAACATCGCACCACAGGTGATGCTGACGCCGTCTTCCTCCTGAAGAAAGGCGCGACGCTCAAGAACTGCATCATTGGCGCAAACCAAGCAGAAGGCGTGCACTGCAGTGGAGCTTGTACTCTCGAGCTCGTATGGTTTGAAGACGGTATTTGGTCACTCTCCATAATGAACAAAAGAATGAGGATGCTAATGAGAAGACAGTGTGCGAGGACGCCATCTCGATTAAAAACGATGTTGCGGGCGATGAGTCCTGGATCATCGGCGGTGTAAGTACATATACCAGTCGCAGAGATATACATGACTGATGAGATCAGGGAGCATACCACGCATCGGACAAAGTTGTTCAGCACAACGGATGTGGAACCGTGAACATCATCGTAAGTCCACACCTACACACTGGAAAACTATAAACAACTACTGACGTTCGTACGCAGAACTTCTACGTCAACGACTACGGCAAATTGTACCGTTCGTGCGGAAACGTGAGTTAACCCCCTTGATCTTTTCCAGTCCAAACTTCCACCAGTCTCCATACCATTTTTCTCTTCTCCAACGTCCGTTCGTCGCGCTTGCCTATTTAGCTCTACTAACGCGGCTGTGAACAGTGCTCCTCGCAATGCAAGCGTAACGTCTATATTGAAGGCGTTGTAGCTGTCGACGGCGGCGCACTGGCTGGTATCAACAGCAACTACGGAGATACTGCTACTATCAAGGACTCGTGCTACGATACCAGCGTGCCGTGCCAGATGTACACTGGCTGCACGAACGGTTGCGAGCCGGCAAAGGCTGGGACTTGCTCTGGTTAGAAGAGATGACAATAGTCAAGAAAGGTGGAATAAGGATGAAGTGATCGGTATCCTGGATAGTCTGTCATTTCCGTTTTCGATAATGGTTGGATGCCGCGAAGTAGTTTTGGCATTTGAATTTATATGTAATTCGTTATATGAGCTCTCCTGTGATCTGAGTTGTGAGAATGGGTACGATCGATTTGGCCTTCTATCGTAGCACTTCTATATGTATTTGGAGAGTGTTACGTTCTCTAAAGTCCATGAGGTTGAAGGTCGACCAGTCAAAACTCTGGAACGAACCAACAAAGTAGCGAGTTAGCAGTCGGGTTGATACTAGCTCGCCTTTATTCGCATGATTCACGGATTTTCGATACATTTCGGTTAGGCGAGTGTTGCACCATGGCAGAGGAGATTAGTAGTAATACATCTCATCGATCATTTCTACAACCTTGCGTTTCAGCCATGGCATATCTCGTGTCGACCAGATTTAGGGGTTCATGTATTTCATTCTATCGAAGAGAGGGTCCTCCAAAAATCACTAAGTCGTGCCTCATCAATGGCTTCCATTGGCGTCAAAACATCCATGTTCCATGCCGCCCGCCGTGCCTTCGACGAAAGGCTATGCAAATATTCCTAAAGTACAGACCGCTCCGAATCAAAAACGCTTAGTAGCCGACACCCTTCAGGTAAAGGCCGAGCTCGGCGACGGCGTTGAAAGCAGAGGGTGTCTGGGTGTCTTGGTCGTGGTGAGCGATGAGGATGGCCTGTGTGGTCTTGTAGGCAACGAGGCCTTCTTTGCCCTGAAAAACGTATCAGTATGATGTTGTAGACTTTGGGGCTGGTATCGCGTTGTTCAAAGCCAGTGTCGGATGGCGTACCTTCTTTGCTATCAGGGTATCATCCGTGGCCTCGATGGTCATGAATTTGTCGCCGTTTGCCTTGACACCGTTGGAGAGAACTGACTTGGGCTCGCTCTTGTCGCCGAAGGAGGAGGCGATAGCGCCCATCTCGGCAGCGGTGAGCTGGAGTGTGTCAGCATCTTGTCCCGGTGTTGCTATGCGCTAGCCTGTGCTCTGCGATGTTGGCGTGGAGCGGCTCAGGTAAGGTGGGCGCGAGGAGTCGGTGGGACATACGGAGAAGCCTGGGGACGAAGCCCATGTGGTCTGACCGCTGACATCGCAGATGAGGGCCTTGTCAACGTGGCCGGTGCCAACGAGGCTGTCGAGCAAGTGGTTAGAAACGTGATGTCGAGACGGCAGGAGATGCAATATACCTCGTGTCGACGTATGCTGTTCATGTTGTTAGTCTCAGCTCTCCGCGTTGCGTGCCTGCTGCTTACCTTGCCAGGACATGTTTACTGAGTGAGGGGTAGTGTGTGGGCTGTGGAAGCTGCTATCGACGTCTGCGAAGGGAGTGATGCGCGGAGAAGTCGAGGATGGAGGTGAGATGGATAGATCAAATAGCTCCTGACTAAGCAAAGAGTGAATGTGTTTGCGGTGTGCAGAGCGTTGTTGTTGGGTTGTATCGCGGTCCAAGTCGGGTGGGGCCGTTGACGTGCGAGAATTGGTGGGGCACTGTTTTTCTACGACCCCGCAGCGTTGCAATCACAATCGTGGCCGACGACGACACACTTTGATTGTCACCACAGTGCCTTAGCTCGCAATTGTGATGTGGCAGTCAGACAGCACTCGTTGCGCCATCATGCATGTTTCACCATGTGGGGGTCCATCGTTCAGCAGTGTGAACAGTACGATATCTCACGCCGCTGCAAACGCCTGGCTCCGTGACTATTCACTTGCCCAACGAAAAATGGGTCCGAGTCATGTCACTCACCCACGACCAAGCCAAGCCGTACAGTGAGGCGTGTTGAATTCTTCACACCAAATCCAACCTGGGAAGTCCGTTCCCAATCGCCCTGTAGGGCTTTCAATTCCTGAACAGGGTTTTCCGTGTCTAACACATGTTCGCTCAATAGGGCTTTGGATTTGCGACACTCGTGCTAGGAAGAGAAACATCACGTGATGAGGACCCGTCTCATGCTTCAAGCTCGAGCTCCAAAAGTCGAGACGCGCCCAGCCTTGCGACTTTGATCTTTAACGCGCCACATGTGGTGATAACCAAACCCGGTGACTCTCTCACTCCATTCAAATCGATTAGTCAAACCCGCAATCATCAAATCATGCCATCTCCTCCTACGCGTTCTCGGTCGCGTTCGCGTAGCGCATCTCGCGACCGTTCGCCTACCAGATCGCCAGCACGCTCTCCTTCGAATCGCTCAGCGTCGCCGCGGCGCTCGATAACTCCACGTTCGCCTGCACGCTCACAGTCGCGCATCTCTCCATCACTCTCACCACGGCGCAATGGACGACGAAGCTACACACCAGACAACAGGAACAGTAGATCACGGTCGCGAAGCCCCAGAGGAAGGAGTTACACGCGCAGTCCAACTCCAAAGGACGCATCGCCTGCGCCTAGGAGTGCAAAGGTAAGTAGATGCTGGGCATATGGAGGCCGTGAAAGAGCTTTTTCGTCAGGATCAGCTCTAGACCAGCTAGCCTTGTCTTGACCACACAAAAACTAACATCATTTCCAGATTGTAGTTGAGGCCTTGACCAGAAATGTCAAAGAAGACCATGTGCGCGAAATCTTTAGCAAGTACGGCACCATCAAAGACTTGAGGATGCCCATGAACCCGACATGTAGGTACTGCATCACATTCTCTGAGGCAACCGGACTGATTGTGTAGTCAATATAAACCGCGGAATCGCATACATCATGTACGAAGAAGTTGACGACGCTGAGCGCGCAATCGCAAAGATGCACGATGCACAACTGGACGGTGCCAAAATCCAAGTTTCGATTGTCCTTCCTCGACGCCGTTTCTCACGAACACCTTCGCCAGCATACAGAGGGCCGCCACCGCGGGAAAGATTCCAAGACGATCACAATGGCCGTGGAGGAGGACCACCTGGCGCCTACCGACCACCACCCATGGGCGGGCCATCGCGCTACCGTTCACCATCACCAAGAGGAGGTTATCGAGGACGCGGCAGAGGTCGTGGGCGAGGAGGTGGTGGTGGTGGCGGTGGCCATGGATATCGTCCACGCTCATACTCTAGGAGCAGGTCACCGCGTCGAAGTCCTACGCGGTCGTCTTACTCTCGATCGCCATCTAGATCTCCGCCGAGACGACGAGGCGGTGGAGGTGGTGGCAGTGGTGGGAGGAGAGATTCTCCACCAAGACGAGGACGGGGTGGTGGAGGTGGTGGAGGAGGGGGAGGCAGAAGGAGCCCGAGTTATAGTTCCTACGGCAGCTACAGCCCGCGCGATCGCAGTAGGAGCAGGGATCGCAGATGAAATGGATTAACGGATGTAGTTGGTTCACGCATCACTTGGTTAGGATAGCTTAGTGCCCTTTGGGCCCGCGAATCAACAAAAAATTGGACACGAGACGCCTCCCATTCTTAAGTGGACAGCTTGAACACAGGGCTTCCTAAGTCAAGGCATCGCCATTACGCTCACCCCTACTTGTCATTATTCGACTCTGTGCAATGCTTTTCGCTCTACAATAGACTACACCGACGTATCTGCTCTCCATCATACCATCTTCAACATAAAACCACCGCCTCTCTCTTCATCCTCCCTTCCCGCAAATATCCCGCTGAAATCCACTTCTCCCCCGCCTTGCTTCTCTCCACGCTTTGGCGCATGCGGACTCTTCCTTCGCCGTTTCTCCTGCCCCGCCTTACTCGGAAACGTAGGGAACAACTCCGCAGGCTTAGGTTTAGGCTGCTCCTTGAAATATTCATGATGTAGTACTTGTTGCGCTGTAGGCCTATTATCCGGATTGAGAGACAAAAGAGACGACAACAACTCGATGCCCGAAGCAGTAAGGAAGGGAAACCGCGCGCGATCGAAGCCCCGCGTGTCCCGGTGGTCGCGGGGGAGCTTCAGAGATTTGGAATTCGGGAGGCGGTAGAACGCTGCCCAAGATTTCTCCGTAGGAAGCCCGCAGAGCGAGAATATGAGGGACAGTTGGTCAACTTCGTTTTTCCCGGGGAGGATGGGGGCTTTGAGGAGAAGCTCTGCAAATATACAGCCTAGACTCCACATATCGACCTCCGTCCCGTATGCCGTTGTGCCTAGGAGGAGTTCTGGCGCGCGGTACCATAGTGTGACGACAAGTTGAGTCAAGGGGGCGTTGGAAGGGGGGATGTAGCGTGCCATGCCGAAGTCTGCTAGTTTCAGGGTCCCGTGGTGAGAGAGTAGGATGTTCGAGGTTTTGAGGTCGCGGTGCATTATGCTGCTGTCGTGAAGATATGCAACGGCGCTAGTGAGTTGGCGTAGAAGTGTTTTTACTTCGCTGGCGAGGAAGGGCTCGGACATGTCTTCTTGTAGTGTTTTCAAGTCGTGGTCTAGGAACTCCATTACCAAGACACATTCCAATGGGTCATCTCCACTCAGAATCTCCTTGAGCTCGACGATGTTTGCATGTCGGGCCTTCTGCAAAATATCGATTTCCCGCAAAGCGGTGATAGGAAAGCCGTCACCGTTGGGATCAGGTTTTATCTTCTTCAGGGCGACTATTGAGTTGGTAGAAGTGTCGCGGGCACGGGACACCCAGCCGTAGCTTCCTTCTTCGATGTGATTGAGGGTGGAGAAATTGGACGTGTGGCGGCAGGGGGACCAGGTTCCGACTTCGAATCTCAACAACTTTCTCTCGCCTTCCTTGGGCTTCGCTTGGGATGTTTCTTGGTTGTCGTTGTCAGAAGACAGGCGACGGCGCTTTGCCGGACGTGATTCGACATCTTGGCTAGTTTGCGTTGTTGCTGCGTCTGCTTCTTGTTGTTTCTGGAGCTTGAGACGTTTCTTCTCTTCCTTCTCTTTTTTGCGCCGGAGGGCTTCTGCTGCGTCTGCTTCCGAGTCTGCCCAGCGTGATGCCATTGCCTCTTCTCTTTCAACTGGACTGAATTGATATTGGTAACTTTAAAACTCGTCGAGAACACCACCGTGCAAGAGTGACAAGTAGCGTTGAAGGGTCGGATTGTTCAGCGCGGTATTTCCTCCTTCGAGTCGCGTAAGAGTCGAAGTGTCGCGTTGGTGTCGAAGCACAAGTCAAAAGCACGTGGGTCATAGCTCCTTCACCTCGGCGTTCCGAAGCCAAACTTTTAGCTACTTCGGAACGCGTAGACGTCATGGAACTGCGATGACAGCGCCCGCCATGAGAGCCAATTCTCTCAGTCTACTTCGGACGACGACGCGATGTAGTTGGGCGCGATCGCAGCCATTCACAAACACTGCAGCAAGATGTGCTACTCGGTGGTCCTCGACCTCGACGCCCTCAAGTTCGGGCGGAGAGAGGCAATGGTCGACACCACTGGCAAAATTTCTGGGTGAAGCCATCACAGTACACAAACCACAACTATTGGGAAAGGTATTTGCTGACAATTGGCGCAGACTACAGGCCCAATAACGGTGGCAGCCTACATGCGCCAATGTCTCACCTCGGAACTAGGAGGCTACTACACGCGACAGACATCACCCGGAGAGGACCAATTCGGCACGAAGGGCGACTTTGTCACATCACCCGAGATCAGCCAGGTCTTCGGCGAGCTCATTGGCATATGGTTGTACGCTGAGTGGCTTGCGCAGGGAAGGAAAGAAAAGGTGCAAATTATCGAGGTGGGACCGGGACGTGGGACACTTATGGATGATGTGCTGAGGGTATGTCAACAGACAGATCAAGAAAGGAAGGAGCGGACTCTGACGTGACACTAGACCATCGCGAGCTTCAAGGGATTCGCGAGAAGCATCGAAGCCATCTACCTCGTCGAAGCGTCGCCGCACCTGCAGAAGCAACAGGCGAAGCTCCTCGCTGGTACCGAAGATGTACAAAAGAGCGAGGTCGGATGGACAGCGCCGTGCAAGTACATACCGGGATGCAACATCCAGTGGTGTGAGGACATACGGTTTGTGCCCAAAGGTACGTTTCCGTTGCCCATTCGCTCCTGCGATGCGAGAGCTGACTAGCCATAGAGGAGACTTCCGCACCCTTCATCCTCGCCCACGAATTTTTCGATGCCCTTCCAATCCACGTGTTCCAGAATGTCCCTCAATCCTCAATCCCGGCTTCCTCCACAATCATAACCCCCACCGGCCCTATCAAACCAAAACATGGCGCCACAGCACCCAAGAACACATGGCATGAGCTTGTCGTCTCTCCCACGAACCCATATTCCAGCGCTGGGACCACCACCACAACTCCTTCTCCAAAGAAAGAAGACGAGAAACCCGATTTCGAACTCACAGTCTCCAAATCGCCCACACCGCACTCGCTCTACCTTCCCAAAATGTCTAACCGCTACAAGGCACTTGAAAACACACCAGACGCCATCATAGAAATCTCGCCAGAGTCAATATCTTACATAAATGATTTCGCCGTACGGATAGGCGGCAGCAACCCTACATCGTCGTCGACCACCACTGCACCACAAAAACAGCCCACGTTCCAGAAGCCCGAACCATCAGGCGCAGCGCTAATTCTCGACTATGGCCCCTCTTCCACGATTCCTGCTAATACTCTACGCGGCATTCGTTCGCACCGCCCCGTGTCCCCCCTCTCCTCCCCGGGGTTTGTCGATCTAAGCGCTGACGTGGATTTCCTCGCCCTCGCCGAATCAGCACTCGATGCTTCCCCCGGCGTCGAGGTTCATGGGCCCGTCGAACAAAGTTTCTTCCTCTCTACAATGGGGATCAAGGAGCGTGCGGAGCGGTTGTTGAAGAGCGCAAAGGATGATGATACTAGAAGGAGATTAGAGATTGGCTGGAAGAGATTGGTTGATCGGGGCCCGAATGGGATGGGCAAGTTGTACAAGGTTATGACGGTTGTACCGTATAGAGAAAAGGGGCCAGTGAGAAGGCCAGTAGGCTTCGGAGGTGATGTGATGTGAGAGGAATCTACATGTCTATCTGTATGATATTGCATTGGTAACGTGCTTGAAGGTTTAGTTCTTAGAAAGTGTTGCCGTACGTACGTTCTGCGACACTCCATTATTCCTGCAATCAATCATGTCGCGCAATTGAAAAGTTGATAGCACAATTTCCGCCATTGCAGCTTGGACAAAATATCTCAAAACACGTCACAAGGCGGTATAAAAAAACGCCATCTGCATATCCATACCTCGTTTGTTATAAACAGGAATGCTACATGAACTACCAAGTACACCCGGCTGGTAATGCTTCAATGACCATGTTTTCGCTCACAAGACTACCATGCCCCCAGTACCAATTTTGTCTCGACTCAACAGCCCAATCTTCATATCACGTCTTTATACTCGGCACTCATACCCTTCACAACTCCTTCTTCATCGCCGGGCTCGTGTCAACCTCCGTCTGCTCAATCAAGCTCCGAGCAACCATTGCACTCTCTCCCCATCCTCTCTGTCTTCCCCAGAATCTCGTCTCAGGCGTAGTCTCCCTCAGACTGCTCTGTCGGGCGTCCTCTTCAAGCGAGTGCCTTGTAATCTCGCCTCCTGACCCGCTCAATGTAGGAAGTGTCTTGAGGGCACTCAGGTTTTCTTCAAAGTACTGCTTGCGGATGAGATAACGTTCGCGGCGCTCTTTCTGTAGCCCAGGAGAGTCAAGCTTCGAGATAGCAATGCAAACTGCATAACGGAAGAGAATGAAAATGTGTTCGGAGAAGAAGACCGCGAGGAGCAGAGCCCAGAGCGTGATGTTGGAGGGTTTGCCATCAGGGCCTGCACCATCATTGCGGAACATGAAGACGAGGGCCGCGGTAGTCAGGCTGCCAAGCCAGCTGAGGAAAGAAAGAGAGTCTAGCCAGGGACCGATGGTGTCCGCGCGCCAGGGAGTGGGACGTTGCATTTCCACGCAAATCTTCATTGCATCCGCGCGGAGCTCGATCCAGTCGTTGATAAGGAAAGATACAGCCGTCAGGGGCCAAACGACAGAGAAAAGAGAAAGATATCCGAACTGGACGACCATTTCTCGGAGATCGGCGTTGACATCGTAGACGTCCAGTTCAGCTTCTTTCCTCACTCGTTCGAGAAACTCGGCCTCCTCCGGCGGGTCGGTTGCTGCGGGGGAAAGGGATGTTCCGCCGTTCTTCGCAGCCTTCTCTGATTGATACTCCTTGAGCTTTGCAAAACCCCGACGCTTAAGATATGGGACGATGAGTTCCAAGCCAAGGTTGACGACTTGAGCAGTGACCGTAAAGTAAATGACCTGCTTGCGGAGACGGTCTGGGTTGATTCCCCAAGTTTGGTTCGTGGAAACATGAAGTTGCTTCTCGTCTTCCACAAATGGTCGTACAGCCACGTTGAAGACGTCAAGGTATGGCACTATCACAGTGCCGAAAGGAACGTAGACAAAGGCCGTCAAAAAGATGCCAAGGTAAGACGTGATGAAGTTCATGACAAAGATCTTCTGGGTCAGCGCAGTTTGGTACGAGCTTACAGTCTCGTGGTTTTCGAATTCTGTAAGTCGGGTTGCGAGTGAAGTAAGAATCGTGAGCAATACAGGGTTCACGGTTGTGAGGATACCAGTAGGAATGAAGACCTGGACAAAATCAACAATTCTGCATGTAGTTCGAGAGGGCGGTACTTACCAGAACGCTCTTCAGGGGCCCGTTGTAGACCTCCGAGATGAATACTTCGATACCGAAGCAGGTTGCGATGACAGTCCCAAGCATGACTATCGCAGAGAGTGCAAATGGCACCACCAGTAATTGCCTTTGTAGTCGTTTTGTCGCAGAGAAGAACTTGACATCTTCTCCAGTGATTGGGTCTGTGATTGTCTTTTCGTGCTTAAACTCTCTTCTTCTGTTGTCAATCTTAGAGACACCCTTGACGCCCCATCGAACGCCAAGGTCAATTTCTTGATGTTTCCACCACTCAGTGAAGACAGTGCACCACACCGCACTCGCTAGGCCGTAGATGGGTGAGAAATGGCCGAGGAAAAGCCATGCGAAGGCGCCGAAGGCGGCAGGGAACATGAGAAAGGTGAAGTAGGACTGCGTAAAGGCGAAGTAGAAGGCAATCTATGTGAATTAGTTTCTCGTTGTTCGAACTTTTGGAGCGTGCTCACCTTCTCGCCCAGGCGGTTTCGAATGTCATCCAAGTCCTCCGTCTTAAGAAAGTAGGACGACGTCCACTTCTTGATCCAATCCTTGTTGTACACATGGTCATGCAGAGCAAAGATGGATTCGACGCCTTTCCATTCTCCTTCCTTTGGTGTGATGCCAGCTCCGCCCTCAGACACAGGGTTCGTAATGAGCTGGTATATGATTCGTAGCCTCTCGGCTTCGTAGAGGGGCTCTGCGTGTACAGCTTCGCGTGTCTCTTTGGGAGGAGCAGTAGCGCGAACGCCATGGATCCAGTCGCGGACTCTGTTAGTATTGTTAGCAAAAGCATTTGAGATGGACGACAAGGTGAGGGCTTACCTCGATCTGTACACTTCGCCGAACAGGTGCTCGTCAGAAGCAACCCTTACAAAGAGGAGGACGGAATGATTGTCTCCGTTGCGGACCTCCGTCTGCAGACCGACATTCGCAATGGCTTCACATAGCTTTTCGAATTGGGCGATGGCAGTACGCTTGTCTAGACTCTGGTCAGCCTTCACGTGCCTCAGTCTTCGCACATGTACGACTCACCCGTCTTTGCAAACCGATAGGTAATCACATAGTCGACATCCAGATTGGATTGGAGGGCTTGAGATTTCGTCATGGCGGACGATGAGCTCGCGCTGTCGAGCAGGGCGAATTTGAGGCGATATATCTTCCAGGAAATAGAGGTAAAGAAAGGGATTGTAGGAGATGTGTCCCCCTCCACATGAGCACACATTCCAGGTATTGGGAAGCTGCAGTTGGTGGTCAAACCAACGTCATCAGCGCGTCGCTTAGCGCTGCCGCGAACCCTGCGTCACCTCGCACGACGGACATCTGAACGTCGCAAACAGGATATCGCAGAGACTGAGGGGTATGCTGAGCTGATATGAGTTTCTTGTTTGAAGTCAGCACTGTGATGCAGACTAGCTCTGAAGCATCCACTTGCACGTCCAATGCAGAGATATGCCCAAGTACCATTGGAGCATCACATGACATCGCGCAGCGTTTTTGCTTGTCCACAATTTTGGAGCTTCAATCACGCGTCGGCAATGCCTCCTGCCCTCAATGTCCCTCCTTAAGTATTCGAAGCAATACCTAGCCAACCAATCGAGATATGCATGCCTCAATGCCTTTGTCTCGCGCATTGAATCCTCTTCCTTGCTGGCTCACGCCGACTCCCCTACCACACACGTAGGTGAGCGGGGTGTCAACAATAAGCCTATTGCCGTCAAAGACAACATGTGCACTAAAGAACTGAAGACTACGGCTGGTTCGGGCATTCTAAAGGACTTCATGAGCCCATATGATGCGACGGTGGTGAAGCTGTTGCAAGATGAGGGAGCCGTGATTGTGGGAAAGACCAACATGGACGAGTTTGGCATGGGGTCGCATTCTACACACTCACATGCCGGCCCGGTGAGGATGCAGCGATACGAGGGTGAAGATGCAAGCGCAGGAGGAAGCTCGGGCGGTAGTGCCCTTGCAGTGGCTAGTGGACAGTGTTGGGCGTGAGTAGTCAATGAATATGAACATGCTGGGCGGTCGAGCTGATGGCGCGTAGGGCTCTTGGTACAGATACAGGTGGTTCTGTCAGACTCCCTGCTGCATACACGGGCGTTGTTGGGTTCAAGCCAAGTTATGGACTCATCTCCAGATGGGGTGTCATTGCATATGCGAACTCACTCGATACTGTGGGTATACTCGGGAGGAGTTCCATGGATGTAGAGGAAATGTTTGGTGCGTACCAGTTACACCAATCTGAGATGTGTATCTAAACTTTGTTCGCAGACAAACTCAACATGTACGACTCCCAGGATCCTACCTCTCTCCCGTCTTCGACACGTGCACGTCTTCGTTCCGATAGCGAGAAGCCAAGGTCTTTGAAGATTGGAATACCATTAGACTATAACATCGCTACCCTCGATCCTACTGTTCGCAAGGCCTGGATTCGTACTTTAAAACTGCTATGGGGACAAGGACATAGCTTACATCCCGTGCGACTACCAGCAACACAACATGCTCTCTCGGCTTACTACATTCTCGCTCCGGCAGAAGCGTCTAGTAACCTCGCGAAATATGATGGCGTTCGTTTTGGTAGCAGAGCAGACGGTATTGACGGGACTCGTGAGAGTGTACTCTTCGCTAAGACTCGAGGACAAGGCCTCGGTCCAGAGGTCCAGCGTCGTATCCTGCTGGGCGCTTTTTCACTCAGTGCACAAGCTATCGACAACTACTTCATCCAAGCACAGAAAGTTCGGAGAGTGGTACAGCAAGATTTCGACAGAGTTTTCGCTAAACCAAACCCGTTATTGAATGCTGCTGAGGATCGGGAAAAGGGTGATGACAGAGTAGATGTCTTGCTCTGCCCAACAGCTCCAACCCTCGCCCCGTCTTTATCAGAAGTTCAGAACCAGGATCCAGTGCACGCATATATGAACGATGTCCTCACCGTTCCAGCCAGTTTAGCGGGGCTTCCAGCTATCAACGTTCCTGTTAACGTCGAAGTTGCTGAGCACCAGACAGGTCAAGGCCATGAAACGGAGTTCAAAGAAAGCGCAGGCATTCAGATCATCGGGCAATATGGTGACGACAAGCTGGTGCTCGATCTTTCAAGCTCCCTACAGGCCCTCGCGGAGACAGGCCAGAGCTCCTCAGCACCCCACATGGCTGTCTGGGAATCGAGCACTCTCTGATCCGCCAATATAAGGGACGATGAAAGTGAACGATGGGGAGAGAATAGCTCTGGAAAATGTACGAAAGGCACTCAACTACTCAAGAAGCATACTATTTGCCGGAATACGAGTTACAGGAAACACACATACGTGTGTCTCAATCATGCTAGCACAAACTCTTGCATTCAGACCTGAGAAATGAGAAAGCTCAGTGAATCAAGACAGTCCTCGTTCATTCGTGATGATATTGCTTGATTGTATTCAAATACATAAGGAATTGATTTTGATCGACCTCCTACTAACATCCCGCATATCATGTCTCATACTCATCTTCCCGTAGCCCAGTTATCGTCATTCATGACGGGGAAGCTTAGTGCTAAAATACATTAGTATTTATCAACGCCACCAAAGTAGAAGAAACACTCACGGAGCAGGATCCACAGCTGCAGCCGGAGCAGTCACCCTGGCAGTTACAAGCGTTGCAGGAGCTGTTATCGTTGTCAGTGTCTATTCGTCTCAAGTGACTATTAGGTGGCTCGGAAACAGCAAAGCGTAGTGTCCATCGGGGTATCAGCTCTCCTCAGTGCTACTTTGTCAAAGCCTTGTGATTGGAGATAAAGGAAGACAACTCACCAAGGAGACATGTTGGTTGATTGGGTAGCTCGGGGTTGACTTGATTGATTGGTTGTGTGGTTGTGTGGTCGTGTGGACTGATTGTGAGAGGTGGTGTGGACATCAAGGTGCGCGATCCCGGGTCTTTATATACATCGACTCTTCTCTCCCTCCCTTCTCTTCCTGATGCATCATTGTAAACAAAGATCGTCTAGACCCCGCGTCACGTATCTCGGCACCTACGCGGCCGCACAAGTCACGCACATCCCGCCATAGACGGTCCAAGGAGTTCGATGCGCTGCAGATCATATTGGTGAGACACGGTCAAGCGTTGTGGACACAGCATATCTTGGACTGTCTTGGGGAAGCAGACGTCCACTGAGCTCCTCCAAACGGTATGGTGCGTTGTTTTTGCGAATGCGGTTTTTATGCGGGTGGAGCTGTCAGGTTCCTATGCATACGAGTCCCTCGTGCCAAGGGTACATGGCTGAATATCACGATATCATATTAGTGACGATACGTTAGCACATGCCAGGAAGGTGATGTGCCGGTAAATGTCACGGTGATCAGGCATCTGTCGGATGGCTCCATATGCATATGCAGTAGTGCATTGCATACGGACCGCTCACAAGACTCGGGAAATGGGCCGCGTTGGAAACGTGAGAGGCTGCGGTAGGCCGAGTTGCTGTAGCCGGCTTCGAGAAACAAGAAACATTCGGCAGTGAATCGTGCAGAGTTATGACCCCACTTGGTCTGACTTGGTGGGTTGTAGGCTGCTGCAGTATCGAATTATCAGAACTTACACCGTAACGCCGAACCACTAATATTACAACCACAAAGAACCAACGAGAACGCTTGCCCCCATATATGTACGTCCGAATGAACCCAACCTAGATATCAAGATGCTGTCTTATATCATCTCCAAGCCTCCACTCATCTTCTCTCACCGTCCTTTCCAGCGGATTTGTGAAATCATCCTCATCACTCCTCCGACTTACATCTGTCCCTGTACTCGTCGAGCTATCAATCGTCGCATTGCTCACACTCCTCGTTGTACTCTTGCTCCGTTTCTTGCCCTTAAACCATGCTCTCTTCGTCTTGGTGCTCGCTACGTCCACATCGGAGGCCGCATCAACCAGGGTCGGCTCAGTTGCAAACGATGTTGTGCTGAGGTTTGACGAGAGTCTGGTAAGATGATTGGGGTCTTCGGGCTGCGCAGAATCGGCGACGGGATCGTGGCGGGGAGTCGGCATGGGGGTTACTTCTGTCGAGGGGGTGGATTCGACCAGTTCGGCAGAGCGGTACCACTTTCGCCGACGCGTATAGCGTCCCCAGCCATCTTGGCCTCTGCGACCGTCTCGCCACTGCTGAAGTCAGTGAGATGTTCTAGTGCGATTAGAGGAACAGTCGTACCTTGTTGTCGTAATATATCCACCCTGTATCGTCCTTTGAAACACCTTTGTCTACCTTGCCATCTTTGTCTGCGCCCTCAGTCTTCCACTCAGTTCCTTGAACCCACCTCCACCTCGCCTGCCCGCCTTCCACCTCAGGTAACTCAAACTGTTCCTTTGGTGGTACAGCGTTGAGGTGCTCATCTGTCCACGAAGCCCGCTCATATGCCAGCATGGACGATGTCCACCCGATACCCAGCCAACGTCGCTGATTCTCGTATATCGAAAAGGTAAAGCGCACTCCTGTCGACTCGGGTCGGCGCTTGGCCGCCAGAGATGCTGCTACTTCCTGGGTACTTTTCTTGCGAGGAGGCAGTGGTGGAGGTCTAGAATGAGTTTTGTCTTTTGGTGTCACCTCACTCAGATTCAGGCCAGTGATGAAAGTGCATATTTTGCGGACTGTTTTAGATCGCCAGATCAACGTGCGGGTGACGCGTGCGGGTCGAGAATGCCAGCTGAGTATCACAGTACCTATGGCTAGGACGGCTCGTTTCGTGGTGAGGATATAGAGGGGTGGGAGCGTGAGGAGTACCCATAGTGGGAGTACAACGAGAATGCGAATGAACAGTACAGTAAGCGCTGGCCGTGTTGTTGCTGATGTTGCTGTCCTTTGTGTGGAGAGGAAGTCGGTTAGGCGCAAGAAGGGGTCGAGGAGGATGTTGCAGCGCGACGTGAACAGCTTCAGGCTGTCCACAATCTCCTCCAAGCTCTTGTGATGCTTAATGTTGCTCTCTGACTCGGTTCGTGCATGTCCCCTTTGTCCCTTCTCCCCCGTCCATCCAGTCGATGAAAGCGGAGAGTATCTCCGTGTGTACATTCCTAGAATCAAGGCAGACACTACGATAATGGGCCCTGCATATCTCGTGACAACATCACCGTACATGACCACGGCCCAAAAGCCTGCCACCAAAAGGAAGCTTTCCCATGGGTCTTCCGTCGTCCATGTCACCAGCCCAGCCAACTTGCTCAGAGGCGCAATGAAGGGATGCGAATACGCAAGAACGCGGGTGATTTGCGGCGGCGTAGCAGCAAGTAGCGGCGACTTTTGATGCACGAGGATTGCGGAGCGTAACTTTGTCTGCGGCGTGACCTGGGCTAGGTTGGAGGGTGAGAAGGTGGCATAGGTCGGCGGGTTGGATTCACCGGAGGGCTGCGGTGACGACGCATCCTTGTGGGGTCGCGATGAGCTCGACATGTGCTCTAACCAAGGTGTATCTGGCCACGTATGAGCATGGTGCGTGCAGATGCCGCTATGTGGTGGTCGTGGTCGAGTTATTGTGGGAAGGCGACTGACCTATAGCTGCCATGCATCCAGAACTGCGTCATCGCCTGCCTGCTTGGATGAGGCCGAAAACCACGGGAACAGTTCAACCAAGTTGGAGGTTTTTGGTGCGCGAAGGGGTACTTGGAGAAAGAAGGGGAATGCTTGTGAGCATACATGTGAAGGCACTCTGGAGACATGTCATGTGGTCACTGTTAGTGATTGCTTTGCATGTGAAGGTCCGACACTTGCGGGAGCGTCATGGTGACCCTGTGTAGACACAAAGAGCCGTTGGCTGTAGGACTGCAAAGGTCCGGTAGACGTGTGGCAGATGTAAGCTTTTGCTTTTACGTTCATCTTAGCTGTCATGTCCTGTTGACTGATGGTAATGGTAACATGGTTCGCAGCCGAGAAGAAAGACTGTGAGTTTGCGATCGTTCGATGATTGGTTGCCCATGGATGGACTATACTCGGTCACGTGCGCCGAAAGTTCGGCAAGCCAGAGCCCTTTCAAGACACTCTCGCCGTCGGCTACATCCATCAGCAGGAGATTAGTCGACTGTGACACTTCAGTCCACATCTGTGCGCTTGAAACCACACCTCGACGTTTCTTTTGGCTACTCACCCCGCGCAATGGTGTGTCTCTCCACCAAAGCCATATTTAGCCACCTTCGTCTAACTTGCTCAGGCTCACCGTATAATAACACAAGTCGTTTTCTCTGGTGCCCGAATAATAGGCCGCGCCGTCACCGAGTCCTACAAGCAAGCGGCCGCTTCTCAAAAGTTTGCCGCGGCGAACCAGAATGGTGGCGGAGGAGGAGGCGCCTTCTCGGGATCCTCGAACATTACAATGGATGAGGCGTGCCAGATCCTGAACGTCAGCCCCGGAAAGATGGGACATATAGAACCGGAAGCCGTCACGGAGCGATTCAAGCGGTTGTTCGACCTCAACGACCCGCAAAAGGGCGGTAGCTTTTACCTGCAGAGCAAGATACTGAGAGCGCGAGAGAGGATCGAGAGGGAGCTACAAGGACACCAGCGGATGGCTGAGAGGGAGAAGGAACTGAGCGACGGGTTCAAGCCAAAGTTTACGAAGGAGGATTGAGCTGTAAAACAAATGATGAGCAATCACGAAGACTCGATGCATTCGGGCGGCGTTTGGGGGCGTGGCATAGCGTCTGGAATTGTTTGCGCAGGACTATATGGGGAGGGACTGCGACACTCGAGGGCCTCATGGAGGGATGCATGCTTCTCCCCACGTCACTCCACTCTCCACTGTACAAGTATTGCCGTTTGGCGTCTGTTCTACGTATTGTACCACTACAAGCCAGCAGAGGGCCTTGCGTCCCCGTTCGAGTCCCACCGTGGATCTTGAGACGTCAAAACTGAACACGGGCTGTGCATGGCCCCCAAGACTCGAGTGCCTGCTTGTATTGTGTAGTGCCGCGGTGAACAGGTCAGAGTTGTCGAGGGCCAGCAGCGATGGTCCACCCCGGACGCACCTTCCCCAACGTCATGCACGTGCACACACTAGCGGCTTGATTGCCATTGCGAAACGAAAGTTTTCGCGCTCTTTGTTCCTACCCTGGCGCCATCGACAATCAACGCGCGACACGTAATTCCCTTCATCTCCAGACACTCGCGCCCCCTGCGGCTAGCAATCACCATGGCGGACTCATATCGCCCCGGCCGCTCCAGTCGCCCGCCGCCTCTCGCAGACCGCATGACGTTCACCAGCGGTGGAGGCGGAGGAGGAGGCGACAACTACAGGCCTGGAGGCCAGCAACAACAGCACGCCGACTTCACCTTCACGTCGGGCCACCACGCGCCGCGCTTTCCGCCTGCTGGGCCTGCCGACTCGGACTCGCGCTCGCAGGCGCGGAGACGCCCTCGAGGTGGAGCCTCGGGGAGCCAGCGCGACTACTCGGGACCGTCTCATGGCAGCGCCAGAGGCAATGCAAATGGCTTCCGGGGTAGAGGCAGGGGCAGGGGCCGAGGAGGCTTCCGCGCCCCCCACGAGCGCGCCCTTCTGCAGGTCCGCGACGATGCCAGCCCTGAGCACATCATGGGCGTCGAAGGTCCCAACAAGTTCCTAGACGTCGACAACATGTCTGACGATGAGGAAACCGCCATGGACGTTGGCAGTGACAAATCCGTCGACGATGTCTCGGCTGACGGTCAGGACGGCAACCACAAGGTAGCCCGAACGCAGCCCAATGGGCGTGCTGACGGCAACTCTGTACCCCAGTGGTGCAATCCTGATCCGTACACTGCCCTGCCGCCGCCTGAAGAGGTCAATGGCAAGAAGATTGACTTCGTCAAGATGTTGCGCAAAGCCAAGAATCAGGCAGCGGAAAAGGCTCAGGCCAACAACGCTGTTGCCGCCAACGACGATTTCATCTCGTTTGGCGATGATGACGCTGCTGATGAAGATGCTATATCTGCGCCTGTGTCTACTCGTGGAGTCCATGTATTCGAGGATGAGGAGCCCGCGCCTCGCCGCCCTCAACGCAACGAGCCTGCGAGCCGGCCGGTGCGAGGCTCCATGAACGACCTTGATTATGCTTCTCTACACACTGGGCCGCAGAACGACCCGCCGAATGGGAGGCGAACAGCACAAGCGGCTGGGTTGCCTGACCAACCTTCACGCCCAGGCCGCGCCAGCAAGCGCAAGCACGTAGAGCTCGAGTCTTCTGGCATCATACAGGAGTGGCTGCCCGATGCACAATGCCACCCGTCACCGTGGATGGATCCGCGCCACAGCTATGATCATCTCGCCCAAGATCCCTTCAAATGGTTAGTCTTTTATGTCTCTCATGTTTGTGTCACGCTTTCCCACTAAACCTCCATAGGCTCCACAACGAGATCCTGGATTTCTACGATTTCGTCGCACCTCAGACATTCGAGCACGACGTTCGCCATGCTCTTGTAAAGCGGATCCAAGCCGCGCTGGGCACTCAGAGGCTTCCCCAGGATACTGGTCGCATTCTGTGCTTCGGATCCTTTCCAGCAGGATTGTACTTGCCAACAGCCGACATGGATCTGGTGTATACATCGGACAGGCATTTCAATGGCGGTCCACCAGTCTTGGATTTCTCCTCCAAAACTGCTGTGAACAGAACGCTTCGACAGGCTGCGAGGAGACTCGAGCAGGTGCACATTGCTACCAACGTCCTTGTCATTGCCAAGGCCAAGGTTCCAATCATCAAGTTCACGGATAGAGTCACCAACCTCCACGTCGATATTTCATTCGAGAACCTTAGCGGTGTTCAAGCACAAGCAACATTCGCGCAATGGAAGAACCAGTACCCTGACATGATCTACATGGTGGCCCTCTTGAAACAGTTCCTGGTTATGCGCGGAATGAACGAAGTCCACCATGGCGGTCTAGGAGGATTTAGCATCATCTGTTTGGTCGTCAGCTATCTACAGCACGCGCAAAAGTCGGAGAACTTGGGTGAATGTTTCCTGGGGTTCCTCAAATACTACGGTAACGACTTCAGTCTTAGCCGGCAACGGATTCAAATGCATCCTCCAGCGATCATCGACAAGACATCATATGGCATTGACGGGCGAGCGGAGAAGCCGGACGGCCTCTCGATTCAAGATCCTAACCGCCCGGACAACAACATCTCTGGTGGATCCCATAAAGCGAGAGAGGTATTCAAAGCCTTTGGCAAAGCGTACAGAATACTCGATGATCACATGGACGTACTACGCGCGGGTCAGGTCAGCCCTGGGCATAGCATACTTGCATGCTTACTCGGCGGTAACTACAGCACGTATATTATGCAGCGACGCCACCTCAAGTCACTTAAGTAAGTTGTTTGCACTGGATTTTAGCGGAATTGCCTTTTGGAATTTTGCTTTGTACAGCGTGGACGACATGGACTCAAGGATCTTTGGTGATTTGGCATATGGTGATTGAGCTTTGTGCTATTGTCTGAAAAGGTTCAGGCATTGACTTGGAATCCAACTCACGTCATCTTCTAGCAAGCGGGATTTTCACAACATCGACAGATTGATAGGCATTACTCAGAACAAAGACGATGGCTGGGCGCAAGAGGTTGCACGACTCTTCCCGGTGGCATCGCATGCGTTCAGCAAGGGAGATTTGCGCCGCAGAAGGTGAGGGTAAAGCAGTGTATGGCGTCAGGATATGAGAGTTTGTGGGCGCGAGTAGTACTCCTGCTTCGGCACGGTTCACTCACGTCTTGCACAGGTTTAGGACGGCTTCGTTACAATTTCCTTCTGTCGATACGATACCCGAACGAGGCGGACATTTGGGTCCAGCGATGACCTTGCTTTGATTTTCCTTCGGCCAGTCAACGCTTTCCGGATGTAGGTTTCCTCGATTGGCACAGTTCGGTCCATGTTGTTGCTCCCACGATGGATCACGATATGAGCTGCGAGTCTGTTCCGATCACCGATACCATCATCCCCAACTCGACTGGCAGCATGCATGAAGTGGAGTCGCACACTCGCGGACTTCTGGGACAAAATGTTCCTTGTATTCTAAATTCCATGACATCTGTTTCACCTTTTCTCTCTCTCTCTCTCTGTTCTGTTTGCTTGCGATAGTCTCCGCTGTACTCTGGGATGCTGTTGTTGGTTGTACTAATCCGTACCCGGTGTGGGCAAGGAAACCATATTTCAGTCACGAAGGTCAGCTTGGTTCAAAGTGTCGCAAGACATGGAGGATCAGGCTCTTCAGAAATGTTTCCGGCAAGGGGACGTCTTTTCTCATTGGGTGGCATGCTTGATGCGTGCGCTCGAGGATGGAAGATAGGTGGTCGGCAATGCTGGGTTGGTCACGGTCTTTTGTACATGTTTGGTGATTGTGAACTGAGTTTCTGTCTAGGTTGATTCAAAGCGATCGTTTCTTTCTCAACCATAGATGACATGTAAGTCGCCTGATAGAGATGCCAATATGTGTGTAAAAAAAATCTAAATCCCTCATCTAAAGGCCCCAACACCAAAACAAGGTGATTTTACACACTCAAACGCCTTATCCCAGGCAATTTTATTTACTCCCCGCATCCGCGTTCCTGTGGTAGTCACCACAGGGCAGGTTGGTTTGACTTCCCTCAACATCCTCAATCTCAAACATCCTCTTCAACTCCCTGCATGCGACCAGGTACTGCTCTCGCGCGCCGGGGCTCTCCCTCAGCGGGTTGGGCGCCTTGTCCCAGCCATGCGGCACACCAAGCACACAATGGTAATGGACGCGCTTGCCCAGATTCTCCAGCTTGTCGCGGAAGCGTTCGCCTTCGGCAAGCAGCATGTCCCACTCGCAGCAGAACAGGACGATGTCGTCGGGCAGGGCTTCGAGCATGCGGGTTGGGGCAACACCAGGGCTGAGCCAGGGGTGGGCGAGATCGAGAGCCGGGGGCTGCAGATACGAGTCGTCGAAGAGCTGGGTGAAGACGGCGGGGAGCTGGTGGTCGGTGCGGACACAGGTGGCGCGGCGCTGGGCGCGGGTCTGGGTGTAGTCTGTGGGCGGGTAGAAGGACACGATGCCTCTGATCTTGACGATGGCGCTCGAGTCCTGCGTCATGACGGAGACTGCGCCGCGGCCGCCGACGTCCTTGTACGAGGAGATGAGCGAGAGGGTCGAGGCGCCCGTCTGGCGCATCATGGCGATGCGGTCGAGGCGCGACTTCTGGCGCATCAGCGGCACGCGCGAGCCGTTGGGCGTGGTGCTCGAGCCGACGTTGGGGGGCGGCTTCACGAGGGTGGCGGGGACATTACCCGCGCGGCCGTCGACAATGTTCTCGCCCGAAGCCGTCCGTTCGAACAGCTCGCCCTGCAGACACAGCGGCACGGTGAAGCTCATGTTGCCGCCCGACGAGAAGCCCGAGACGGCGAAGCGGTCGCAGTCCAGCATCAGCTCGGCGGCGTGCTGGGCCAGGTACAGGATGGCGTCGGCGCCATCCTCGACGGCCGTGGGGAAGGGGAACTCGGGCGCCAGGCGGTAGTCGACGCTCACGACGACGGCGCCGACGTTGTCGACGACGGTGCCGGCCCAGCGCGCGTCGTCGTGGGCGGTGCCGAGCACGAAGCCGCCGCCGTGGAAGTTGATGAGGCACGGGTAGCGCTTGGTGCCCTTGAGCTTCTGGTGGCGCTTGTAGTCGGCCGGCACGTAGAAGTTGAGGCGGAAGCGGCCCTTGAGCGGCGACACGGTCGCGTCGATGTCGCGGTGGAAGGCGGGCTTCGGTGGCAGCGGGCGCGCGAGGCGGTGCAGCACCATGCCAATGCCCATGAGCACGCGCCAGAACTGCGCCTGCACGTGCAGCATCCATCGCGGACGCCCGCCGGGTGTTTCCTCGCCCGGCATGTTGGTGTGGTTGGTCGTCTCGTTCTTGAGTTGAGCTTCTACGGCGTGGGCGCCATTGAGCAGCGAAGGAGAGAGAGGAAGAAGGGGACTGGCAAATCGAGATTGCCGTGGATTGCTCGTGCTCCACCGCCAAGTAGCCGCAAGTGGGCGGCGTCTGGGATGGTCGCGTTGCTTGAATCGCTGCCCCCAACGGCTTGACAGGCCATGACGTAGCCATTCACCACTGACAGATGACATATGATGCGCGCCTGCCAAGTCCGCCGGGGAGGCTGCAGCACCCACCTCTCACCTCCATCTCGCACCCAATCTCACTCAGCCAAAAGCTTGCTTGTTCCATTTGGAGCAGTATGAATTCACACTACTTGCTATATGTATCCCGAAAGAGAGGACATTTCGACAATAAACACCAACCGTCGTGACTGAAAAGCGAGCCAAACGGGTATACGGCCGCTCAAGTCCTCAGAAAGCGCCAGACGCTCACCTATCGATGCTGCCACGAAACCACTAAATGCAAATTATACCCACGTCACTACTTGACGCCCACGTTCACGCCTGAGAGGCTGCTCATTCCAAACTCCAATAAAGGTATGCAAACTGAAATCAACCACCGTGAAGAATAGGAAAGACATTGTACAACGTCGACCATCACGCGTCAACAAACTCGTAGTCTTCGTCCTCTGGCGCAGCATTCCTCTTCTTAGGCGCGGGTGAGATGGCCTCGCCGTCCGAGTCCAGCACCTCGTACTCGTTCTTGATCAACTTGTCCGTCTCGCGGATTTCGTAGCGTTCGATGGCCTTCTCGAGGGCGCCGTTGAGGATCTGGCTGCCGTGGCTGGGTCCACGTGTGGCGTCGAACGAGTATGCCACCTCGGCGTCTGGGGCAGGTGCACTGGATGGGTGCTCGACATCTTCGTCGGCTGACGAGTCGCCTGAGGCATACGTAATGTCCTTGGTGAGAGCGTTTCGAGCCTTCATCCAGGGGCCGGGGTAGGGTGACCTGCACATGTCAGCAACTGCTCGTACATAGACGTGCATGACCGTCTGCAACTCACTTCATGTTTGGGCTGACGCGAGCAGGGCGCGGGCGACCTTCTTCAACGCGTCGTCCAGGGCCAAACGACGTGCCGTGCTGCCACTTCGCCCTGCTGTTCTTGTCGCGGTTGAACTCCTTGGCATCGCTGCGGAGGTCGCTGGTGAAGGTCTGTTCGGAAGCCATGGTGGAAGCTTGATAGGTTGGAGAGGAGGAGACTGGATAGTTGAGGGAAAAGAGGAGGCGTGTATCAGGGGCGTTGCTAAGGGTTGGGGGAGAGGCGTAGATAACTAAGCTGGTAGATTAGGAGAGATAGGGAAGCTGGTAAGCTAGCGAGTGGAGGTGAGATTGGGTGACGGTAGGCAGTAGTAATAAACTTGGAAGCAAGGGCAGGTGTGACTGTGTCTTGGAGATGACCCGGCTCAAGAAGGTGACTCAGATGGAGGAGGCGATCTGATCTGAGCTATGGTACTAAGTCAGTGGCTATGCAGATGATGGTAGGTACGGCTTATAAAGGCGTAGAGCGTGTGTGTACGCGCCGTTGACTTAGGCGGCAGCACAGCCCTTTATGGACGGTGAGGTAGAAGGCGTACGCGCCTCCCCGCTCCTTCTCCATGACCATGCATGGTCATGAGCTCGCGGCTCCTTATCTCTCAGAAGCCATGGTCAGGGCCCGGCTCACCGAGGCCGGCTCATTCCGATAGAGCCCTCGAGATCCGGCTAGATGAGAATGATGCCATCATCGGGAAACCACGCGCCTTTGCTCGTGAGCGTGGGTGGTCTGGAGGCTGGGCTGGCTTTGGCGCATGGTGCTGTAAGTGGTCGACGTCGAGCGGTGATGCGCTGCGCTTCCCCGGTCCTTCCGACGCCTACCCCACAGTATCCACTCAACCTCCAACCCTCAAACAGCAAAAGTCACGAAACTCATCGATCGCAGTAGCCAGAGCCCTGGTACACATGCACCTCTCTCACCACCCAGCCTTGATAAGGACTCGGAGTTGGGAGCTGCGCGACATTAGCCTTCTGTCCAACCATGTGTCAGCCTGGGGCCATAGTCACTGCGCCATGGCGTGTGGGCCGCCACGTTGACGACACAGGTGTTACCATGTCTGTTGTGAAACTTGGTCACCATTAAATCCTGCAGACTAGATAACAAGTTTGCATTGAACGTTAGTACTCGTTACGTCAAGTCTAGTCATACGGAGCATGGACAATCTTGAGCTGTAGGTTGCATGCATGGAGGTGAATACGTGCATGTCCACTAGTTCCAGGTACAGGCAGTAGAACAATCATCACGTAAACATGTAGATGCGCACATTTGGCTCACACTCTCAAGGTTGAATATATTCTGCTGAATTGGTCAAAATGTTGAAACATTCGTCTTCTCGCAGGCTTCCCGTGATGCCCTATGCTTATACGTTCTACTCCAACGCAAAACACCTCTCTATGTTGTCTTCATTATTACCCCACCAGTTCGGCATGCTGATTTGCTTTCCACTCCCGAAAAACAAGAAAATAAGTAGCATGTTGAGATTAAAGGCCGCGTCCAGAGCGGCAGCAACGATGTAGTTGTACCTCTTCCAGACCTGGAAGTGATATCGGAAGATCCAATACATGGCGATAAATCCACCAACGTAAGCACTGAAATACCCCGTCGAGAGGTTGCCGTAGAACACAGCCATCCCAGAAAAGAAGATTGTCGTGTTCCAAAGATGAAACTTCAACTTCGATTTCGGGAATGCGCGGTGCAGAGCGAATAGAACGAGGGGCGCGAAGGTGCCGAAGAGAAAGGCCCATGGTAAGGGCTTGAAGACATGCTGGCTGAACATCCTACTCGGACCAATGACTGCGTACTGAACGCCTAATGTGTTCGAACTGACGAGTGACTGCCCAGTCCATTGATGAAGAGGATCACTCTTCGCACCAGATAAGTAGTCAAACTTGGTGTTCAGAACCCATCGTACAACGCCGTAGTTGATGGGTATACCTAACACGCTACCAAACACCTGGCTGAAGAACACAGTACGCGGAGGAATGTGCATGTAATGCCCTATTCTCTGGTCTTGGAGCATGTATTGGGCTCTGTACCAAGCATCACCAGCGATGGACCCGTAGACGGAGGGACCGCAAGGGTGATGATGACCTGAACCGGCCGATGTGTGTACCATGTATCCATACATGAGTTCGTTGAAATCGCCGATTGCCACTTGATAGTTTGAGATTGCGTACAGATAGCCAAGAGGTACCACGATAACGACACCAGTCGCAAGAGCAACAAATACAGTCCAGACAGGCACAAAAAGCTGACCCGAGCCGATAATTGCAACGAGCATAACCAAGCCCGCGAGAAAGAGAGCTCCAAACCACCAGCCAGGGACTTCTTTGTAAGATCGCTGGAGGACGTTGAGACGATCGGTATATTGGTGGTGTATATTTGGAGCAGGCCCGTGACTGCCAGGTTGTTGTTTTCCTGCTCCTGCACGTGCACGTCTTGCAGCCATGTTCTTCTTGAACGTTGACATAATCTGAGTCGCTCCAAAAGTGGCCATCCAAATAAACGCAGAAGGTAATTTGGCGTAGCTAAAGAAGGTTGCCCAGATGTTTTGTATTCCCATGTACACCGGCCCATATTCCTCGTAGGCTGTCTGATTCAAGCTGAAGTCACTGTTGACAATCTTGAGAGTGGGGTACTTGGTGCCGTTCGCCATCAGTAGCGAGTTGGACATCAGCCCATGTTTGTACGATCCTAGATTCCCCCACTTTGCTGCGGGAATGAGAATCCAGCAGTTGAACGCAAAGGCAAGGAAGAGGATTGTCTGTGTCCAAAATGGAGTAATAAGGATGGACGATCCGTTCCAGTTTATGTTGGACCAGTCAAGGGAGAGATTCAGGAAGCCCATGCCACCCAGTCCAGAGCCGATGAAATTTGCGACTGAGTTCTTCGGAGCCACCCAACAGAGCAACGCGAGCGAAGAGGTGAAAGGGAATATGTACTCGGGCAGAAATTGCCAAAGTGTCATTCCAATCAGGCAAGAGAAGAAGATGATCATCTGTCGTTTGGCGAGCTTGCTACGGCGGTCTTGCTTGCGGAACGTTTCGAACAAAGTCGTCTGCATGAGTGCTTGTGGCCAGATGTATTCTGGTTCCCACAGAAGGAGTGAGCGAGCGATGGCAGCAATGGCATAGCCGACCCATACAATAGCAAGCATGAAGAAGATAGCAACGGCGGGATCGATCTTGGTGTCATAATAGAGCTCGGCCATCGAGATCGGAGTGTAGCCAAGATTATATGTTGCTCCAGATGCTGCAGTCAATGTGACCAGAACGTGTTCTTTGATGCTCCACGGCGCAGGATTGAGATTGAAGCCATAGCCAAGGGGCAACCGGACCTGCCATGCAGGAAGACGCTCGGCAAGGAAGTGTCCAGCATAGTGGCATGCAATCTGAACGAAGAAGATGGAGTAAGGTGCCTGTGTTGTCCGGAAATGGCTCATCTGTGACAGGAAAGCTCCTGGCACGACAAATACGACACATAAGACGAAGTATCGAAACGTGATGGTGGGTAGGGTGGTATCATCGTCAAGAGAGACGAGCTGACGAACGATGAGAGGTAGCTGGGCAATCTCTGGATCATCTTGGGCCTCTTCCTCAACCGCAGCAGTGGTGTCTTCGGCATTGAGCCGCGCTTGCGATGTCGTTTCGGTGGTGTGGAACTCGATGTCCTTGTTCAGGTGGACCGGGCCAAGTTCTTCGCTTGCTTGGGCCGCCTTGGCCGTCGCCTTGTTTCCAAGCTCAGGCGTTGTCATTGTTACCTTGTCTTTGGTCGTCGATTGTCTGACAATCTCAATCTCAACTCCATGACTTTATACAGACGATCCCAGATTGTCCGATAACGACATCTACAGCGTGCATGGTGAAATCTCCATGGCTACGCCCGTATTGGCAGGTTCCCGACAGTTGGAGCAACTCCATGGCCTGTGCCCTACCATCGCTTGATATGCCTCCACTAAAACCCACTTCCGTTCTAACAACTTTAAAAGACTTTGCAGAGTTCGCGTCCCAACGTATCTCGTGCCAGACTAGCAGCATTGCGACATGCACTCTATATTGCCCCGACGTGCGCAAGTCGACTTGCTGCTCAATTGGGCACATATAAAAGCCCGATTTGATCCGCACGTGAGCGAGAACTCGTGGAATGTACGCGTGTCGAGCAAGAAGAGACGCGGTTTTGACGAGACAGATGGTGGGTCCGATATTTGGCAAGCAAACGACAAATCAGATCCCCTCAGAGTCGCGACATGGCAATGCCGGCGTGAGAGGTACATGTTTCTCCGTAGAAATCCTCCATAGCTGGCTCTGTTCACAGCAACCACACCTGCACTCGTTCCCATGACCCTGGAGCTTATCTCTTTCCTCTCTGAGTTGATTGTGGCTCCACTTTGTTCCGTCCTGTTCCCCGCACATCTCCCGGTAGTTGCACCCTGCCGTCTTGTATCAGGTATGAAGTGCAACCTCTTCTTCTTCTTCGTCACTGCTTTCCACCAAAGCAGCTTCGCTAGGGAGGACATCAGGAAACCAGCCGTAGTCGGCCAGAGCTACGGTATACTGGCGCATGGCGTCCTCTCGAACTTCGACTCCTTCTCTTCTCAGAGCATCAGCTTGCTGACTTGCAGCGCCCGGTCCTCTTGATTCTTATCAGCACGAGGGGCAAGAAAGATACGAGGATGACGAGGATTCTCAAAACTGACCTCGGGCTGATGCCACCCTTCGCGTTGACCACGCGCTGCCATGGCACGTTGCCACTATGAAATGTGGAATCTTTCTTGTTACTGTCGGTTGAAGCCGAAGGCAAGTGTTTTAGGCAGACACCGACTTGTCTTGGACGCTCTGTCAGCTGCAATGATCATATTTTGTATGGCTGTGCACCTCTGTACCTTGGACACTCAGCTACATCGGAGAGGGACAAATCAGCAAGCAGTCGAGATCATGTATCAGGAGCACTCACGCTTTCCAACTAGTTTCGCGATGTGACCATAGCTAGTAATTCTACCGTAAGGTATCTCTTGAACTGCCTCGTATACGGCGGTATACCACAGCCAGACTTCCTCTGAGCGTTTTCCCGGCGCCATGTCAGGCACGGTAAGCTGGACAAAGGGGCGAGATTTGAACGTCAAGCACAACCGTAATAGATGTTGAACGTGCCAAAGTAACTTTACTTGTCAAAGACGCGTACAAGAAACGCCAAAGCACGTGAAGAAGCGCGTAACGCCAAGCTCCTAGCTTCGACGCCATCTTCATCGCGACTCTCCCAAGCACTCAACTCGGACCTTGCAACTCGCACGGCGGCCATGTCTCTCGCTGACTACTTGGCTAAGAACTACCTGACGGCCGACTCGGATAAGAAGTCGAAGAAGCGCAAGCGCAAGAACAAAGACGGTGGACTCACAATCGACGACGATGACGCTCTCGGTTGGCACAAGAATGACGATGAGGACGACGATGATGCGCCGATGGTCGGTATGATAGCAGCATCTCCCGTTCGCCTTCCCAACCTAGTGCTGATCTCATGTTGTACAGTCGGAGGCGGCACGCTGAAGAAGTCCAAGAAGAAGTCGAAAGGAACAAGCGCCGCATCGTGGACAGCCGTAGGCGTCGCCGCACCCTCACACGCACAACAACTCGCCGCCGACCAAGCTGCCGCCGACGCCATCATAGCCTCGACAGCTGCCGACCGCGAACAGGCCGCCGAGGCCGAGGACGAAGCACCCGCAATGGTCGATACGGATGGCGTGCTGAAGATGGAGTCCGGCGCGAGAGCAGGCCTGCAGACGGCTGCACAAGTAGCAGCAGCCATGAAGAAAAAGCAAGACGAAGAGAAGCGGAAAGCAGACGAAGTCACAAAGGAGATGGGCAGCGCCGCCCAGGAGACAATATACCGAGATGCGAGTGGTCGCATAATCAACGTTGCCATGAAGCGCGCAGAAGCGCGTAAGAAGGCCGAGGATGAGGAGCGCAAGAAGCTCGAGAAGGAAAGGGCGGCTCGCGGCGACGTGCAGAACGCGGAAGCCGCAAAGAGGAAGCAGCAGCTACAGGACGCGAAGACGATGACTGTTGCTCGCTATGCGGATGACGCCGACTTGAACGACGAGCTGAAGGAGCGGGGCCATTGGAACGATCCGGCTGCTGGCTTTCTGCGCAAGAAGAAGGCTGGACGAAGCGTGACGGGCAAGCCACTGTATCAAGGTGCTTTCCAGCCAAATCGCTACGGCATCCGTCCTGGACATCGCTGGGATGGAGTCGATCGCGGCACTGGCTTCGAGACACAGTGGTTCGCGGCACGGAACCGGAAGGCAAACATTGAGAAGCTGGAGTATGCCTGGCAGATGGACGAGTGAAGCCACAGCACCAATCAGGCCAACAAAGTCTATGAGTGTATTTCGTTCCAAAAAGGTTGCATAGCGCGGTGTTCAGGATAGGAGAATGAAACACAGGTATTCACCGTAGTCAACATCTACACCTGGGTTGCTTGACAGAATGCTTCGGAGATACAATCACCAAAAAATCCATATCATGACCTACTCGGAAGTCGCGACCCTACGCACGAGGATGTCCAGGGAAGAAAAAGATCTGGCAAAAACATACAACAGCGGGAATTCACTTCTGGTCACCCACGAAATTACTAATCCGCCGGTACGTTGCTTAAATAGGGCTGAGCGAACGGGAAGCCTTGTTTTCAACGTCCTATGGTCGTATGTGGAAAATATGAGTAGGAGTAGATAATATATCCCGATTGATTAGCAGTTAGTCCCGATCTGCCTACATAGAGAAACTTAACCTCTAGTCGGTCCTACACCATCCGACACTCCAATCTCTCCCATCTACCATGCTTCTCTGTCACGACTCCTACAGCGATATTTACGCTTTGTCCACCTATAACAGACGCACAAGTGCAAACGTCTTGCAGAAAGGTTGCCTGCTACAGAGGGCAATGATCTAATGAATCATGAACCTATTGTATATAACTGGATTCTAAAGTACATACCGCATTTCCTCAATTGCTTATACTATACATTCAAGTTCTCTATACTCATGTACTCGGTCGAACCAACAATCCGATCAGTAATCGTTTATGACCCTGATCCCACCCTCGCGTTCACATATCGGGAACATCACAACATCAAACAATGTGTCGAAAGCGTGTTATACAGTAAACCTCAGTGTTTCAAAAATCGTCTCTTTGCTCATATGTATCAATCTACCGTGTGAACAATGCGATTCCCCCTTCTTTCCCCTCGCTTCCACCCACCTGCACTCCTAACCCGGCCTTTCCATAAAACCCGCGATTCTTCTCTCCACAAAGCACGCTTGCACATACTCCATCTCCCTCTTCTTTCGCCTTTTGTACTCCCCATTGTGCCAGAAGCTTCCCCGCGCCTTTGGCCTGGAAGTCCGGATGCACGCCACAGACATGGAGATCCCAGCACTCGGCACGGTTGCCTGTCCAGTACTTCTCTGACTCTTTGACAGCGGTATCAAGAAATGAAGAGCGGGAGGGATTGGCGGCACGATTAGGAAAGAGACGGAGAGACAAGTTGTGGTACATGCGTAATAAGGGGGATATGAGGTTTCCTACAGTAGCGTTAGACAACGATCAACGTGGACTGCACATAAGTGTAGAGAGCTTGTAGACTCGTTCCTTTTCCTCATCGCCATCTCTTGTCTAGACCAAGATTGACTTACGTGGATCCACTCGCCAGAGTTCTCTTGCCCTTCCTCCAAACCCAAGCCTTCGCCAATCCGCAGCACCGACCATAATTTCTCTACCATTGCCGTCGTCTGTTGTAACGACGATAAATTGATGTCTCCAATTCCAGAATCGTTCGCGAATCCCACGAAGTAAGAACCAGTACACGTCTTTAGGATGCTGTTGGCGGTGCGGATGCATTATATCGCCGATTATCTCGTCATCGAAAAACCCTGAACACCATACGCGAGCTATGGAGGAGAGGTCAAAGAGACCCGCCCTGCGGAGGCGAAATTGAGTAATAGGAGCATCTGGAAATGATGGAGTTGTCGCTGGTTCTTGACTCATATCTGCCTAGTCGGCTTACCAAAGTCAAAGTTGTGTTGAGCCTGTATACCTATTGTGTTGATGCTATCTCAATCATGTACCTAGATTGTTTTTGTTTTCTAGGAACCGATAGAGAGCTTGTCGCACCCATCATATACAACCTTGTCTTCACTTCGACCGACGACGCTAAGGCTCAAGGACATAGGCCCGAAGCGGCTCGGTCATAAACCCTGATGGGGGACTTGTGATTGCTCCTACAGTCATTGTTCGCTGGACCCACTTCCCGAGTGCCTCCCGACCGTATAGACCCTAGTCTGCCGATGAACCTTGCAGAAGGATGTGAAAGACTTCGGCTGGACTGCAGAAGGATCTAGTGAAACCACTAGCTGTACATATGCGGCGTGGTAGCCAACAAGAACATTGATAGAGGGTTGTTATTTGCACGCAAAGCAGCCATTAACTCGTTGCGCCGAATTTTAGCCAATAAGAAGTTCAAGCAATTGTATTTTCTGTACGATTGTGGGGCAATAATGTTCCTCGTTCAAGGACAGTAAGATGTTGTTTATCCGAACCTGGAGGCTTACTCGGAACGCAAGCTCTTCCCAGGATCCTCCATTGCAGGCATTCCGGAACGCAGCTGCGAACACACCGATCATGTGTTTAATCATGTACGCTCAATTGTCCAGGCAGTCTCTTTCCAAATGATCAGGTCCTGGCTTTCTCCACTTCCAAGCGAACCTCTTCTACACTCTTCCGCTACTGTAGAAGCCCGGATCTCGAAACTCGGATTAATCTGAGGTGATAGGGTAACTCTACTTCCTGTCACAACTTGCTTTGGTTTGCTAGCGTTTATATTCTCGAGTTCAAACGTCCCACTGCCGTGTATCCTTGTGGCATAGCTCCAGTCACGCTCACCCCAATTCGCAGACAACGATTGCAGAAATGCCTTGAGGTTCGGTATTGTGGCAGAAACTAGCGATACCACCAGTAGCGCTTGTTGCCAGATCAGGCTCTGAACAACGAGAATAGAAGAGGGTAAACCGAGCGTATAGTCGATCCAGGCGTGGAGATGAAAAGCGGAGAGAACAATGACACTGTACTTCGTCAGAATTGTACCAATTCCAGAGAAGACACGAAAAACAAACATAAGCCTGAACGAAAAGGCCACGATGACGCGGAGCTTATCTTGAACTCTCATCTGTAGTTGCCATACCATGTACGGGGGAAGGCATAGTGTCAGAACTTCAGTTCCAATATCCAATGATGTAATGACGCTCCAACGTGTAATCTTGAACATGGTCAGCCAATTATCCTCTCTTGAAGGTTACCTTCACACACTTGGCCACGGCAATGTTCCGCGAAAAAACTGGACGAAGGGCATCCCACAGCACTAAATAGGATAGAAACAGAACCACTGATGATAGTGAACCCAAGACTCAAATTGGAGACAATGACGATGTACTTTTGACTTCTGCCAAAAAGTCTACGTAGGAGATATAGGATTGAAATCTTCGCGAGATACGAGGAGGCTAGAGAAAAGATTCGGCTCGAAAATACAAGCTACAAACTCTTAGCTGACGACTTGTGTTGAATACAAAGCAACTTACCTTGCTCACCAATGTTGCATTTGGTAATTGAAGAACAGATTCACCAAGTCCCCTATGCAACGCGCTGTAGATCAGGATGAACTGACTGACGGCAATGGTCTAAAGGTCAGTAGTTGTATTGTGTTACGATGTATTGAACTTACAGTGCTTGCGACGATCAGGCAGTCATCCCAGCCAAAGACGTGCCATTTGATGAATACTCTAATCATGAGCATACCGACTACGTAAATAAGTCCTAAAAGCGCAGCAATCCAGAGTGGTGCGCTATGATCATGAGAAGAATAGTTGGCAAACCGATTGCCCGCCGAGGTATCCCAGGGCAAGTAGCTAGGCGTAGCTGATGTCGCATCCATAGAGGCAGGATGATGCAAAGCAATTTGGCCACTAACTTCCAATAGCTCGATGTCTAGAACTTTTGCTCTTTTACACGTCGCTCCAACTTGATAGAATATTGGGCGACCAGATTTTTCTAGCAATAGAGGATTCACCGAGTATTAACATTGAGCATTGTGATTTGCTTGGAAGAAGGCCCAAACAAAGTCATGCAATTGACTTCACACCATATCTTTACTTGATTGACAAGGTAAAAGTTTGGACATGATCCCAGCAGGTGGAACTGTTTCAAGTATTCCTTACCCAGGTCTGCCAACATGCCAGAATCAGGAGATGACCTGGATGGTTGCTGGTCCCGTCCACTAACGAGCCATCTATATGTGCGTTGGTGGCGCAGCAACCTAGATCAGTTAAAGCCCCGAACTCATGGCTTTTGGGTCCAGAAGTGCGCGTCTCGGCTTGATGTGAAGTTGAAAGTTTATCGAGCGGAGATTCCAGTAACGGAGTTTGTACCCAGAGATGTAGTGTGTTTTACTGTTTAACGCAGACTTTGAGGCGGGATTCTATATATGAAAACACGATTGTATGAACATCTTCAATGTAGACACATGGTCCGTCCGTTATAAAAGGCAAATATGCCTGTTCATTTGGCTGTGATAGAAGAGCGACGGTCCCCATAATGCACAAATCAGGCGATGTAAGCAGGGGTAACCAAGCCCGAGCTTTCCTGCGGAGTAATTATTCTCGCTAGTTCACATTGCTCGAATCTTACCTCGTTCGATTTGGCACTGATCGGAAGGATTCGCTATGCTTGTTTATCCGGTGGCACAGTCAATAGGATTTCGATGTAGGAACGATGTCCGAAGAACCATCCAATGCCTCCTTTCTTAGGTAAATTAAATGTCTGATAATTTTTCTACTCAGGATTCGATCCTGCGCAAGGTATAATTGTAATACTTTACATGAGCAAAATCGTGTTGAGAAGTAATGCATGAAGCACGAGGGCGCGTGATAAAACTCTACATTATCGACGCCAGGAGCCATCTCACGACTTGCAACCCCTCATAACGGTCAACAAAGTGGATTCATTGGCGAGATGAATGAAGATAAAATACAGTGAAACATGTCAGCGCGATAAACGCGCACTAACAGTGGCAAAGGTATGGTTCTGTATCACACACTAAGATACATGGGTCCAATCCGCTGGCATGCAAGACGCATGTGCCGGCATGGATCCGCTTCACCATATCAAAGCCTGCTGGGAGCTGTTCACCAATGGCCTATAAGGCTTACGTCCTACCTTGAGACTCTGAAGTGCTCATCTCCACTTCCCCGGCCTCCAACATCCTCTGTCACAATGGAAGATATCAAAGCAGCAGAACCACACATTCAAGGCGAGCCCTTCTACTCTGAAGATGGCAAGTCAAATGCTCTCATCTCTGAAAATGAAGGTACGACTGCCGATAAACACGACATGCTTCGCATGGGCAAGAGACAGGAAACCCACCGAAATTTTCGACACATCACGATCCTCGGATTCTGTATGGTGATACTATCGACCTGGGAAGCAATTTTGTCTACGGCGGTGTTTGCGTTAGGCAATGGAGGGACCGCAGGTCTCATCTGGGGGTATCTGATTGTCATGATCGGTTTCGGATTTGTTGTTGCATCACTAGCTGAGATGGCGTCAATGTTGGTTTATGCAATTCACAAAGCAGTCTTGGTCTAATGCATTTTAGGGCTCCCACTTCTGGCGGGCAATATCATTGGGTTAGTGAATTTGCGCCTCCTAGCTGCCAGAGATTCCTGAGTTACCTGGTTGGCTGGCTTGGAGTTTTAGGCTGGCAAACAGCAGCCGCGACTGTCTTATACTTGGCTGGCAAACAAATTCAGGCTCTAATTGTATTGCACAACCTGTCCTATACTCCCAAAGCATGGCAAGGTACGCTGCTGATTTGGTCCGTGCTTTTGATCTGTTTGGCCTTTAACACCTTCTTTTCCAACAAACTTCCGTTGGTAGAAGGAGTTATTATTATCCTTTATCTGGTAGGATTTTTTGCGGTCATTATCCCTCTGTGGGTTATAGGCGATAGAAGTACTTCTAGCGACGTCTTTACACTCTTCCAGGATAACTCCGAGTAGAGATCTAAAACTCTTTCTACTATAGTGGGCCTAACTAGAGCAGCGAGCTGTTTTGTAGGCATTAAAGCTGGCGCATACATAGCTAAAGAAGTACGCAACGCTGCTTATGTCATGCTAATATATAGGCCAGCAAAGCAAAGTCTATATGTATATATTAGCAGAAAAACAGGGTAGAAAGCATATATAGATTAGTAATTACTAGTAAAAATTATCTATACATATTTTGCACTAAGAAATTAAGATTTTACAGACTAAAAAAAACCCTAAAATAACCTTAAAATCTAAATCTAGGACGTATAAACTACAGTAATAACTGTAAAACTGCCTATTTATACCTATAAACTATATCTCTGCAAAATTATCCTTAAGAGAATTAAGCACCTTCTTAGTAGTGTGTAGGTACTTATAGACCTTATAGATCTTTCTCTATATACCTAAATAATTAACTATAGGCTTTACAACCTTTACAGACTTCTTTATAGAGGCCTTAACCTCCTTAATACTATTATCTTTAGCTACTAATAGTTCTTTATAGGCCTACTTACTACTAGATTTCTTCTTAGGCGTCTTCTTCTTAATAGGCAGAGAAATATAATCCTCTATAAAACAGTTAGTAAACAGCTGTATTAAAGGGAAAATACCTATAAAATAAACCTTAGAATAAGCAGCACTTACCCTTAGACCTATAATAGTAGGTAGTATACTTGTTTTTATACACTCTATTAATTAAAATACAGCTGTTAAACAGCCTATAATAGCTTTTATACTTCTTATAGGACTTAGCTGCTATCTTTCTAACTATCTAAAGCAAGGTAGCTTTAATATTTACAGCCTATTCTAGAAGATAAGATAGTTAGTAAATAGTTATAAAGAAAGAAAAATTAAGTATAAACTTACTATTAAGAGTAATAATACAACTAGTATAGACTATAATTTCCTATTTTATAGGTATATTATAAAGTATGCTAATCTACTTAGATATTAATTTAGACTATATTACCTATTCTTTAAGCAATATAGAGGCCTTGTTATTATCTATAATATTATTTTTAGGCAAATTGCAGCTGTTTTTAGGCATATTACAGATATTTTTAGGCATATTACAGCTGTTTTTAGGCATATCCTAGTTAATATTATCTAAATTACAAACTGTATTACGCTTCTTACGCTCTTTTAGAGCAGGTTTATAAGTAGAATTAACAGAATTACAGGTAGACTTAATAGAGTTGTAGACTAGTAGAGTAGATTTACAGTTTAATACAGCAGGTTTAAAAGGCAGAACAGAAGGTTTATAAGTTAAAACTATAGATTTACTAGTTAAAACTAGAGGTTTACTAGTTAAAACTACAGGTTTATAGGTTAAAACTTTAGGTTTATAAGTTAAAACTTTAGGCAATTTAGTAGTCTTACAGACAGAATTAGTAGTATTATAGGTAGAATTAATAGTCTTATAGGCGTGTTTAAGGCGCTTATAGTTCTCCCTAAATATATTATAGTTAGTATTAGGTATATTACAGTTATCTACAGATAGATTAGGAAAGAAATTAAGACAACTTAGTTTATTAAATAGACTAGTTACAGAGCTACTACAGTGTTATATAGAACTATTAGGCTTAGTCTATAGATAGATTATAGACGTATCTAGTTTACTATAGGTACTATTATTAGATATAGTAGCTGTAAAGGGTTAGAAACAGCTAGTAACGTAAGATAAAACTTATAGTAATAGGTTATAAACTTATAGTTAGAGTAGTACTAGTAATAGTACTAGCTATAAATAGATTAGTAAGTATTTATAAAATACCTGCAAAACTTAGCAACTTACTAGGGTAGTAGAGTAGTAGGGAGAGAGAGAGAGGAGAAGTTAGAGAAGAAGTAACAGAGTAATTAGGTAGAAGGCAGCTCTTATATAGATATCTACCTAGCTATAGAAGGCGCTAGAACTAGCAGTAAAGGTAAGATAAGTAAGTAAAGGTAAAGGTAAGTAAGTTAAAGTAAATTACAATTACGCAAACTAAGTAGTAAATATAGTAAGTTATAAACAGCTAGAAAATATGTATTTAGATAAAATCTATGCTAGTAAGACCTCTAGATATATAATATTTATAACTAAGCAAGTCTCTCTTATAACTATAGATACAGGAAGTAATAAGATAGAAAGGCCTATAATAGTAGTTATGCGTAATAAAGTAATGTAAAGCTAACTATACGTAAAGACTATATAGTAGAGGTTAATACCTATAATAGACAGTAATTAACTCTAAGACTTATTAACAGTAATTATAAAAGAAAGATAGACTAGAAACTAGACCTATATAATAATAAACAGCAGCTTACTGTCTATAGATATAAGCTTAATATATAATATTAACTAAAGCTAACCTATAAATTTACCTAAGAGAATACGCGCCTTAATAACCTAAGCATTAATATATATAATAGTTAAGTAAGTACTATTATATAGACCCTACTTAAGATATAAGTTCTATAAAAGTATAACTAGGACACTAACCTTTAGCAATAGGTATAAAGGCAGTAGACTTAGAGGCTTAAAAGACTATAAAACTTCTATAAAAGGTATATCCTATATAGTATTATCTTCTACAGCTATAGAATCTATTATAATTAGCTTAACAGGGTTACTAGGAAAGGCTATAAGTATTAAACTATTAATAGTAGCTATGTTATTATTCTATACAGCTAAAACAGCCTAACTACTTAAAGCCTAATAGTTAGTAATAGTAGCTGTAACTATCTATAGAGAGTATATATAAGATAGGAACTTATCTAAACTATAAAATACTCTTATCTAAGTAGGTAACAGGACTAGACTATTAGTTTACAGAGTAGCTAATATATAAGTCTAGTCTATAAAACAAGTATTTTTAAGCCTAGAGAGCACCTATATATTCTAATAAAGGTATAAAATAGTTAAATACAGCTATATAATAGTTAATTATTAGAGACACGCATTAATAATAGTAGGCTACTAACCCTAGTAAATAACTAGAAGAATCTACGTAAAATTACTACTAGTAATAACAGAAAGGCTACTAAATAGATTAGTTAAGTTATAGATATTCTAAAGTATATAGTAGACTACTTTAAAGTAGTAATAGTACTATATAGGCACTTTATTCTATATAATAAGCACTGCTTACCTTAGTAACTACTCTAAATTAGAGGCTAGCAGAACTAGACAGATAGAGTTATTATAGATATCTAGAGGAATCTAGAAATAGAAGTATACAGTCTGTCTACCTAGCAGTAACATAGCTATAATACTAGATAAAGCTACGCAAAGAACTACGCAGCTCTATAAACAGTAGTAAGTACAGATATAGTACTAGAAATACGTCTTACTAGTACCTATAGGACCTTATATAAAGAAATATACAGTTTACAAAGCTATAGTAATAGCTATAGTAACTATATTAAAGACTATAAGCTAATTAGTATTAAAACCTATATACATATTCTAAAAAGTAGTATCTTCTACGTCTATATTATAGGCAAGCTTAATAGTAATTAACTAATTTCTAACCTATATTTCCTAGTTATACTTATAAGTTAGTAGAAAGAAGTCTAAAAGACGCTTACTAGACTTAGTAAAGAGAGTATTAATTAGGTATAGGCTATAATTAAGGTGTATATTAACTGTAGAAGATATAAGCAGAGCTACTATAGGTACCTATAGGTTATTACAGAGATTATTACAGAAAGTAGTCTAAATAGCAAGCAGGTCTGTAATAGAGCTATTTAAAAGTATAGAAATAAAAAAGAACTATAAAGTACTACCTATAGTAAAAAGAGCAGCCTTATAGAAGTAAGTAATTTAGTTACTATTATCTAGTAAAAGCCTATAGGTAACAGCTGCAGCCTAAAATATTAAATACTTAATACTATTAATAGTTTATAGGTCCTTAAAGCTTATTAGACTCTGTATAACTATTAGGAGTAGCTATATATAATAGCGTTTGCCTTATAATAGACTATAGAAATATATACAGCTAATTACAACTCTATACTTACGTAAAGTCTATATCTTATAGGGCAGGTTCTATACAAAGAAACCTAGATAATCTTAATATAGCAGGTAACAGCCTACAGGAGAATCTGTATTATACTAAAAGAAAGTAGTTAAAGTAGTTATAGATTATTTAAGGCACAAAGCAAGATCTATAGGCGTTACGTTAGCTAGAAACGTAATAGTTTACTAGTTAGGCAGATAAACTACAAGAGCTATAACAGAAGGAAATTCCTTATATACTAGAAACTTAAAAAGCCGCTAAGTAGCTTTAGATAGACTAATATACTGCCTATTTAAGTGCTATTGTACCTTATTATTATTAGAAACATTTAATACAGCCTAATTAGTACCCTTATAGATATACTTATAAATATACTTAATAGCGTATATTATCCTATAAACCTTAATATTAATATAAGCCTAGTATTTGCAGAGGAACTACAGGTAATACAGGACTACCTACTAGTTATCTAGATATATAGTACAGCTGCAGCACTTTACTAGCAAGGTTTAACTATTATTATAGCACTAATATTTAGAGTAACTATCCTTATAGACAATTATAGTAGAATAGTAACACTTTAGAAAATTCTTTAAACACTACAGTTATAGGCTACTAGGCTGTATAACTATACAGAGCGTATAAATATTAAACTTACTACAAGGTCTATAAAGTATAAAACAGTAAATAGCAGCTATAAGTACTCTATCTAGATTATCCTTAGCAAGGAGTATCTCTATATAAATAGCTGTATTAATAGTATCTAAATCTGTAAACGCCTTACAGTTAGAAGGGAGTAAAAAGAGTAAAAGGTAAATATAAGGTAAACCCTATTTCTAGTACTTAATAGTATATATATAACCTAAGTGCGTACTAAAATAACTATTTTTTATATCTCTAAGCAACTCTTATACCTTTAGATAAAAGGTATAGTAAACTAGATTAGGCTAGTTTAAACCTATCTCTTTGTTATAGAGCTTACAGTTAACCTTAGGCTAATAAGGACTTGCAGTAAAGGTAATAAATAAGGTTAGATAGCTATAACAATAGATAATTACTATTAAATCCTAGTAATACTAACTTATAAAGTGTAAACTATCTAGATATAATAAAGGTAGAATAATACAGTACTTAATAGAGATGTTAGAGCTATTATCTTATATAACAGTATTTATAATACTACTATATAGGTTAGTACAAAGAGTTAACTAGTTATAGTAAACCTAGGCTAAACAGGCCTAGTTATATATTGCCTAGATATTAACTAGAAACTACTAAAATAGCTAATAGTAAAGAAAAGGCTATAAAGTATATCTAGAATAGGTATATAAATAGTACTAAAAGTAAATCTACTGTGTAAGTAAATCTTACGTATAAGACCTATCTATATTATAGAGCTTTATACCTAGTTCCTATCTGCAATTACTATACAGAAATATTAAGACGTAGTGTAACAGTATATAAAATAGATAAGCTATATTAATATAATACAGCGTACCTAAGTTATAGGCTATAAGGATAATAGAGTAGACTATTTTAGCTGCTATAGCGTTTAGAAGGATTAAGCTAATCTTGTTACTAGTAGGTATATTCTTATAGTAGCAGTCTGCACCTATTTTTATAGCTAAGGTAAGACTACTAGTTAGAATAATATAGGTATCTATACCTACTTACTAGAGCCTCTTACAAGCTATATTATATATATTAATATATAGGTTATTAATCTTATAAAGCATAGCTGTTAACTGCTGCAAGATATATAATTATAAATAGGAATTATATTAGTAGCGTATTATAGTAGTATACTGTAGATTATAGAAATATAGCTAGGTATACTAGAGTAATATTCTATTAAGTTTCTATAATAGGCTGCTCTAGTAGTAAAGAGCCCTGTAGATCTAAAATACCTAGATACCTAGGCTGCTAGCTTTGCAATTAGTCTATATATAGTTAAGTAACGTAAACGTAAATACTATATTATATATATAAAGCTCTTTACAGAAGTAGTAGGCCTTAGGAGTAGTAGAATATAGCAGCTAATAGAGGTAGGATAGTAGTAAGGTAAATTCTAGAAGCTATACTTAGCTGTTAATATAATAAAGCATAAATTCTAGCTAGCTACTAGAAGAAGAAGGTTTATATTTAGTAAGCTAGTAAAAAGTACTATAATAGGTATAAGTAGACTATAAAGAACTAAGATTATAGTAGTCTTAGTTTAGTAGGTTAGAGAAAGGGGGAACTACTAGCTGCTTAAGAGTAGTAAATATAGTTATAGAAAGGTTATAGAGAAAATCTTTACTATAAATAGACTCTATAGGACTACTAAGACATAATAGAATAGGTTTATAGGTAGAAGTAGGCTAAGAGGATAGATTATAGGCTAATATAGGCTAAGGCAACGCTGTTTAGGCCTATTACAGAGGCAGTCCTTCTATAGTAGTAAGGGAAGGAGGGCGTAACTAGCAGCTACGCCCTATACGCAGGTTCTATATATATATTAATAATAGGTAAATACAGAATAGGAGAGTTTTACTTAGGTATACTCTGTATATAGCTAATATAGGGCCCTAAGGTAATTAGTATAGAAAGCTATAATTCCTTTATAGACTTTACAGCTATTACAGAAGATTATAGATAACTCCTAGCTAACTATAAGAAAGAAATTAGGCTGTATTATTATAGAAAGAGAACGCCTTAGGTAAACTATAATAAACCTATAGATCTTGTTTATAGGTATTATTATCTAAGATTTAATTAAGAAAAGGAGAAAATATACTTAGAGTAGTAAAACTATTAGCTATAGAGTAGTACAGACAAGTAAAACACTGCTACGCAGGTAGTATAGACAGAAAACAATAACTTTATACAGTAACAGCAAGGGCTACAGACGTCCTATAGACAAGAAAACTAGATAGGCAAGTAGGGGCAAGTTTTACGGTAATCCTAGCACCAGTTTTAGGCCTTGCAGGCCGCTGACGCAGGAGTTAAATATTGTCTGATTATATATTAGATTCCTCGCGCCATAATGTGGACTTGGCTTGGCAACGGCTTGCTCAGATGGATTATGGCCATCACCTTCTGCTTCTGCGTTGGCGACACCATGTCTATCCTCATGACGCCCTTGGGATCACCCCATATCCAAGTATTTGTCAACACGACTGGATCGATAGCAGGCGCTACGGCGTTAACAGTTCTGATGCTTGTAATCGCCATATTTGCATGTGTTGCAGTTATGGCAACTAACTCTCGTCAATTGTTTGCCTTCGCTCGCGACAATGGCGTGCCTTTCTCGAAAACATTTAGTTAAGTGGGTACACTACCATCTCAAATGCCAGCTGCTAACAATATACCAGGTCTCCCCTACGTTAGGTGTTCCACTCAATTCTGTTTACATAACAATTGTGTTTGTTCTTCTACTCTCCTTAATTAATCTTGGCTCCGAAGTGGCGTTCATGCAGGTCGTGTCCCTGGGTGTCGCTGCCATGGTGACGTCCTATCTCATCTCAATCTGTTGCGTCGCATTAAAGAGAATTCGTGGGGAACCCCTCTTGGCATCGCAATTCAATTTAGGAAGATGGGGGCTTCCTATCAACATCATCGCGATCGTGTTCTTACTCTTCATTTGGTTGTTCTGCTTCTTTCCTTCGGCCTCACATCCAACAGTAGCGGATATGAACTGGGCGTCGCTGGGTTACGGGATAGTGATTATCTTTGCCGTAGTGTATTTTGTATTCCGAGGTAGGCACGTGTATGTAGGACCAGTGGAGTACACACGCAGAGGATAGACTAATTATAGCAATTAGCAAGGCAGTGTACAAGATGTAATTTCTTGGCAGTAACTAGTATATTAAAAATACAAAGATCTATAATTACTATAACAAGGTATTATAATTCTTATAGCTAGATTAAACAGAAAGGATAGCTAGAGAAACTATGTTTTTCTTATAAGATACTTTGTTTTTACTCTATAACATATTAGGATTGAGAATATAAGTAGGTATTATATTATAATTAATCCTTATAACTTCGTTTTTAAGCTATTGCGGAAAGTATATAATTGCTTAAATAATAAAGATTAAAATAATATTTTACTAAAATACTTTAGCTATCTGTTTATTTTGTTATTTTATAGTTTTTATTACTTATACTTACTCTTGTTATATTAATTAAACTTAATTTTAAGTTTCTTTTAGTTTACTTTAAATTAATATCTGTAGTAAAGTTACTAAAATACGTTGTAGTAATACTACTAGAAGGATATATAGGTTCTTGATTTACTAATCTAGGTTAAATCTATTTATATTATAGTAATAATACTTAGAATAAATATATACTAACTTAATAAAGCTTTTCTTTAAAATAAAAGTACAATAGTTTAATATTATAGTAATAGAAAAGTAGGTTAGAAAAGCTATAGTCTTAAAGTATCTTTTTAGGCTATTAACCTATATAAGTCTAATATAAATATTTCTTTAAAAGCCTTATTTTAAAACCTTTTATAAGCTAAAGATATTACCTAGTAACTATATTAAAGAAAAAGAAATAGTTTATAGTTATACTATATAAATATCTTTATTACCTTTTACTCTTATATTTAGTCTCTAAAGCTATTAATATAGATATTTATTATACTACAATTTTCTTATTAATTAAATAGTTTTATAAATTTAATTAAAATACTAATTAGTATAGAGTAAAACTGTCTAAGATTTAGAAATAGAATTTTTATATTAGTTTTCTACTACTAATATTAGAGTAGAATCTAGTTATAAATTAAATAATAATTAAGAGTATATAAATAAACTTAACTTTAACTAACACTTGCCTAATATCTAGATTTACTAGTCTACAGTAGTATTAACGCAGAACTTAACTAAAGAATAGTAAATCTAGTTTTAAATACTATTATAATATACTTTTTATTTCTATCTACTATGTATTAATAAGCTACGTATTAGCTTCTTTACTAAGTTACGATACTGTAGTCTTACTATATTACGTATATCTACTAATATAATAAGTATAATTATACTAATAACTTAGAATAATATCCTATAACAATATTAGTTCTTTTTATTACGACTAATTCCTTTACTATATCTATATTTCTCTATTACGTAGCTTATTATTTAAGTAAGGTATACTAGTTAGTATTCTTTTTTTAATTTTATATATTCTTAATAATGCTAGCTATAAGTACTATCTTAACTAGGCTATTCTACTAAAAGGTCTAGTATTCCTTTAAAGAATTACTAGAGATTAATTAGTAGAAATTACCTAATAAATAATACTTTATATATTAAAATCCTTCTAATTTTAGCTTTTATACTAGGGTATAAAATTAACCTTTTACTGTCTTACGTTTTATTATCTTTATTATAGTTTTTAATATATAAGAAAGTTTTAAAAAAACAGTAAGTTTAATATTAATATTAGAATAACTCTAAGCTATTACTAGTCTACTTTAGATAAAGATTACTTTACAGAAAGCTTAATAGACTAATAAGTAAGTAGAAAAGATAGACTATAAGATTCTAGATTTATTTATAATTATAAAATATTACTATATAGTTAGTAAAACTTACTTTCTAGTAAAGGTAAGGATTAATTTTTTAAAAGATACAGCTAACTAAATATAGCACTAGTATAGTTATTCTATAGAGTAAGTTAATATAGAAATAATAATTTATTAAGTTTATTTTATTTACTCTTGCTATAAACTATATTTAAAGAAAAGAATATAATTATTAATTAAGTTAAAAGATAATAACTAGTTTTATAATACTAAGATAACTAAAGAAGCTACCTTATTACTACTAAAGATAGAAGCTAAGGAAACTTAAACTAATTAGCTTTAGGAGGTTTAATTTCTATTATCTCTTTCTCTTTATTTAAAATATCTAATCGTTAATACTAGAACAAGAAGTAGGGTAGTATTATCTACTAAAGGTCCTTAATAATAGGTATTCTACTTAAAATATATTTACTTATTAGTATACTACTAGTACCCTCTTTAAATCTTAGACTAATAAACTTACTAGATATAGATTTAAATATTTAAAACTAAAAGAATAATAGTCTTTATTAAGTAACTTAGAGAATATATTTTATGTTTAGTACACTAAGAAAGACTAATATAATAATTTTTTTACTTGTTTTAGTAAAACTAAAAGAAGAGAAAAAGGCAAAGCTTTTACTTAGATACCTAATTATTAAAAAAATCTAAAGAAGACTATATTATAGCTAATTCTAGAAAAGTTAAATAGACTATAATACTAATTAACTATTTATAGCTTTCTTATAATAAAACTCTATTTTAACTTTTAGAAAAAAAGGTTTAAATTATTACACGTCGAATTTCTAGTAGCTTATTAATATAACTATAACTATATAATTCAAAAAATATATCTTAAAAGTTTATATTTATAATAGCTAGTTAATAAAGATTTACTACTAAAAGTCTAGAGGTAATTAGAGCTTAATTATTAAAGCCTTTTTTTTCTTATAATTTATAATATATATAAACAGTAATTTAAAGTAGAATATATTAATCTTGTATTATATAACGTAAGAGCTACTAAGTCTTTTTAAGTTCTGCTATTCTTTATCTTTATATCTACTTAGCTATGTAAGATATCTAGCTTTTTAAAGAAAGAATTATTTCTTAGCTTTTTATTTTCTTTGTTAACTTAAGATAGATACTTGTACTAAACTTTCTTATAGTAGATTAATATAAGTTAACTTAATTACTAGTATTAATTTCTAATCTAGTTACTTTGTCTTATAAGCTAGTTATTTATATTTAAATTACTACTAATATCTTTAGACCTAGCCTTTTAATTAAATATAGTATAGTGTACTCTTTATTACTTAAAATGCTTTAATTATAACTACTATCTTATTAAGAAGTTATTTTAGTTCTGTACTTTTATAGCCTTAAATATTTTATAGGTTATAAGTTTAATAAAGATTTAATTAAGATAAGAGTAGATTATATTAGTATTTATTCTAAATTTCTGTCTTTTTAATATAAATTTTACTAAGCCAATCTTTTATTTATACTAATCTCTTATGTTTAGAGCTAATTTATATTTCTATAATAAAGAAATAAACGTAACAAAGTAATACTTATAATAGAAACTTAATATAGAGTATATATTAGGCCTTTTTATATATAGTATATATAAGATAATAATTATTCTAATATAGTATAAGAATACTTAATTATACGTAATTTTAAATCTAACGTTATTAAATTTATATAGTTTTAAATTATATAAGCTCTAAAATTAAGATAACTATCTTTAGAAATAGAAAATTAATATCTAATAACTTACTTACAAGATAAAAAGAGCTTATTAAAAACCTAATATAATAATAAAGTTACTAAAAAGCGCTAAAGTAGAGATAAGTATTAGAATTAAGAATAGATATTTTATTTAACTTAAAAAACTACTTAAGTCTAGGTTTCTATTAAATAGGTAAAGGTGTAAAGTAAGTATAGTTTAGATTTAAGTCTTTTACTTAAGAAATCTATTTTAGAAAAGTAATAAAAAATTCGTAAAAAGGAAGATTATATAGTATATATCCTGTTATTTCTTAGAAGTAGTCTATTTAGCTTTAATTACTATCTTTTCTTTCTATATCTATTTTGTTTTAATATCTTTTTTATTAACAGCTAGTAATCTTAAAATCTACTAATTTGTGTCTTAGAATTAAATTTAGAGTTAAGCTAATTAAATTTTATTAGAGCGTTATTTCTTAAAATATAAATAATTAATCCTAAGTACTAGAACTTAGGTTTACTGCCTAGAATAGTAAAGATAAATTTTAAAAAGATTTAGTAGAATTAGTTTAAAAGAAAATTAGGCTTTTTTAAAGTAGCTTTTATTACTCTTTAAGTACTATATAGTATTATTATTCTTGGAGGACGGGGATTAATATATTACATTACTATTATATTTTAGTTACGTACGCGTTTTAATTACTTATTAGTTCTTATTATATTTTAACCTAGTTATAACTATCTACTTTCTATTACTATTGCTGTTACTATTGCCCTTACTACTACCTCTAGCTTTATTTTTATTCTATCTTAATCTTATAGTTCTATAGTAAGGTTTTATACCTTTTAAACTACTTTAAAAGTTTCTTTTCTTAGGTAGGATACTTAGGGTCTAGAAAGCTTACTTAAAATACCTTTTATCTTTAGTTAAAATAGTCTTATTATACTACTTAATAGTAAAGCTATTAAGTTAGAAAAGCTAAGTATTAAAAAAAAGCCTTATTAGCTTTATATACTTTAATAAAAAAGAGCTAAACTTTAACTTTATAAAGCTATACTTTAAGTTTTTTAGTAAGCTTATTATACTATAAAATATTTTTATTTTTTAAGTAAAAAGTTTTATTATTATACTAAGTAATATAGCCTTTTTTTTTTTACTACTTAACTAGGTTTTTAAAGATTTTACTAAGATTTTTATAGTACTATACTAGTACTAAAAAATACTTATTTTAATTTTTTACTTATTCTTTTACTATAAAATATAATATAAGGATACTTAGGCTATACTAATAGAATTATATTATTAGTTAGCTATAATTATAGTTATTAAGAAAAATAAACTAAAAAAAATAAAAATTTTAAAGTATAAAAAATAATTATATACTAGCTTATTTATATAAAATATTATTACTTCTACCTTTACTAAAGCTACCTTAGTAATTTATTAAAAATTACTAGTTAATTAAAAAGTTTTTATAACCTAGCTATAGTTTATAATAT